TAAGCATACTTATTAGGGCAGGGACTCGACCTTGCTTATCTGTTGAAAAGTAGACTTAAGAGTGTATTGAACCTTAAGGCGGTAAAAAATGAGTACAAACATTCTCTAGGTCAAATACATAAATAGCGACCTCATTTTACCTTCTGCCAATATTAAAGGTTTCTTATAGTTCGGAACGGTATCTAATAAAGTTCGTATCTAGACAGTAAACACATTCAACTTCAACTTGGCCTCATTGATTTTTCAATTTCTATTTTTGTCCTTTTCGGCAGGATTTCAAAGTGCACTTGCGGCACGACTTTGTAAATATGTATACCTACACTGAAATAAAAAAGTAGAAGTTTAAAGAATTATATTTCCGTAAGTACTTTAAGTTTTAAAAAATGGAAAACGAATATCACATCACAGACAAGAACTATACATCGTAACTATAGGGCAAAGCTTTCATCTAGGGATTATTTTTAAATACACAACTGAAGAAATGTGCAGTGTATTCCTCTATGGAATCGTATAGCTGTGTAGGTTGGATTTTAGCCAAGACCATACCGAAAGCCAAGCACATGCAATATAAATACAGACAAAGAGTTTGCTTTTTGTATTCATTTTCCTTTTTCGGGTGCACTTTTTTTGGCTGAGTAGCAAACGAAGAGCAATGCCGTGGGCGATTCAACTCAGTTTGAACGGAAGCACGTCGGTCGACGAGGTGATAGTAAAGTCTGGTAGGATAGAACCGGAGGAGCCAGAGCAGGAGCAACTTCCTTTTTTCCCTTGGAATTGGGTTTTGCGGACTGTCTATTGTTTCCTGCAAAGCGGGTTACGCTTTCGGCTAGGCCATCTCCGGACATGAGCATCATCAAGACAACAATGTTATGCTCATCGGGAATGCGGGCAAGATTGTCAGATTGCCGAAGCTTTTGCAGTCAGCCCACCTATGTCAGTCAGATCCCTTCTCCTCTCTTGTTACTAGATTCAGTCTTTGTCTGACAACAATTTTGGACACTGCCTGTGCGGATGTCTGGTTAGGGCACCTAATCTAGTTTAAGAGTCGAGGAATGTTGCACACAGTTAAGACAAATGGGTATAGCCCTTAGGAAATGTATCAAGGTTTGCAGAATGTAATATATTTTTCAACAAAACTCATCGATCCAGAATACCATTTTTGTCTTCCAAAATGTATTTCCAAGAAAATTCTCTATAAATGTTCAGCCTAATCAGTATAAAACTGATATTAATTGAATGAGTGTCAGCAAAGCAAAGGTTAAAGGTGGAAAGCGTTGACAGAAACCAATCAGATTAGCAGCCAATCAAAGCTATAAGCCAAACTGGCACACAACTACGCAAATGAAAATGTTACCCATTTTACCAGTCGACACCCACCAAGCTGGCAAGGTGTGTGGGAGGTTATACTCGTATACGGGATTTCCGCGGAAATTAAGCTGCTCTCAATGCCAAGAGCACAGAAGATGAATGTCGATTTTTGCCCACGATGGCTTTAACAATTTAAAACATCAACGCACACAAATCCAAACCGAATTGTGGGCGGGATAACCGGTAAATGCAACATCCAGCTCTTCTCCTTTACCTGCAAATATCCCACATCAGCTGTCAGTCAGCCAACGTTTTAGGCAGGATTTTAAGCAAGCATATTGTAACTATGCAACGGATGGAAATATACCAAGAAACATCCGGTTGTCTGCAAGTTGCACGGGCAGAGCAAAATACAGACAGCAGCCAGGGCAGGCAAGATTGACGCAAGGATAATCAGGTTGGGAACGTATGTAGTTTGTAACTCACTGGCTACAAGTGCACACATTTTCCCACGCATTTACATATCAAGATTTTCTGCTGAATTGTGGCTTAGCTGAATACAACTGGGTTTCTTATAAGAGCCACTATAAAAGATATGGTTGATAAGCAGTTGACTGAGTCTTTTTTAAGGTTATTCAGATTGTCTGGTCTATAAATTCTAGGTGATAAGCTAACAGTTAAAAATTTACCATTTATTATGAACATTTTTGTTGAATTTTAAAGAGATAACAAAAGGTATGTGATCAAAAACCTGAGGAAAAGGATTTAATAAATTTGTCATTCCATCTTATTCATATTTTTCAACCCCAAATAATTATAAAAATATAGGTCACAGAAAATATTATTTTCCGTAAGCACTTAATTTTCTACAACTGATTTGAGATTTCCTTTGCCCTAAGAGCAGCCATTAATTTTCCAGAGAAAAGAAAAGGAAATGCTGCTGTAATGCGCACTTCAACGCCATAAAGTATGCAACGCAAACAATGAAAACGCTATTAAATTTCTGATTTTGGAAAACAGTTATTCCTTTTTGACAAAGTTCAGCAACATAGTAAATGCATGGATAGTATATCCTCTCTTCTTTATGTGAGTCTGAGATTCTTAGAAGCTTGCAATGACCTCTTTTTGAATATGCCACAAAATTCAAGTGCAGCTGTAAAGGAGCACAAAGAATGTCTTTATTCCCCCTTAGCATTTCTTTTTAGTGAAAACCAAAAAAGAAAAAAACTGAAAATCTGACACAAATAAAGCTTTTATATCCATGGGGTTATGTGTGTGTCTGCTACTTGCTGGGCCATAAGCTTCCTTAGAGAAAAACATTAATATAAAAACAAAGTTGAGGAAAAGACTTCAGAAAAAAATCGACTGAATAAACATTTCGCTGGCCTTTTCTTTGGTGTTTGCTGTGTTCTCGCGATATATGATGTACGAGATCACAGTCCTCATTATGCTTTCTTATGCGAAATTGAAAATGGTATCATACTGCCTGAAGGGAAAAGTGAAATAAGAAAAATGTTAGGGCAGTTCATGGAAAATGACTTTTTAGGAAACAGCAAATTGAAAAATAGCTTTTGACAACAGATTCAAAAGTAAAATCTATTTTAATAATTAATATGTCATAGTCAGCAACACAATTATAGTTCCAAAATGCAACTGAATAGCATACACAAAGAAACCAATCATAAAAACGTTTTACTTTGAAAATAAATGTCGATATTCCAGAGCTACGTTTTATTTATTCAAAGCCCACAATAAATAATATATATCGTAGAATAATTTGAAAACGACGGCGGGCACAACAAATTTATTTCCCACTTGAACCCCTGACAACAATGCCATAAAAGGGGTTAACTGTCAGAATCATGGCGCATCTATACAAAACCACCTCAACAACAAACCGCCCAACATTCAGGAGAGCTGTCAATGCCGATGGCAGCCAAACCAACAAATTTACAGGCTATGGCCTGAAGCCAACGCAAATAAAAATGACAACAAAACAATCTTCAACAAAGGCAAACAAAAATGGAGAACACAAACACAGACAGTTAGACAACGGAGTCCCAGAGCAAAGAAATGGGGGCCACGCAAAAGCCAAACAATAGATATGACTGGAGTATATGATTCAATTCCATTAGCAGACGTTATGTAGTACAGCGAGAACTGGACAAAAATCGATGAGCTTCCTCGCCAAATTTTCTTCTAATTCCTTCTAATACACGCAATGCAGTTCTAGTATAACGGGTTGACTGCTAATGGAACACATTGGTGAGCGTTGGTCGTTGTGTTAGTTGGCCACGTCACTCGGTCGTCCCAGATTGCCAGTAAAGTTTAAAAGTCATGTCTGACATTTTGGCAACACGTAAATCCGCGCGCTTCCCGAACACCCTCGAGTGGGTGGCTGATGAGGACCCAATCGAGGTCAGGAACCGGGAGGGAAGTAGGGCTAGACTCCCTTCATATGCTTACGCGAAAAACGCCACAACATGCTGCTAAATTTGTTGTGCAATTTTCACAGCTAACGAAGTGGGAGACCATGTAATTCTATTAGAAATTCAAACGGAAGTTGTACTTGTGGCTACAAATTGCAATATATCTTTAAAAAGATAAAGGATTACATAAGTTTAAAGATTTTGAAAAATGTTTTAGTTGGTGTTTGAACTGGTGTTATAACATTTAGGGTTTTTTACGTTATGCAGCCCATAAACCCCCTTTAACAAATTGCTTTCTTAAGTCACGACAAGTCAAAAAACCAACCCTCCTATTATAAGCCATCAAGTCCCATTCCATTTGTAATAATGAATGTCTTTCAGCCATCAATTCCATATAGACACCACATATATTACACACACGCAGGCCAACCTTGACCCATAAAAGCTAATGAATTTAATTAACCACCCTTAAGGAAGTCACCGCAAGTAAACATAAGCCTGAGCCAAGTGGCAGAACTCTTCATATGTGGGACAATACAAGCAAACACTTGAACTAGTTAATCCATTTCCACAGTCACTCAGCTTCTAATGTGCCAAGGCATAATAACCAAGGAAAATACAATCAATATAGGGATAGGCAGTTAGCAAAAAACTAGCCAGCAAGGCGCCTTATCAATTAAAGAGTAATCAAATGGGGAATACCCGACACTCGGGGCGGAATATGCAAAAGCTTGAAGCGCATTTTCTTTGTCATCTTCCGCATAAATAATTCAAATGGCGCCTTCAGACGGCGACGCTTTTCAATAGCTTCACTCGCTGCACAAAGGACTCGAGTGGGACAATGGCAATGAGCCTTCGGTGCCCTCCGTCACCATACACACACACCGCTGTCAGTGCGAAATGCATGGAAAAGTTTCTTTTATTTGTCTATTGCTGACAGGAAGTACGGCAATCTGAAAGTAATTTCAACGTAATTGGATAGTTGCTTGGGTCGTGCGAAAACGCAGCCCATATAAAAACTTAAAACTTGCCAAGTCTTAAGAGACAGCAATCGCATGGAAAATTTAAATCGATTTGCACTTGGTTAAACAGTTTTCTACGAAAATCATTGCAAAAAAGTGATATACTTTTAGTAGAATTAATGAATATTTTGATAACAGATACGGCCTTAAGTTGTTTAATTTATTTTAGCTACCAAAGAATTTTAAATCAAAAGATAAAACTAATATTAATATTTTATTTAGCAGAAAATTGGGAAAATTTTTTAACCTCTTCTTAAGTTCCATTTGCCTACCTATGACAAATAAAAAGGTTAAAAGTTTGTTTTTCACATGCCTCCACTTTGGGGAGGTTAACTCAAATATTCATCTTTTAGGATTTGCCAATCGTATACAAATAGAAAAGGCTGTGTGGCATAGACACGTCTATATATATATACATATATATATTTACCTAACCTTAATGCTGACTGTTTTTTTCGTTCTGTCTTTGGCACTCACCATTCTCGATGGTCTCCTTGGCACAGGATATTATTTTGCCTTTGCGACGTCGCAAATTTGATTCAAAATTGTTGTCATCGGTAAAATCATCCTCGCCGCCATCCCTTGGTCCGCCGCCAGCGTCGCCGGCTGTTGTAGTTGCCGTTGTTGTCGTTGTGGAGTCCGGCACATCCTCCGACGACTGTCGCTCCGAATAGGAAGCTCCATCTCCTTCCCCATCTCTGCCTTGCATTAAACTTTTAAAACTTTGGCTCATACTGTGCCAAAATTCGTCTTTGATTTATTTTATATCTTATTAGTTTTTGACTGCTTGATATTTTACGATTGTTTACAAACTGGCATGCGATCTCAATTTTAACATGTTTACTCATAAACTATATTTAATTAAAGTTAATTAATCAGATAAGACCCAAAAAAGCAGGCAACGCACGGAGAAAGCAAACAAAGGAAACTCCCAGTTTTGATTACAATTACGAATAACTTAATTGAAGGAAACTAACTGCTCCAGTTTGGTGCGTGATTCGAAGAAAACTAGGGAAAAGCGTATCACGCCATTCGCAAAGAAAAGCGGAAAAAGAAATGCCAAGACTTTGCCGGCTAAAAAGGCGTTTATTGTTGTTTCTACGCTGCTGCTGCTGCTGCTGTATGTGATGATTGCTAGTAAAAGTGGGTTGGTCGGTGTTGGTGCACGACCGAGTAAGAAAGGGTGGGTTCAGACATTACGCACAACCCCAAGACCGATCCTAAAATGCGTTTTGGTTAGCAGTGACTACCAAGGAGGTTAGCCAGACAAGAATCGCCATCCAAATAACCTTTGTGAAAACAACAAAAAAAATCAAACGGTTTTCTTATTTCATAATCGCTTCTCGCATTTAGGTTAAACAATCTTCTAAAACAACAAGAACACCTCCATTTAAATTAACTCTAGCCGAAAGGCCAAATAAATATTTTTTTTCAGCACGAAACACAAAATGGTAGGCTGCCAAAGATTATTTTTCACGAGATTAGTTTTTTTTTAAAAACAGTTAAACAATTTTACTTTTTTTTCTACTATTTGGAAATGTGTCGGCGGAACGCGACGAAAAGAAAGTGTTTGAGCGCTGGGAAATGCCGTCAGAGACTAAAATGTCTTTCACTTGGCTGCGGGAGTGAAAAACCCAACACAAAGAGCAGCAGCAGTGTGGTGGGTTTCTCAGTTATTGATTTTGTTCTGCAAAGACAGCAAACGCAAAAGGGCAACATTTGTTGGTCGGTTTGCTTTTTGGGGGAGGCCTGTGGCACAGGCAGGGCGAGGCAAGCGTTCAAAAAGCCGGCTTTAACGGAGAGCAAGAGCAAGAGAGCCAAGCAGACGGCAAGGCAAACAACAAACAATGAAACACGAAGGATGAGTACATAAAAACAAACACATGATTATACCCGGTGTTACGATATTCCAAAGTTTCCTATCTAGCATATCTATTTGAAATTTAAAATGTTATGTACACTTCTTGCTCTAGTTTTTTTTATAAATATTTTCTTAAAATGAAATTTCCTTTGGCATAGTAATTAACTCTAAATAAATCAATATATAAATATTGTATATTTAGCAACTCTGAAAATGTATTAGGTTGTATAAATCATTTAATTAATAAAACTAAAGCAAGGCCAATATCATAAACAATGTATTTCTAATGAATATTTATTTTTGTTAAGTAATAAGAAGTACTCATAAAAAAACAAAAAATTATGTAATTTTCAAGAAACTTGTCATAGTTTGATTTGATAGAGTTAAAACTCTAAATAGACTTTAGACTTCATCCCAATCCTCTTCAGTATCGGCGCCCGTTGAATAGGATACCGTATTTCCCTGAATGTTCAAATGTTATAAATAAACAATTTAAGATTACACTGTGAAAATACTTACCCTACCACGGACGTCCAAGCCTCCAAAGTCATTATTGGCGTAACAAGCACCTCCACCACCACCACCGGCTAAATTACTAAGGAACTCTGGAACAGTCTGATCAGATCCCTTCAGGATTTTAATCAAGTCCCCTGCGAGGCCACGATCGTGATCTGGATCGAAGAATGAGGTGGCGCGACCACTGTTACCAACACGACCTGTGCGTCCTATGCGATGCACGTAATCATCAATGCTGTTGGGCATGTCAAAGTTTACTACATGCTTAATGTTCTTTATATCTAAGTAAACAAAAATGATGAATATTTAAATCCTTAAAAATGTGAGTCCTCATTTACCAAGACCACGTGACGCAACTGACGTAGCTATAAGAACCTTCATAGTGCCATTTTTAAAATCTCGTAAGGCCTGCTCGCGCTGACTCTGGAGACGATCACCATGGATGGAGGTGGTCGGAAATTCTGTTTCCGACAAGAACGATGCCAAGAAGTCTGCACCACGTTTTGTTCCCACAAAGACAATAGTACCATCTGCGTCCTCGCGAAGAATTTCCTTAAAGAGAAATTAATCAGTTTCTTTCTACATACCTTCGGTATGTGCCCGTTTACCATTAGCTTGGCCCGTTTTGCAAACTTGTTAACTTCATGGATGGTCTGCTTTACATCGGAGCAGGCTCCGCCAACCACACCAATGGTTACAAAAATATAGTTCTTTAAAAACTCGCTTGCCATATGCTGAATTTCCTCTGGGAATGTGGCCGAAAACATTAATGTTTGATGTTCCAAACACATTGTGTCATGAATCATAAATGTACGCATGCTTCCCGAGAAACCCATGTCCAGCATCCTATCGGCCTCGTCCAGAACAACGATGCGCGTGTCCTCAAAGGTGATAAAACATCGCTCCACGAAATCCAACAGCCGTCCCGGAGTGGCGATTAGAACATGGCATCCTTTCGAAAGTATCTCGTTTTGATACTTGAAAGAGGTGCCACCGTAAGCAATACCGATTTTTAGTTGCGTACCAAATGCAAACTTCCTTGCTTCGTTGAAAATCTGAATTGCCAGCTCCCTGGTTGGCGACACAATCACTGCTTGTGGTTTTCCAATCACTAATTCACGTGGCTCATTCAGCAAAGTGCTGAGGATTGGCAAAAGGAAAGCAGCTGTTTTTCCAGATCCAGTCTGGGCGCAAGCCATCAAATCACGACCAGCCGCAATTACAGGAATGGCAACCTTTTGGACTGGAGTTGGGACCTTGTACCCCGATTTAGTAACATTATTACCAATAATGGTACACAAGTAAGCATCAGCAAAGCTTTTAATGGGCTGCGGCACATTCTCACCGCTCACCTAATTTTAATTAAATTATTATTCGTCGGTATATAATTTTTAAATATAAAATATATATGTTACCTTAACGGGAATATTGTCATACTTCGAGAAATTGAGACCAGTAGTAATGCCACTACTGAAGATCTCAGTTTCATCGGTAGACGGCTCAGGAGGGATATAAAATTCGCGTTTTTTTTCACCATCTTCCCGGACCACGTTATTGTTGTTCACGTCATCATCGCGACGACGTGTCTCAGACCAATTTTTGGCGTTCTGGCGATTGAAGCCATCGCGACCTCCACGACGTTCTTCGTCTAAAAATATTTAAGTGGTGTATAACTTAATTTTATAAAAAATTCAATTCTAATAATTTGACTTTTTCCTTTTTACGACAAACAACAAACAAAATGGAATATATAGATCAAAAAACCAAACATAGATCAAAAATTAATTTTCAAAATATGTATTTTATTTTTGTCTTTTTTATTAAATCATTTGTATCAAATAATAACTTTTCATGTTAAAATAAAAACGAAAGTAACTTTACGGTTTATACAATTAACAAATATTTAAAACTTAAAACGTAGAAAATCCAATCTCTTTCAAAAAAGCCTAAAATACAAAAACCGTTTAAAAGGTATTAATAAAATCTTTTTCGATTTTTTTACCGAAGGGAAAAAATCTACCATCGGGGCTAAGATTTATAATGTGAGCAGTTTTAAGTTCAAGTAAAACACTATATACCATAGTGGCGTCTTTACGATTCGTAATAAACGATGTATTCTGTATGTCAACCTGGGGCTGTCGCACAAGCGCTCCAAACAGGCCATGAACAACGCGAATCTTGTTCTTATCCATATTCAGAAGAACCTTTGGATCGTAGACCTTAACAGCGGGCATAGTATAATACTTTGAAGTGCCTTGGCTATTTTTACTTAAAAGCAGTTGGGACTTGCCGTGCATAGTGAGTTCCTTTTGGCGATCTACCATTAGGCGCAGCATATCAGCATGTCTCGAAATGTAAGCCAAATCGTCTACTGACACCCTATGTAATGGATGTAGTGTTCTTCTACCTTCTCTTGTCGTTTGAACACCATCAGTTGAGTTCATTCCAAAATCTACCTCCTTTCGGCATTCACTTTGACTGGCAACATTTAATGAATGAATTTGCAACGTCGGCAGTATCTGCACATCAGTCACATAAGCATGAGCACTCATATTAGCCAAAGTGTTCGAAACCTCCATAGGAGCTTCATCAACTTCCATTGGAATAGGTGGTACCGAAACATTCATCCCATTTGAGCAGTCCATAATTTCGGGTCTAATTTCATTAATATATGAAGTTCCTTTTTTTTGCACATTTTTGTCCTTGACGATCAAAGTAGAACTAATGGGTGGTAATGATGCAGTAGCATTAGAGTCGAACGGAGCTTGCTGGTCTTGTGTATTGGCAGAAATTCCTAATGGACCTCCTGCACGGTCAGGCAAGAAAGCTGTCGATTCCATACAAGCCCCTGAGTAGGAAAAACTGGTAGAAGCCTGGGAAACTTCAGTAGAGTTGATCGCTTCTGTAGTTGGTTGTATTTGGCGCAATGCTGGACTGGCGATGGGAATTGAGGCCAATACATCTACCTGTGAAAGGCCGACTACCAGTTGTGAAGCTTCAATTACTGTCGAAGCGTTTTGTAGCAAGTTGGACATAAAAGTGGTTGCAATATGCCGATCGCTTTGCAGTACTTCTTCTCGTTGTATAAGTTGTTCTGGTGTTGGTGGAGGAGTCGAAACTAATGCTGGTCGTGGAGCACGCACCCGGGGACGAGAAGGACGTCTGAACCTTAGTGGGTCCCTGGGAGCTGGTCCTTCGGCATAATTAACAATATGATCTCGCGCTCGGAAAACTGAAGACCACTCACGGCGCGGGGTCAATGGTGGAGTCACCGGCTGTACAGCTGTCTGGGATTCTTCCGGTACCGCCGTCATTACCGGCTCATCCGCTTGCAATGAAACGCTCATCTGCAGTTCACGTGACACTAAGGTCAAACGACGTTGATGCTCCTCGTCGATGACCGGTAGTCTTGGTCGAAAAGATAAAAAAGGAGTCGATGATGGGGTACCTCCAAGTCTAGAACGCACTATTGAAGGCCCAGCAAGTCCGACAACGGCTGTTTCATCATCATCTCCTGGTAGCGCCAAAGTACCGCTCTCCATTTCTAATCCTAGTGGATGTTCTCCTGGCAGTGAGGGGCCCAGTGGCGTCGATTCTGCTCTTCCTGGTACCAACAGTTGAATGGTCCCATCGTCATAGGTCAGATTGGGTATAAATGACAAGCTGTGAAACGGACATTACTTAGCTGATGTATAACTCAAAGGTAAAGCGAAAGGATATGTAAGCGAAGAGCAGTGATGGGATTGGAGCTGAACAGAAAGCATGCTGAATTCATTTTGGATTGTTCAAAGGTTTCTCAACAGAAAGCGACAAAACCAAGCAGTCAAAATCAGTTCAATGAGAACATTACAAATTTTTGTGACTGCCTAAATTGTGTCTCGTTTTTGTAAGTTTTCAATGTTTAAAATTTAATCCTTTATAAACAACCGCTTATTGGGAAAAGGAACTTCAGAGCATGGTAAGAGGGCAAAGGATAGTACTAGATATTTTGTTGAAATACCCTGGATCGCTGTTCTGTCCAAGTGGTGTGCTCGAAGCACGCACCGCTGCTGTCTCAGGGGCCCCAGATGCGGACCCAGGGGTCCCATCGTAACGACTGCCAAAACCTAATCTTGGCGTTTCCTGATTTTGGGATCTCTGATGACGTGCCAAGTTTACCACACTGCTAACTTGCAAGATACTAGAGTTGTCTCCTCTGTGGTCACCAGTTGTATCAGTCCGTTTTATAATTGTCCTACGCACTACGACAAAAGTACAGATGGGGTTTTCAGACAGGTTGCAACCCGGCCAAACTGGCTTTGGGGCATCTGGCCAGGGCAACCTCTGAAACATATTATTCGGTAAACCAAAATTTAGTTTTCTTATTTCATGGCGTGCGACGTAATCCTCACTTAACCAGTGACGGAATCTTGACGAACCATAGGTGGAAGAGGGCACTACTTGATCGATTTCAGGGCGTTCATCATTTACTATTTCAATAGAATCTTCTAGTATAGCACCTTGATTAACATCGTACAACCGACGAGTATTGGAATAATGATCTACAAAATTTTGTAGCATTTGAGGTGCAGGCAAAATCTCTGTTTCTCCTACCCTTCTTGGTCTTGGTCTCGCCCCAATTCCGGATGGTCGGGGTACAACAAACTGTGGTGGAGTAATCTCCAATTGCGCAACATGTGCATCCCAATCCATACTCAAGTTCTGAGACTCTCCGTTTACATTTCTTTCCATTGTCTCTTCGTGATCATTTTCGCCTAGCAATCGGCTGATTTCGTCTATAAAGCGGTCCATCATGGCAGCTGTCTCGCGTATCTGTACCGCCTTTTGAGTACGTCTTTCTTGATCTAGCCTCTCGAGAGTAGCTCTTTCCTGGTTGACCAAGTCTTTAAAGGCATTCAATAAATAGTCGCGCAATTTCCGAACAGCCGTTAGGCTGTTAATGTACTTGACCAGATCCAGCTGATCTATGAATTCTCCAACGACATCCTTATCACAGGTGGATGGGATCGGCGGCAACTCCGGATCTACTGTGGTTGTTGACCAATCCATAAAAGGCAATTAAGAAAACACAAAACAAAAAAAAACAAACTACATGACAAAACAATGGACAAATAAAAAATAATAAAATAAATAATAATAAAAATAGACTTAAATTAGTTCTTTTTACTAAGCCGCCTTAATTAGCGTAAAATTAACAAAACAGAATTCCCATTATAATTTTACATTATAAATTAATAAATATATCTTACCACCACCCTCACGACGCCTCCCACGGAAGCCACCTTCATCGCCATACCCTTCATCACGATATCCTCCTCCGCTACCCGTGCCCAAGGCCTTGCCATTATCCTCAGTATCGCTCCATTCGGATACATCTTGCTGAGGCTTACGAACCGGGGCGGCACTCTCCCAGTCTCCACTAGCACAGGGCTAAAATAGGTAGGTTTATTACAACTGAATCTTTGTTGTTTTCATTTATACAAACCTCATCATCCCAGTCTGACATGTTGGATTCTAAATAAGCTAAAATCAAATAAGCAAAAATAAATTTGCTGTTAATTCTCGTGCAATAAATGTTTATTAGTTGAAGACATCTTCCGCGATACAAGGCTAATATTTTACTTCTATAACATATTTTCCTTCTCTACTTATTAGTCATTTAAAATTCGAACTGGCTTAAAAAAAAAAAGATTTCAAGTGCTCAATAAATTCAGTATATATTTTATTGAAACAGTTATATGATAAGTGACCTCATTGCATTCCCCTTTAATTTCAGATATTTCCACCGATGTCATGAATTATTTAAACTTATATAAACCGCGCAACTTCTAGAGCTCCCTAAACACAGCTGCCATTCAAAGTGAATTTTGCCATTCGCACCGAAACGCGTGGAAAACGTGAGTTTCTGTTTTTCTATGTATACCAAGAACACATGTGGGCGCTCTGGTCGAGTTGGCTGTGTGCGTGAGTTGGCCCATGTGCGTGTGCAATCGCGTGAGCCAGTGTGTGTAGGTAATACTAGCAGCGAGGCGAAGAAGAAACGCTGAAAATTAAGGTTAGAGAGCAGCAGCCACCAAACAGCCAGCAGAAAAGTAAGAAAAATCCCCCAAAAAAGGTTTTTTTAATTTCGAAAATTCAAGTTAGTCCAACGGCTTTTATCGAAAGCCCCAAGCCAACCGAAAATATAGACCACTCAAACATAGTTTGTGACAAAATATTAAAGAAAACCTCACAAAAATCTCAAAGGGTGTGAGGCAGGCGAGCGAAAAAGGAAAATCAATCAATTCCTAAAGTGTGTGTAAAAATTATTTTGCAGGGAAAAACGGCGAAAAAGCAGCAGCCAGCTAGCATAAAAAAACACCCATCCACAAAATCATGGACAGCGCCGGTAAAAATCGTTATGAACTCTTGTTCATGGACGACGATGTCAGCGATCCATTAGATAATCTTGTGGCGCCGACGGCCGCCGCAGCAGCAGCTGGCAAGAAGAAGCAGCCGTCAGCTGCTGCAGCGGCCACCAAAACGACCGCCAAGGTGACCAACAACAAGGCGGCCGCAGGATCCAATATTGGAGGACCCAATGCCAAGAAACCAAATCAGGCCGAGAAGGAGAACAAGCCCAACAATGCTTTAAGCAAAACCGATGGCAGGAAGTTTGCCCCATCTGCAGACAAACAGTTCAACAACAACGGCAACAAACAACAAGGTGCTCCGAGGCCAGGGGGTGGCGCCAACCGAGCACGTGAATTTGGCAGCGGTCAAGGACAGGGTCAAGGACAAGGTGGGCAGGGGGGACAGCAGCAGCGCAGCGTCAACTTCCGTCAACAGAATGGCAATGGCAACAACGCAGAGACCCGCGAGCAGCGCAACAATCGTCGCAACGTCCGCGAAAATGGTGGTGCACCCGATGGCCAGCAGTCGCGCCCTTACCGCGGACCAGGTGGCGGTCAAGGCGGTGCCGGTGGAGATCGCCCGCAGCGCCAGAACCGCAACTACGACGGCCAGAACAGAAAGCGCGAGTTCGATCGCCAGTCGGGATCTGATAGAACCGGTGAGTAGGTTCATAAATACAACTAAAATCTATTGGCAAAAATAAAGATAAGCCCTATTAGATATAAATGCTTAGGTCAAATAGAAACAATTCAACTTCACTATTATTATTTCTTATATTCTTTCCGTGTCAGTGATCTAAAACTGAAGCTCTTGGGGAAGGCGCACATAACCACAAAATGTGCGCGCCCGCCCACCCAAAAGAAAAATTATCAAATAAATCCAAAAACAAAGCTCCATGACAACAAGAAAAGCGAACTCAGCAGGCAGCAATGCAAAAAAACAGGAAAATCACATTCCATCTACAGTTTACGCACAGTCCAATGATCATGCTTAATCTGCTTAGACTAATGATAACATATTAGCCGTCTTCAGGAATATCTTGTATAAAATGAAATAGGAGGATTTTCCGACTTCAAGCTATTGATAGAAGATTAGATATTATCATTAATTTATCCTACAATACCGATAATTCTAGAACCAAAAAGGCTTAAAGATAAAATTTCCTATATATTTCTTTCTATAAATGAGAAACTATATTACCAAGCAAGTACATTTTAACCTAGAGATGATTTAATGCTAAAAGGTGTAAACCGATTGTGGCACACTAAAACCACATAAACATATAAGTAGACAAGCATCACAGATAATTTCTGTCTCACGTGGTGGATTAGTCAAATCAATACTTATAGCCCGAAGACATTCAACAAGCAGCTACATCACACCTTATTCTTTCACCAAATAAAATCAGTTTCTTTGGCATTTCCCACTTTTCACTGCCGCGCGCTCCTGCTTCTCATGCGTTTTCATTTTTGGAATATCCAAAATTATAATCACAACGGCAGCAAGCGAAGAAGCAGAAATACAGCACAAATCGAAAGAGAAAATGTGTTAAAAATAGTTTGCCCATCTTCTTGGCGGCATTCCCGTCAAAACGGCTAACGCAAGTGTTTGTAGGAGGCCTTTTTGCCTTTGCTAAGCATATGTGAGGGAAAAATAAGAGAGAAAGAAATAGTTCCCCCGCTGAATCTGATTACAACCAACGAACGGGTGCTGTCGGCTTATCTGTCACTATGCGAGGACTGTGAAAAAGCCTAATGTTGTTAGATTTCTATGGGCAAGGTGATTCCAAACTACAATTGACCTAATTAGTGAGGTATCGATAACGGGTACTGCAAGAATGGGGTGTCCAATATATGAAAATAAGAAATTTATGGTATAAAAACAGATACATCTCTCATGCTTAGCTTGAAAATAGTTTTATTTTTTTATAGTCTGTAATGATGGAAAAATAATTATATATATATATACATATATATATAAATTAATAATATATTTACTTACATTTTTGTTTAGATAGCTCAGCTCTTGATGGTTTTGTAATTAAAGGAAAAAACATTAATATTAATTTATCTGTTCTTGCTTTATTCACAGGTGTGAAATCAATTGACAAGCGCGATGGAGCTGGTTCCCACAACTGGGGATCGGTCAAAGAGGCTATTGATGATGTGAACAAGAACGAAAGCGAGACCAATGTGAGCAATGCAGAGGGTGGCGCCAAGGCTGACGAATCGGCAACTGAACAACAGAACGAGCAGCAGGCTGCCGCCGAGGAGGAGGCCAAAGAGCTGACCCTGGACGAATGGAAGGCACAGCAAGGACAGCGCGTTAAGCCGACCTTCAACATCCGCAAGGCTGGAGAAGGTGCGTATACTTAGAAAAGCAATCCGAAATATATCTTCAATCTGATCTTTAAGCTAAGCCTCTAGAATTTAAAAAACTATAGTAACTTATCTTCAACTATTTTTCCCATAGGTGAGGATACCACACAATGGAAGAAAATGGTCGTCTTGACTAGCAACAAAAAGAAGGAGAATGACAGCGAAGAGGAGCTCGAGTATGATCCTGCACTGTATCCACAGCGCGTGGGCAGGCAGCAGCGTGTTCTGGACATTCAGTTTAACTTCAACGATGGCCGACGTGGTGGACCTGGTGGATTCGGAGGACGCGGTGGTCGTGGAGGTCCAAGACCCGGCGGATTTGGCGGCGGACCACGCAGCGATGGAGGCAATCGTGAGGGTGGCGGTAACAACCGTGAGGGTGGAAACCGTGGCCCGCGGGATGGCCAATCTGGCCAACAGCAGCACCAAAATAACGAGGGCGGTGCTCCGTCCGCTCAAAACCAGAGGCCGCCCATCGACCGTCGCGGTCCTGGCAATAACCAAAACAACAATCAGAACAGTGGTTCAGGGCAAAACAAGCGTTTCGAGAGGCAACAGAACACCGCTCCCAAGGTCAATGACGAACGTCAGTTCCCCACACTGGCTTAAATCGCGAGTGGAAGTGTTTTGACCAGGAGGTGTTCCTCAAATTGCAGTTTTTGGTGACTGAAGATGAAGAAGGAGAAGCAGCAAGTTACCAAAATGAATTCTTATAAATTACATATATCACAGACAAAAAACTTTTTAAAAACAAAAAACAAAAAAGGGGGAAAAAAGAAACAATTGTAGCCGCCATATAAGCCAAAAGCAACAAAGAATACCAACAAGCTAAGCAAAAAAAAAATGGATAATAAATTATGCATATATATTAAATATATGAAGAGAACACACGAAAAGCAATTTTAGTTTATGCGTGGCCAACTAATCTGATTTTACCCGATAAAATCGCGATCAAGCAAGTGACCTCGTGTAAACTAGTCAAAGTCAGGCTAAGTCATCCATACTCATTATGGATTTTATTACTAACGTCTGTTCACAATCGTCGATATCGATACGAGATTTGTTTCGAGATTTATCTAGAAAACGGCATGGGCGGAGAAAATAGAAATTGTTTTAAGAACATCAACCAAAATCAGATGTAAAGTTGTTTTTTTTATGTTATTACCACTCACTTAATCAAAAAATCATCCTACCTAATAAAACGAATTGCATTCGCTAACCAGTGAACAAGGCAAATAAAATAAACTAAAGATAAAATATAAAATAAACAACATCACGGTCTGACAAATTCTTCGATAGAACGAAGCAAAACACACTAAATACATTACAATAGTTTGTTTTCATCGGGAGAACCGTCAAAGCATTTTCATAACTCATATAATTTCTTGTCCTATTACGAATCCATTTTTCGTAGCGAAATGTACGTTTTATTATTTTTACTATGTTAACTTTTATTTAAAATAAATAAAAACAGAAGGGACAAATATTAAAATCAGTAGATGGAAAAAGAAACCCAAAACCGAAAGAATAGTAAGTGTTAAATCCTTTGTAATTGTGTTTCTTCGATGCGAATTCTATAATTAAACATTTAAATTTAATAATTATAAAGCAACTATGCATCATATATACTACTTTTAATTATAAAAACCTAACTGAACCACACACACACACTGAAATACAAAAACAAAACAATATTAATTTAAGCATTATTAAAGAAATAAAAACAAAAATTATTGATTAACTATTGGAGCAAATTATAAACCTTTAATAAGTAGATTTACAGTTGGAGAGGGCCCCGCTTTCAAAAAAAAGATATTAGGAAAGTCAAAGAAAAAAACCTATCCAAAAAAAACGCCAATATGAATATGAAAATCCCTGTAAAATCGTTTGCTTCTATTAACTAGAAACTGTATAAATTATATGAGATATATATTCGTACATACATGGTAAAATCAATTTTATGACGGCAAACCAACACACAAAACAAAAGAATAAGAAAAAGCGAAGTGAGGAAAAGAAAATAACTCGTAGATGAACAAAATATACGACATTTTTTGAAATATTGTATTTTGACCCAAAGAAACAAACCATTCAACAACCAAATGTTGAGCAACTCGTTTAAACATAAAAAAAAGAAAATTTATTTGATAAAAATAAAGAAACAAAAAACACTTGATATTGAAGACTTTAGTGAAAACTATGGGTCGAAGGAAATGAAACTACACAAGACTCGCATACACAATCACAAAGGGAAAAGCGCTTTTACAGAAAGGAAGAAAATTAAGGTAAACGTCAAAATTATTTGTTTTTAATCGTAGAAACCAAAGTTCATTGGAGGAAGAAGAAAAAAGAAAGTAGATAAAAAGTATTATTTTTTTATTTTTTATTCAGAGAATACGTATTTCTATACTGTTATGGTTTTTTGCATGTGAATGGAAAAAAAAGCCAAGAACGCAAGGAATAGAAGATCAAAAGAGACAACGCTAAAAAAAACACCAGTAAACATGCGAAGCGAGCCATTTTAGAAACTTTAAAAACGCGTTTCTTTGAAACTGCTCTTCCAAATAATAAAAAAATATTCAATATGAATTAATTATAAAAAAATATATATAAAAATAAATAAAACAAAACTTGTAATGAACATTATAACTGTACATAGGTAAAAAATACAAATATTCAATGCGGGCCAAAAAAAAAGGCATAAAGCGTATCTTTAAAAAGATTTAATCCAATATTTTTCCTAATTTTTCCCTCACCTTATTGTTAAATTTTTTTTTTACACAAGAGTATTTAAATTAACCTTTATCGCGGACTGCAATTTCTTAACGCAAAAAGGAAACGAATAAGCGAGCCACAATTTAGGGTTACCAACTTTTTCAAAGCCCTTGTCAAATGAGGAACGAATCCATGGGCAATACATGTTGGTAACTCGGCAGCCCTGAAACTTAACGGTGCCCGACAAAAGGAAAACGCAAATGGACGCTCAGCGAAAAATCTCAAAAGGCTGAAACATATTTTTCACAGTTAAAACTAAATAGCGAAATACTTTTCAACTTAGGACTTTTATTATATTGTAATTTAGATATGTTTTTTAACTTTGGAAAGCAAGAGAAAATGACTTGTAATTAAAAAATCAAATTAAAAGCGAATATAATAAACGGAAAATAGCTAATATGGTTTATTATAGGTCGACATGTTTGCAATAGCAATTTTTAGGACTTTTAAAATAAGCTGTTTTAATAATAAAGCTATATTTTTAAATATTTGATATCCAGGCAGAAAACATTGCCCCGCATTAAATTATTATATCAGAAAACTTAATGACCACTTTTTTGCTGGAAGTTCCAAAACACTTAACTTACCCTGCAAATAAATCACAATTACTGAACACTTTTTTTTACCACGAGTCAGGCAGCGAGCAAAGCTCTTTAAGAAAAATCTGAAATTAAAGTAAAGCGGCAATGGGAAAAGAATAGGGTTACCGTTCCAAAGAAGTGCCAAGATTTCTCGATAGTATATATATATCGATCAACTAGTTAGCAATCGATAGTAGCACATCCACTTCGTATTATACATTTTTTGAATGGATTGAAGGGGCAATGGTTAATACCATGTATTCATTAAAGTTAGTTCAATTTTTAGCATATTCCGTTGAAGTAAGCTCAAAAATAATCAAAAATTCTATATAAGCGACGGTTTCCTCTATAAAAAGTATATTTATCAATATTTTAATACTTCATGTATTAAAGCGATGGTGGGTGTACTCGCTGGGAACAAAAGGTGTATATTCATACTTAACAATTTGCCATTGCATTAAATATGGTAACATTATCAATTGACTTCATTTCCAGCCCTCTTCAGTTGGAACCTAAAAGTGCTAGACATGGGGCGGTATTTCTTGGCAAGCCGCCATCCGGTACCACTAAAACGCGTTAGGGTATTTCTCCCAACTCGTTCTGCGAATACAGAAACGAAAAAATAGTAAACAACTTTTATTGGAGGGAAAAAAGGTAATATCTAGTGCGCCACAACAAATTCTGTCAGAAAAGGAGAACATATATTAAAGCCGATAATAGCCGACAGTTGACCTAACCTATGATACAAATTGTATATGTCCATCAGATACAGTCGCCAAAATGAGCGTGGAGGAGGAAGTATTTCGGATCCAGAAGAAGATGAGCAAGATATCGATGGCTAGCGACGGAACAGTGAGTTTGGGGGTTAAGCAAATATAATATTTCATTATAATATATATACTAAATCTTTAGGGACAGGAACAAGCTTTGGACTTGCTGAAGGCCCTGCAAACGCTAAATATTAACCTGGATATTCTGACCAAGACGCGTATTGGAATGACGGTTAACGAACTGCGCAAAAGCAGCAAGGACGATGAGGTGATTGCTCTAGCCAAGACCTTAATCAAGAACTGGAAACGTTTTCTGGCGAGCCCGGCGCCCACAACGCCGAATCACAGCTCGTCGAAAGAGGGCTCCTCTAACAATAGCAGTGTCGGCAAGTCGAGCTCCGCCAAGTCATCGTCGTCATCCAGCAAGGACAAGTCTAGTGGTAGCAGCAGTTCCAGCAAGGACAAAGAGAAGAAGTCCTCGTCTTCCTCTCAATCCTCTTTCCCCTCCGGCGGCATGACAGATGCAGTACGCATTAAATGCCGTGAAATGTTGGCAGCCGCCCTAAAGATTGGCGAAGTGCCCGAAGGATGTGGTGAACCCGAAGAAATGGCTGCCGAATTGGAGGATGCCATTTATTCGGAGTTCAAGAACACGGATATGAAGTACAAGAATCGCATTCGGTCGCGAGTGGCCAATTTAAAGGACCCGAAGAATCCTGGACTTCGTGGGAACTTTATGTGCGGCGCCGTCACTGCCAAGCAATTGGCCAAAATGACGCCCGAGGAGATGGCCAGCGATGAAATGAAGAAGCTACGCGAAAAGTTCGTGAAGGAAGCCATCAACGATGCCCAGCTTGCCACTGTGCAGGGCACCAAGACCGATCTCCTGAAGTGCGCCAAGTGCAAGAAGCGTAACTGCACGTACAACCAGCTGCAGACCCGTTCCGCTGATGAACCTATGACGACCTTTGTCATGTGCAACGAGTGCGGCAACCGATGGAAGTTCTGCTAACTTCAAAATCAGTTCCAAAAGCATCCCAAAAACCCAGCACACACCATACATCCTTCATATTCTTAAAACAAAAAAGAAACGTAAAGACACGACACGCGATAACACATTTTGTATCTGCTGCCCAATTGCGGAGGCGCTTACTGTGACCACCTAAACCTAAACGAAAAGAAATTTCAATAAACATTAAATATTGATAAAACGAAGACGCCTTGCCGCCGCAATCAGTTTCCTTCCATTTCCAATGCCGGTGATAAGGAGCGTGTTGCTGATAAGGCCAATACTTTCGTATTGACTATCGATAAACGCTTTTACTCTCATGAATTCGGGTTTCATGCGGTGCCAAATCTTTACATTTTATTTTAAAGATCTTTAGGTTATTAAAACAAATAATAATTTTAAGCAAATGAATTTTTTAATTAGGGTTAAAAATTAAAGATTTTCCTTTATTCAATATCAATATCAAAATATACGGATATAATAGAAACCCAATTTGCAATCCCGTCATCCAACTCGAGCGTTAGCATATAGCTGCCCTTTGGTAATGGTACCTTTGCAAACATGCCATCATTTAAGGTAAAGTTCCTTATGTAAACATCATTCTGAAATCATTTTCAAAATTGAAAATACATAATTGGGTCTAAACATAAAGTACAAAAGTATACCAAAGTATAAGCTACTCACATAGATGGGGCACGTATGATTGAGATTGGAAAATGGTAAGAACGCGGTGTATACGTAGTAAAATACATTTAGACGATTCGGATGCTTTAATGAGCGACAGAGCTCTTTGGAAACGTTGAATAGAAAAGGATGGTAACCACTTAGTTTCCGATAAGTAGTAAATCTTATCAGCATCCTAGTTATTGGTGGTTTTAAAACCGTAACATTGATGTTACTGGTTATAATTCCTCTTCCAATGACTTTCAGGCGGCATTCGGAAAAGTCTATGTACGTTTTGTCAAAACTTTGGCATTTGAGATTTGTAAGGCGCACATATTCGTAGGTTTCCCCAATTAAAAGGACGCAAATGCACAAAACGAACTTCATCGCTGCTATTAGTACCGATGCACTAAATAATGTTGTGCAAATTTTGCCTTGTTAGTACAATTGTTTGGTTAACCTAATTACAATTTAAGCTTTCTGAAGCGTAATTATATTTAAATTACATAAATATTAAAACAAATTATCAAATAAATGGCGTTGACATCGTCACACGCGTTAAAAGCTAAGTTAATGAGTTAATAAAAGTCATTGAACGTTATTCAGCTGTTCAGTTGTCTAGTTTTGGGTAGATTAATAATTTGTAAACTTCACTAGGCAATGCATCAGGGTGTACTTTTTAAATTTTCGTTAAATTCAAATGTTTGCGTCGATGTGGCAGCTCGTTACTTCAAATTAAGTGGCCAACTTTTTTTTTCAAACTGGCAACACTACACCTTCTTCTCCAAATCTATGGTATCGAAAACAAATCGACTTGGTGCCAGCACTAGTTGCGGCGATCAGTTGTACTTCGGTTGGTGTAATCGGTTGTTATTTTTCGCTGGAAGTTCGGCTGGTTTCGGTCCGGTCAATAAACAAGTGATTAAAGGCCCTAAAATGGCCAAAAGTCAATAGTGACTGAGATTAACCTGTTGCTCGGTTGACCTGTGCTGGAAAAGCAAACAATCGGCGCGCTGCACTTTTCCTGCGATTATTGGTGCGTGACCTATTTATGTAACCTGTTTTTGAAAAAGAATATCCCGCTTTCGACTGGCCCCAAAAGTGTTAATTAAACCGCAATAGCGATAGCAATACCTACAGTTCAGTTACCAAAAAAAAAAAATACAGAGAAAAAGTGCAAATTCTTATGCAAAAATTAAGGTAGGGAGTGTTTGAAAGAAAAAAAGAAAGAAAAAAGAGTGCATTAACCCTGCAAGTCGGTGTGTGTAGCTGTGAGTAAGTGTGTTTGTTGGGGGCTAGAAAAGTCAGTAAGGGAAAATGACAAGGGTCACAGCATCAGTTCGATGTGACTTTTAATATCATCGATTTTATTGTTTTTCGTCATTTTACATCAGACGAGACGAAGACGTGGCTGTATTGCATTTTTATTGCTTTAAGCGACTGACCAAATTAAATAGCTACGCTTCAGGTTTCGTTGGCTAGAACGGTACTAACATGCACACTACTAACGCAGCCCCGCTCTCTCGCGCACACAAACACATACATAGACACACGGACAGGTACACCTGCCGAAGACAAGCAGCGCGAGCGAGAGGGAGAGATGCGTAAAGAGCGGCTTACAGTGCAACACATTCATGGGTGCCGTTCTCCCCCCTCATTTCCACACCATCCCTTTCCCACCCGCTCTTGTCGAGGCTCTCTTTCCCTCTCTTTCTCCTTGAGCTTGAACCAGGCTTCTACACTGTTAAAAATAGATTTCATCATTTAATCATTTCTGTGATTAACGTAAATGTATTTATTTACATGTAGATTCAAAATTCTAAAAAGGTGACAAGTAAAAATGTATCAATTTTATTATTATGATATCATATGACAACAAATTGTCATAACCTTTATAACTAATGTACATTTTAGTGGCAACAAAAGCGCGGGCTAAAGTGCAACTTTGCTTAAGGAATTATGTTATTTATAATTATAATTAATATTTATAGTTTACAAGAATATTTTTGAAAATATATTTTCAAAGATTTTTCCATTTTGGCTTCGGCTTAAGACTGTATAAAAACCCGTTAAGTTGATTATCAAATGATTGCAATTTTTTTCTGTGCAGCGGTCAAGAATTCTCAAATTGACAATAACAACTACTACAACAGGCACACTTGTTTGTCCGGTTTGTTGTTTTTGCTGTTGCACAACGGGACATTTCGTGTGTGGACAATTGGAAAAACCCTTTTTCAAATAAACGCTTTTCATTAGCCGGTTTTTGTTGCTCCTCTCCCATCTCAACCTTTTTTTTGCGTTTCCATTTGGGTTGTTGGGTTCCATTAATGTTGAGTTGTTGCTGTTGTTGTTTTTATTTTTGTTGTTGCTGGGGGGCTTTCGCGCACGCAGCGACTTTCTGTTTGTTTGGTGAAACTTTTTTAAGGTCTTCTCTAAATACATAATAAAAAAAATGAACATAATACTTTGCCCATTTTTTGTGTTTTTGGTGGTGAGTCGTTATTTTTTTTTAGAAGATTTTAATTGTAAAACCAGAAACAAATTGTGTGAAAAGATACCACACTTTGCCAAAAAGAACTTTGATAGCAAATGGCAAAAACTTGAGGAAAAAACTGAAGAAAATAAGCATCTAACGGTGTTTTACAAAGTGAAGTCGTTTAAAAAATTAACAAAGAAAATTTCACAATCCGAAACCTCATAGTCATTTATAAAATAATAATAAAAAAACCTAAAAAGTTTAAATTGATGGAACTATATAATATGTTAGTATTCCTACCAAAAAGATACAATTCAAACTATTCTATTTGATTAATTCCATCTTAAATATTCTTTCAATATATTAAAAAGCCATTAAGTCTTATTTGCAAATACAAAGTTTAATAAATCTTTTGTTCAATAAACCAATTATAATTACAATTGCTCCAATAAAAACTATAAATAAAATGAAACCCAGATTAGATTATCAATGCGTTTCTGTATAAGACATTAGGCGAATCTACATAGATGTTGCACTGGTGTTATACCACACATTGCTCAAAAAATGACAACAACATGGTGTCAAGTATCAATGTCAAAGTGAACAAAAAGTGGGCACATTAAACAATTGCTTTAAGAGTGATATGTACCTATATATATATATGTATATATGTCTATATGTAGAGTAGATGGCATAAAGCGTAATTGTACGTGGCAGCCACACACGAACTTTCACTAATGACTCTCGATGAACTTTTGGATCACTCGCAACTCACTCCACTCAAAACGCACTCTCACTCACTAATGTAGATGTATATATATATTTGATTGCATATATACATTTAGATACGTGCCAATCATGTGTCATTGACGGCTTTATCAAAATCTGCAACATCTGCAGAGACAGAAATTCTTAGACGCTCTTAGCTTGATTCTTGTGGTTCTTAATCGTCTTTGGTCATGCCCAGTGATTTGTCTGCCTCTCACGCCCCGAATTTACACCTTGTTTAATGTTTTTTGCTTATCTGCACCTTCACTTCAGTGAGCTCTGATAACAAAAGTACAAGTATTAAGCAATCATTTTTAAATAATTCAGGTATGATGCGTTCGTGAACCACAAAATATTTTAGTCGAGAAAACTAGAAATTTTGATATCAAACTATTGTATATATCATAGATTAAACGATTCCGTATGTAAAGGCTGCTCAAATTTTACTAGAATAATTAGTCCAGGTGTTTTAAAAAATCAAATTATTTAAGGAGAATGGGGATAATTATATATTCTAAAATTATTTTAGACTCTACTCGATATATAGTTATTCCAAGTAGTACTTACTTTGTTTATAGGGTTTAGAAAACTGTGACAGAATAATACTTCTAAATTAGGCGCTGATAACAGCAAAACTAGCAATTGGGCAATATTGCTTCGTATTCTATGCTTGTATATATCAGATAACTACTTGAACTCTAACCAACAATTCAGGTTGCTATATACATACATATATGAGTGGATAGATGGGTTCCCTATGTGCATTATACTTGTATTTTGACCGGCAGAGCGTAACCAGACTGGTATGTGTACGAGTATACGTGCCGCCGTGTGCCACTAAATTTGGTTGCTCTTGCCGCTTCTGCTGCTGCTGCTACTTTTTTGTCTGGCATGTTGCAATTACTATGGAGAGGAGAGACGCCTCCGAATGAGTAACTATACTACGGCTGATACCATACCTCTGCCGTTAGTCCATGTGTTAAATGATGGATGGGGTGTCCAATTGTAAGGCGGTTTCGATGGTAACCGACTGGGAAATGACGCCAGCTTGAAATTCTGATTCATGGCTGGCTCTGGAAAATGAAGCAGTTCAGTTAAAAAGCCGATCTACATGTTGATTGCATTGCGCAGATTAGATGAGTTTTTCCTGTGCTTTCTGGGTATGTGATGTATAGGTGAAAATCGAGATTAAATGGATCTTTTACCATGAGAAATTGAGTTAAGGATAAGCTTAAATCTAAAAGTTAATACCAAAAAGTAGATTGGAATGCTAATGGTATTAGTTTTCAGAAAAGATTTCAAGATCTAATTTTGTTTCTTCAAACTTTATCAATGTCATCACCTTTCCATTTACTTTTCCTTCATATCTAATTAAAGATGGTGCAGTTTTCTACTGCCCAAATCGAACATATTGTTAAATTACTGTCAACCCGTACAAAGTAATGAAAGTAAATATTTTCAATGAAAATCAAGTAATTTGCATAACAAACGCAGCTCATTGAGACCTTCGATTTCGGTTAAGACCCTCTTTTTCGGATGGTTCTCGTATCGAATCGATTGTTTGGCCCGACCTAAGTTGAAAAGTGAAAATAGCTCTATGGCCTTTTTTGCATGTCTAAAGGTGTAAATGTTTATTTATTTTTTATAAGATCTCTTCGGTCACGTATGGGATTGTTTGGGGTCGGTTTCCCCTAGTCTGAGAAGAAAAGAAGTATCGAAAGTATGATTTTTATAGATGTGTTTAAGTCTGATGACTAATTCGTTGTTGTTCTTGTGTTTTGTTAATGAGTTGCCACTTTGGTTGGCGACTTAGTAAGCGTGAGTGTGTTGGCCAAATCGAGGAAAGAAAGACGTTTACCTCGAGCTAGGAAAGCGCGTTGTGATAGCAAGAACAACAAAGAGAGACGACGGACCACAAACGAAGACAGCGACAAGTTGTGAATTCTTTCAATTTACCGTAAACTTCACCTTAATTTTTTTCTTTTTTTTTTCAAAGCCGGTTTTAGTTGCCGCAGGCGCTAACTTGTATTTTGTTATTGTTGTTCCATGGCTAACTCTTCCACTTGTTCTCTTTTGGAACAGAAAAACCAATACAAGAGGAACGGGCCTTTTGCCTCTGAATGCCAAGCCAGGATCAGTAAATGAAGGACGACGAATATGGTGATCGTAACACGTGTAAGTATTTCATTCCCTATTATTAGGGTATCATTCCTTATCCACGTACGCGATCTATCTCACTTTTCCCTGTGCCATGAACACTAACTAACCAACAGAAGCAAAAAGCGGAAGTTCCACGCCATGCCTCACTTCAACTCCCATTACTCTTTCACAGTGGTGGATGGAAATAGTGGCATAGGGTGGGGCAACAGGTTGCTACTTGCAACAGGCCTAAAAAGCGTTTTATTTAAATTTTAAAATGAACAATTTTCAATGTTAAAAAGTTCTTTCTTGTTTCTTGAACTCCTGGAAAGTAACTTAGAAATCTGAAAGTCTATTAAATTAAAAATTAGCTTTTTATATATTTAGATAGCTTTCCTTGTTACGATTTTCAATAATTGTTTTGATATTGACCTTCTATATATGGTTCTTTTGCAAAACCTTTTTATTTATTTCCGCCCATCACTGTAAATTACTTATGTCTGTCCCTGGTATCACTATTTTTGTTGCGTTCCGCTCAAGTGACTCTTACAACAAGCAGCACATAGGCTTTTTATGGCCCCCACCTCCATGGTAACCGAATGCGGCAGCCTCGTAAAGAACTGAATGTCAAATTGTAAAAAAAAAAAATTTAAAAATTTGTAAATTTGTAATTACGCTTCTAATCAATAGGGTGACTACATCTGGATAGAGCCCGCCTCGGGGCGAGAATTCGATGTGGCCATTGGAGCACGTGTCGTCTCCGCGGAGGGTCGTCGCATCCAGGTGCGTGATGACGATGGTGACGAGGTGTGGCTGGCTCCCGAGCGCCGCATCAAGGCCATGCATGCGTCTTCTGTTCAAGGAGTGGAGGACATGATATCCCTTGGCGATCTGCATGAGGCAGGAATCTTGCGGAATCTGCTTATACGATACAAGGAGAATCTGATATACGTGAGTATTATATGATCACAAACTTCCAAACTATAAATTAGAAAGTCACAGAAAACATAATTTACAACCCAAATATTTAAACATTGTGAAATGGGATTTTATCTAAACAAGTTTTATTATCAAAAGTAAAACCAATTAGCCACTAAGTTTTTACTTTTAAGGATGAAAACTTGAAAATAAGCTTGTTAAGAACTTCAACTCAGTTACGTCATCATTAAAAGAATTAAAGATATGCAATTCTTATCTTTACCATTGAATGATATCGTGCCCCAGTCAAAGAATAGGAAAACATTGTAATCAAATTTTATTTGTCGGTCAGCAATATTCATTATCAATAATACTTTTCAATAAGTTTTTTAAACAAACTGCTTTAATTCTTCATAATTTCAGACCTATACCGGATCCATATTAGTTGCCGTTAATCCCTACCAGATCCTGCCTATTTACACGGCCGATCAGATCAAGCTCTACAAAGAACGTAAAATCGGAGAACTTCCGCCGCACATCTTTGCGATTGGCGACAATGCATATGCGCACATGAAACGATATCGCCAGGATCAGTGCATTGTTATATCAGGAGAGTCGGGAGCTGGCAAAACAGAAAGCACAAAGCTGATTCTTCAATATCTTGCCGCGATTAGTGGCAAGCACTCATGGATCGAGCAACAAATTCTAGAAGCAAATCCAATTCTGGAAGCCTTTGGAAATGCCAAGACCATACGCAACGACAATTCATCGCGGTATGTATTATAATGCAAAACACATGTATCACCTGATCTTCTATCAATCAAATGTATTTTTATACAGGTTTGGCAAATATATAGATATACACTTTAGCGCCAATGGCGTGATCGAGGGAGCGAAAATCGAGCAGTACCTGCTGGAGAAGTCACGAATTGTTTCCCAAAATCATAGCGAACGCAATTATCATGTCTTTTACTGCATATTGGCGGGATTATCGGCAGATGAGAAGAATCGCCTTGATCTGGGCATGGCTGCTGATTATAAGTGAGAATCTTACTTAAACTAAAAACAAATTTAATTTAATCATAATCTATCAATTAATAGATATCTGACTGGTGGTAATAGTATAACCTGCGAAGGGCGTGACGATGCCGCCGAGTTCTCCGATATTCGATCCGCCATGAAGGTTTTGCTCTTCTCCGATCAGGAAATCTGGGAGATTATCAAGCTGCTGGCTGCTCTTTTGCACTGCGGCAACATTAAGTATAAGGCGACTGTGGTGGATAATCTGGATGCCACTGAAATACCAGAACACATAAATGTGGAGCGTGTCGCTGGGCTGCTTGGACTGCCCATTCAGCCGCTGATTGATGCCCTAACTCGTCGCACATTATTTGCTCATGGAGAAACAGTGGTGTCCACTCTGTCCCGGGATCAATCTGTGGATGTGCGCGATGCCTTTGTAAAGGGCATTTACGGACGCATGTTTGTGCATATCGTTCGAAAGATCAACTCGGCTATTTTCAAACCTCGCGGCACATCACGGAATGCCATCGGAGTTTTGGACATCTTTGGCTTTGAGAACTTCGACCAGAACAGCTTCGAACAGTTTTGTATCAACTATGCCAATGAGAATCTCCAGCAGTTCTTCGTGCAGCACATTTTCAAACTTGAACAGGAAGAGTACAACCACGAAGCCATCAATTGGCAGCACATAGAGTTCGTGGACAATCAGGATGCTCTTGACTTAATAGCTATCAAGCAGCTGAATATTATGGCTCTCATTGATGAGGAGGCCCGGTTTCCCAAGGGTACTGATCAAACGATGCTGGCCAAACTGCACAAAACCCATGGAGCACACAAGAACTACTTAAAGCCCAAGTCAGATATTAATACCAGTTTCGGGCTGAACCACTTTGCCGGCGTGGTGTTCTACGATACGCGTGGATTCCTAGATAAAAACCGGGACACCTTTAGTCCCGACTTGTTGCATTTGGTTAGTCAGAGTGGCAACAAGTTCCTCCGACAAATCTTTGCTCAGGATATAGAAATGGGTGCAGAAACGAGAAAGCGAACGCCGACCCTCTCCACTCAGTTCCGGAAATCGCTTGATGCACTAATGAAGACCCTCAGCAGTTGTCAGCCATTCTTTATTCGTTGTATTAAACCAAATGAGCTGAAAAAGCCAATGATGTTTGATCGTGGTTTGTGCTGCCGTCAGCTCCGATACTCTGGCATGATGGAAACCATCCGGATCCGCCGCGCTGGATATCCTATTCGACATGGATTCCGCGAGTTCGTTGAGCGCTACCGATTCCTGATTCCCGGAGTGCCGCCAGCTCATCGTACAGATTGCCAGGCAGCCACTTCCAGGATTTGTGCTGTGGTTCTTGGCAAGTCCGACTATCAACTGGGACACACCAAGGTCTTTCTGAAGGATGCTCACGATCTGTTCCTGGAGCAAGAGCGTGATCGCGTGCTGACGCGAAAAATTCTCATCCTGCAGCGCAGCATTCGTGGTTGGGTGTACCGACGAAGGTTCTTACGCCTGCGAGCCGCCGCTATTACCGTGCAAAGATTCTGGAAGGGTTATGCTCAGCGTAAACGTTACAGGAACATGCGAGTGGGCTACATGCGTTTGCAGGCTTTGATCCGTTCGAGAGTCCTGTCCCATCGCTTCCGCCACCTAAGGGGTCACATTGTCGGTCTGCAGGCTCATGCCCGTGGCTATTTGGTCAGACGGGAGTATGGTCACAAGATGTGGGCTGTCATTAAGATTCAATCACATGTGCGACGAATGATTGCCATGCGGCGCTACCGAAAACTTCGTTTAGAGCACAAACAGTTCGCCGAAGTTCTTCATCTCCGCAAACTAGAGGAGCAAGAGCTGTTGCATCGCGGAAATAAGCATGCGCGGGAAATTGCTGAGCAGCATTACAGAGATCGATTACACGAGCTGGAGCGTCGGGAAATACAGGAGCAACTGGAGAATAGACGTCGAGTGGAGGTCAATATGAACATTATCAATGACGCAGCTCGCAAGCAAGAGGAACCGGTGGATGATGGCAAACTGGTTGAGGCCATGTTTGACTTTTTACCTGATTCCAGTAGTGACGCTCCTACACCGCATGGAGGGCGAGAGACGTCCGTGTTTAATGATCTGCCCCATGCACAAAACGTCAACCAGGAGGATATAATTGCACCCATACACATTTCTGAGGATGAGGAAGATCTGTCGGAGTTCAAGTTTCAGAAATTTGCAGCGACATACTTCCAGGGAAATGTAAACCATCAGTATGCTAAAAAGGCTTTAAAGCATCCCCTACTTCCACTTCATACACAAGGCGATCAACTTGCTGCTCAGGCCTTGTGGATCACTATCCTCAGATTCACAGGTGATATGCCAGAGCCAAAATATCATACAATGGATCGAATGGACACTACATCCGTCATGTCCAAGGTCACAGCCACTCTGGGACGCAATTTTATCAGGAGTAAGGTATGTTAAGATGACATTAAGTTTAATTAAGTTTGTAATTTACTTAACTTGCTGTCTCTTTTATTCTTACAGGAATTCCAAGAAGCTCAGCTTATGGGCCTGGATCCAGATGCTTTCCTAAAGCAAAAGCCGCGCTCGATCCGTCACAAGCTCGTATCCTTAACGTTAAAGCGGAAGAACAAATTGGGTGAAGACGTCCGTCGGCGTCTTCAGGACGATGAATATACGGCTGATAGCTACCAATCGTGGCTGCAATCGCGCCCCACTTCTAACCTGGAGAAACTTCACTTCATCATTGGCCATGGAATCCTACGAGCCGAACTACGAGACGAAATCTATTGTCAAATCTGCAAGCAGCTGACCAATAATCCTCTGAAATCTTCACATGCCAGGGGTTGGATTCTGCTTTCATTGTGCGTAGGATGCTTTGCTCCGTCCGAGAAATTTGTCAACTATTTGAGAGCCTTTATTCGTGAGGGTCCACCAGGATATGCGCCGTATTGCGAGGAACGGCTGAAGCGAACCTTCAACAATGGAACTCGCAATCAACCGCCTTCGTGGCTGGAGTTGCAAGCTACCAAATCGAAAAAACCTATAATGCTGCCGATTACTTTTATGGATGGGAATACCAAGACCCTGTTAGCCGATTCCGCCACCACGGCCCGGGAACTGTGCAATCAACTATCGGATAAGATAACTCTCAAGGATCAGTTTGGATTTTCATTGTACATAGCTCTGTTCGACAAAGTCAGCTCGTTGGGAAGTGGCGGAGACCACGTGATGGACGCCATCTCACAATGTGAACAGTATGCAAAGGAGCAGGGCGCCCAGGAGCGGAATGCACCGTGGCGTCTGTTTTTCCGCAAGGAGATCTTTGCTCCGTGGCACGAACCCACTCACGATCAGGTGGCCACTAACCTTATTTACCAACAGGTGGTAAGGGGTGTTAAGTTTGGCGAATATCGCTGCGACAAGGAGGAAGATCTGGCCATGATTGCTGCCCAGCAATACTTTATAGAGTATTCCACGGATATGTCCATGGAGAGGTTGTTTACTCTGTTGCCAAACTTTATACCCGACTTCTGCCTCAATGGTGTCGACAAGGCCATTGAACGCTGGGCCGCTTTGGTCCTGCAGGCTTATAAGAAATCCTATTACGTCAAGGACAAGATTGCTCCTCTGAAGATCAAGGAGGATATTGTTAGCTATGCCAAGTACAAGTGGCCCCTGTTATTTTCCCGTTTCTACGAAGCATATCGTAACTCAGGCCCCAATCTGCCCAAGAACGATGTCATCATTGCGGTTAACTGGACCGGCGTCTATGTGGTGGACGATCAGGAGCAGGTCTTGTTAGAACTAAGCTTTCCTGAGATTACTGCAGTTTCAAGTCAAAAGACAAACAAAGTCTTCACTCAGACGTTTAGCCTATCCACTGTACGTGGCGAAGAGTTTACATTCCAGAGTCCCAATGCTGAGGATATTCGAGATCTGGTTGTATATTTCTTAGATGGCCTGAAAAAGCGGTAAGTTACAAAGAATCCTTCTTTGGAATTTCAAATCTCATATAATTTGATAACCCTCTTTATGCTTATAGATCGAAGTTTGTCATAGCCTTGCAAGACTACCGTGCACCTTCGGATGGAACGAGTTTCCTTTCTTTCTTTAAAGGCGATTTAATCATACTAGAGGATGAATCTTGCGGGGAATCAGTACTTAACAACGGCTGGTGCATAGGACGCTGCGATCGTTCCCAAGAGCGTGGAGATTTCCCTGCCGAAACGGTCTATGTTCTGCCAACGCTTAGCAAACCGCCTCAAGATATTTTGGCCCTGTTCAACATCGAAGAGGCACACCATGGGCGTCGCCTAAGCATGGCTTCTAATGGCGGTCCGGCGGAGCCAAGAGATCGACCGCACACGTTGATGGAGTATGCCCTAGATCACTTCCGTTTGCCGCCAAAACGAACCATGTCAAAAACACTTACGTTGAGTTCGAAACGAAGTGAAGAGTTGTGGCGCTACTCCCGAGATCCGATCAAGGCGCCGCTGCTTCGTAAATTGCAAAGCAAGGAGGAATTTGCCGAGGAGGCCTGCTTTGCCTTCGCCGCCATACTTAAGTACATGGGAGATTTGCCCTCTAAGCGTCCGCGGATGGGCAACGAAATCACGGATCATATATTCGATGGACCGTTGAAGCATGAGATTCTGCGGGATGAGATATACTGTCAACTAATGAAGCAGCTAACGGATAATCGCAATCGGATGTCTGAGGAGAGGGGCTGGGAGCTGATGTGGTTGGCCACAGGACTGTTCGCCTGCTCGCAGGGTTTACTGAAGGAGCTTCTTTTATTCCTTCGCACCCGGCGTCACCCCATTTCTCAGGTAATATTCTGACACTTAAACATAGGAGTTACATTTAATACCATTTCTAATTGACAGGACTCAATGCATCGATTGCAAAAGACAATACGCCATGGACAACGCAAATATCCACCACACCAGGTGGAGGTGGAGGCCATACAGCACAAAACCACACAGATCTTTCACAAAGGTCTACTTTCCGGACGACACAGATGAAGCCTTCGAGGTTGATAGCTCCACGCGAGCCAAGGACTTCTGCAACAACATCTCGCAGCGTCTATCCTTGCGCACCAGTGAGGGCTTTTCCTTGTTTGTAAAGATAGCCGATAAGGTTATCTCAGTGCCCGAGGGTGATTTCTTCTTTGATTTCGTACGCCATCTGACCGATTGGATAAAAAAGGCGCGTCCTATACGAGATGGGGCCAATCCGCAGTTCACCTATCAGGTCTTCTTCATGAAGAAACTGTGGACGAACACAGTGCCAGGCAAGGATCGGAACGCCGATCTAATATTCCACTATCACCAAGAGTTGCCAAAGCTGTTGCGCGGCTATCACAAGTGTTCGAGGGAGGAGGCGGCTAAACTGGCTGCTCTTGTATTCCGCGTGCGCTTCGGTGAAAATAAACAAGAACTGCAGGCCATACCGTAAGTACAGCTTATTATTCCCATTATTTTTTGATTGACTTAATTAAATGTTGGAATTTTTTAGGCAAATGCTGAGGGAACTTATTCCATCGGATATCATGAAAATGCAGAGCACTAGCGAATGGAAACGATCGATTGTTGCCTCTTACAACCAGGACGGCGGCATGACTTCCGAAGATGCCAAGGTGGCCTTCTTGAAGATTGTATATAGGTGGGTTTTCAAAAACCCATTAAGTGATATGCGTGATTTCTAAACATTTGATTCTATCAACAGATGGCCAACTTTTGGCTCCGCTTTCTTTGAGGTGAAGCAAACCACCGAACCGAACTATCCCGAAATGTTACTAATAGCCATTAACAAACACGGCGTGAGTCTCATACACCCAGTCACCAAGGTAAAAACTCGTATTATTAACTGTTTTATGAAAATGTATAATAATTTAATATTCATTTTTTTATTTAAAGGATATTTTGGTCACACATCCATTCACACGCATCTCGAATTGGTCCTCGGGTAATACATATTTCCACATGACCATTGGCAATTTGGTGAGGGGCTCGAAATTATTATGCGAAACTTCGCTTGGCTATAAGATGGACGATCTGCTGACTTCATATATCTCGTTGATGTTGACCAATATGAACAAAAATCGAACAATACGAGCCAACTAGTAAAACCTACAATTACCGCAAATATTTATAATAATTATAAATAACAATTGCAATAACTTATACAAGCCTAGTACTTTATAGTTAATAAGTCATTCTTTATACCCACCACCCTATTCGCTCTAATTGCATTCCCTTCTCGGTGAATTCATTCCAATTTTGGTCTTGTTCAGCTATCGATTATACCAAACCATTTTCCAAACTTTTGTTTTGTTTTTAGTTTTTTGTTTTTCTTTTGTATAAATTTTGCAATTACTCTCTTAGGTATTCTTATGGCACATTCCGGTTAAATTATTAAATACAATGTTTTGTAGGAAGAAAAGGTCTTACATATTCATAGATAAGCATTTGTATCTACGCATTTTGCATCTATCTCTTTGTATATCTTAACTGCATATCTGTACTGATGACGTTTTGTATCAAATACATAGAAATGTTCAATTATTTAATAAATTATATACAATTAATTTGGTTATTTTATTGGGACGGGACAAAACCAATGGTATAATAAAGTAATTGATTGTGGTAACGACAAGTCCAATTATTTTTTTAAAAACAGTAAACCAATTGACTTTTTTGAAAAAGGTTTTTAAATATAGCCAGTGAACAGCAAAAGTAATATATTTAAATGCAAAATGGATAATATTTTCTTTTTTTTGTGAGACTCAAAATAATTGAAAGTTACATTTTTATAACTACGCTGATCATTCACAGATACCTTTTTTTTTTATGTCTTCCTAAATTGTAAGTTGAAGGTAATACAAATTCTGTTAAACAAGGAAATGACTGAACCTAGGCTATAAAATAAATAATTCAAGTCATAAGGAAATATTTAAAATTTATGTTAATACAACTTACAATGGAATTATATAATTATTTATTGATGGATGGTTGCAAATGACTTGTGAAAAGTGTTAGTAAAATACGTAAAGTAATCCATTCTATTTGGCAATCGATAAAGCAATCTTGACCTACGGCTCTGGATTTACCACTATATTATAAATCAGAGTACGTGTCCAAAGTCTTGTGGATACAAATTTATATATTTATATTGCACATATAGTTTCCCTTGATTTTCTTGGCTGACTCCCACGCCACCAATTTCCCACGCATTGTATTTTGCGAGAATTTCCATTTTTCCCCAGCGTGTGAAAAACAGCAGCAGTCAGCAGGCAAACGGCTGAAGACGACGGCAGGTAGACTTAGATTTTTCAAGATAATTAACTTTTTTTTAGTAGTTGTGTGTAGCAGTCCTGAGAACTTTTAGAAATTGCTCTGTCTCTCCCCCCTTTCTAAAAAGCGACCGCAATCATCGCACTCACCTATCCAAACGGTGGGGGCAGAAAGACGGCCGGGTAAATGTGAAGGAATTGTTCATTAAAAATTCCTAACTAATTTCATATTCAGCTTCTTATAAGACGGCGACGACCTTAAGAGGTTGCAGTTCCAATTGCCGGACTCGAAACTTTTTGGTGGTGGTTTTTCCATCATAAAAAAACAGACAGTTTTCCTCACGCAACCGAAGTTCGTCGTTTAAGTCTTTCGTTCCCATCGTTCACAGTGCATTAAAATCTTAGGGGTTGCAAGCAAGTTCCTATTGGATGACTTCTGATAAGAAATGTGTCTCCCAAGATGCAAGATGATTTTAAATGCTTGGCCAGCGCGCTCACCTTCTGATTCCGTCAAGCGGAAGTAAGCGATAATTAATTCAAAACTGCGAATCTTAATTTGTAAATCTGTAAAGACAGCAGCAGGAACAACAACAACAACAACAACAACAACGACTGCATAAATATTCAACAAAAGGCAGTAAAATTTCTCACAGCAGCTCAGCGGCGGCTTTTTGGGCTGTGAGAAAATTCTGCTCCTTAAGTTGGCCAAAACGGAAACAATAGTGTTATATATCTTTATATGTATATTTGCTTCTTAACTTGGCGTTCAGCAATTCCAGACCAAACTATAATTAAAGTCGGCCCCGCCAAGGGGGGTTGTGGCAGGCCATCGTGGGAAGAGGTGCACTTGTTTTGTTTAAAAATATTCACACGATACTGGGCCATATTCCCACAGCAATTTAAGGTAACCATTCCTCCCCCAGCTCTCTCCACCATCGTTCAACCCAAAAAGTGGTGAACAAGAATAATCACGTTAAATCAAAAATATAAAACTGACATGATTTGGTTTTTTCTTTGTCATAATTTCGGTTTTCCTTCATTTGCTTTTATTCATGTTGTTGGGCTTTCGCTTAGACTTAATAAATAAATCGCTGCTTTGTCTTGTTGCGATTTTATTTTACAAAATATTTTATGGGACTTTTAGTGCTACGAATTTCCAAAGAGATGGTAAACTAAAAAAAATGCAACAAAACAGTATTTACAGAAAAAAAGTTTTCCCTTTTGACTTTGTCTTTGACTTTATGGAAAGTGTTAAAGGGCGAAATGGAATGTTTTTATGTAGCATGGCTACTTGCTGGTTTTTGTATAAAGCAGGCTCAAGTTTTCTGATTTATTTCGTAGTACTTTTTTCCCTTGGCAGTCTTTAGAAATTCATAGCAAAGAAAATCATAAATATTTTAACCGCTGCTAAAAATCTTCTATAAACTTACATATCAATTGTATATTTAACTAGAATTATATGTTCTGTATTGATGTATATTCATGCACATATAAATTTATATATATGTCAGTGAGCTTTTTCGAGTTATGTACAGAGTTATATGTTTCATTTACAAATCTATTGGTTCCAAACTAGCACTAGATACATGTTTCAATAGGATGATTCACTTTTGAGAGGAGGGGGGACACATTTTGGTTCACGTCATGACAGGTGGAAAATTAATATGAGAAAAATTGTCAATCTACAAACTAAGGTCTTCAATAAAAACTATAAATAACTTAGAAAACATAAATGTATGATGCAATAATCCTGCACTCAGGATAAGCCGCTACCATGACTATTCCATTGCACTTCTGAGATGGAGGGCAGCGCCTGGTGCTGCTGCTGTTGTGGTTGTTGCTGTTGCATACTGCCGCCGGCCGGTGATCCTGCATTATTGCTGTTATTATTGTTACTAATGCTAGTGATGTTGTTATTATTATTATTTTGTCGCGTCCGCATCACTTCCTCGGCCTGTGGATTGCAATGTGGCCGAGGACCCGGCTCAGGTGTATATGTGAAAGTCAGACCTGTGGCATAAATAATGCCATCGTTACGTACCAACGAAATGGGCACCTGCGTTGGCTGTCGAACCTGAAATGAAAATACAAATCATATTTATAATGCGTATAGAAATGATTTGGTTAAAGAATCTACCCAAAGCCATTCCCCGCGAAACTGTGAAATCTCCGGTACAACGCAAAGCAGTGTCTCGGTACAGCGGTACATGGTCTCAGCCTCCACATCACCGAACCACACCTGCAGATGTGGAGTAAAGTTGTCGCCACTGAGCTCTAACATGGCCACATCACCACCGCCATTGAGATTCAGTGAATTAACAATTGGCACTGGTGTGACTGGGGAACTAAAATGAAAGACCATAATGAAAACCAATTGATTGACAGGAAAATCTTTAACTTACGCCACGGGACCCATGCCCTCGTAAAACTGGTATTCGGCCTTGTCTGTAGAGATGATGGTCCAGCAGGCGCCATCATTGATCATCTCTTTGTTCGGCTCCTTTGGGCAGGGGGTGGCTTGGAATTGAATGATCTTCTCTTGCGACAGGCACAGATACATTCGGTCCGTGTCCTTCATGTAGAAAGCGCACTTGTGCAGCTGCGAAACAGGATCGTCGGCTTCCAGTAAGGCCATTTGCTTGTCTACCTTTCGGATAATCAAACGAGGCAGCGCCATGCCCGTAACGGAACACACTAGTTTGACCGTAGCTCCATAATGGATGTAACCATCGCGCACTTGGAACTCCTCTGACTCAGACTCATTGTCATCCAGTAGGTGTATCGTAAAGGCACCCCATTGCGTTGATGAGGCATGGAAGTGTCCATTTTCCACATGCAAATACCGAGTGGAAACGGTCTGGGAACGCAGGCGATTGAATAGGGCAACATTGGTACCGCTGGCAATACACAAGTCGGCATTTTTCAGCGACTGTTTCTTTTTGGACGGCTTGGATATCACCTTTATCCGTTTGGAGTTGAACACGCCGATGTCATGTCCATTGCCGTAGAACATCTTTACCGACAGCATAAAATGTTTTCGCTTGTCCGAATCGGAAATGAACAGTGTCTTAGCCGCACAGTACTGCTTGCCATTGAGATCCAACTGCTGCATGTCCTGGTCACTGCTGCCGATTCCAATGAAGGCACACAGCTGTGCTCCTTGTTCGCCTTCGCCCTGCTGCAACATTTCCTCGTACCGTCGACGCCAGCCACTCCCAAAGAGATAAATGCACGGCGGTGGGCAAAAGAAACGTTTCTCATTGCCGTAGGATTTCTGGGCCACCTGGAATACACACGGACAACACACACACATTGTGGTGTAGGAAAATTCAATTAGTACAAATTGGCATCCAGATTATCGGCAAATCATATCAAAACCGCAAGCAATGCAGCTTTGTTAATTTTCTGTAATTAATTTCAATTATTTTCATCGCAGACTGGACCGGGCTCGCGTTGCTCAATTTGCGGGCAGTGGAGTGTGAAGGATTCGCATTTGGCGGCAGTCGCCGCTTGAAGATCGCCACCACCGCTAAGCTAAATGCAACCGCGACAATTTTATTCCCATTTTTTTATTTCTGCTTCGCCAAAAACCGCAAAAATGTAACACTTTAAAGTGGACAATAGAAACACTAGCCCTTTTGATAGGCGAGGGGTTTGGTTTTTGTAAAACGGCTTGACCGATAAGTCGTACAAATGCAGGCAAATCTATTTCTTTCCCTTAAAATAAAGTTAAAATCCTTTCATGTTGAATATGAAATCATTATATACAATTTTGTTCTATTTATCAATAATATCTTTTCAAAATGTTGTAAATATTGTAAAATTTCCTATTCGTATTTAAAAATATTAAATTATGTAAGCCCTACACCCAACACCTGTTATTATAGACACAGTTATGTATTTTTCCCACAGGGATAATTTTTCGCACCTTGGCATGCAGGATCACGATGACCATGTCGTTGCGCTCGCGCATGTACTTCTCCATAGCATCGCGGGTGAGTTTCTTTTCCTCGATGTGCGGCCGATAAGGACTTGGTAGCAAGGACATTTGCATTTGTTGTTGCTGCTGGTGTTGCTGTTGTTGCTGCTGCTGCTGTTGGTGATGCACTTGTAGCTGCTGTTGTTGTTGTTGCTGCTGCTGCTGCGACGGCGGCGGCTGAGGGCCGGGCAGTCCAAAGTGCGGCATGTCCTGGCGCTGTTGTTGTTGCTGCTGGTGATGGTGATGATGATCTAAAGGCGAGCCGTTGGGAATTACAACTGAACTATCGTAGGCAATGGCGGGCGGGGCGGCGGTGTTTAAATTAAATTGGCTGTAGCTCTTCATTTATGCACATGTCTCTTTGCATTGAACTGATTGGAATTCGAAGCGGTAGGCCGTTTGGTTTGTTTTTTTTTTTTGCTTTTAGTGATCTTTTCTTGTTTTTGTATTATTTGGCAAATTCGTTTGGCACTTTATACACTGTTAGTGGTTGTTGTTGTTGCTGCTGATATTGTATGTTTTGTATTTTGTTATCCTGCTGCACCAACACACACGCAGAGCAGCTGTCGTTTCTCTCACGCACTCTCTTCCTCTTAATCGCGGATTGGCTTTGTTGTTGTTGTGTTTGCTCTGGCTGGATTTGCGGCTAACTAACTGTGTTCACAAATAATCTCACATATTTTGTTTTTCTAAGCAGATCTTGACTAGCGACTAGCGGTCGTAGCGTCTGGCTTCTGTTTAACGCTGCAACTAGCGCTCGAGTTATATTTATAATATGCTACAACTAAAAAAAGCGACTGAGGATGTTGATGTTGTATCGATAGTTCGATTGGCCCTTATTTATGATAGTCGCTGCCTACCGGCGATATGCTTAGCGTTTCACAGCACTACTTTTGGGTATGGCTGGCAATGACAATTTAGCTTTTTTATACCTAATTGCTGTATTACATTTATTTTTGCTTAAAGAAATTTAAAGATATATTCAGCTTATGAACTTTAATTTAAAGGTATTAAAATTTAATACCTATCCCGGTCAAAATAGTATAAACTTCCTAGGGACAGATTTCATCGATTTTCTATTAACACTACAAGATATCGATTTTTGGCGGCCTCATTTAAAATTCTATACTCATGCTATTAACCCCCTTTTAACTAAGCCAAGAGACCGTGGGAATATACATAAGGCTAACTATTAAAGTTAATTTGCTTATGGCCAACACAAAAGTAAAAGTTACTGGAACTCGGTTCAAAGTTGATGCGTAGGGAGAACAGTAATAAAGTAAAAAGCAAACATTGTCAATTATTAATTTTCTTGAAATTATATACAAAATGCAACATTTCAGAAAATAAATTGGTCTCTGTAGGCCTTATATTTGTGGAAGTTCAAATGTGCATTGAAAATCACTGAATATCACTCTTCAATCCTATCGGCTATATCACCGGGCTGTAAATCGATAGCACCGATAGACACTTTACCATACCTATCTTGTGAAATCCGAAATCGGTTCGGTGCTTGAACTTTAAAGATATTCTAGAAACGCAGTCGTAATGGAGCAATTCAAGGGTCTGCAAAAATCTCTATATATATGGACGGATAGTGCCGATCTAGACAAGCGTGTGGAGCAATTGAAAACAGCCACCGGAGGAGATGTGGCTCTCGAAAATGTACACCGCTTGTCATTTTGTAAGTTGCGTGTTGTGTGTGACTTTATTTGTCTAGCCAGTGAGTCAGCAGATTGAAATCAATGTTATATTTGGATTACAGCATCCTATGCCAACTCCAGTTTCGACCTGATTGTGATCGAGTGCGCCCAGCTGACCGACAATTACGTAAAGCTGCTGCACATGCTGAAACCGAGTGGAAAACTCCACTTGGTGTCTTTCATAGGACCGGCGTCTAGTCTGCTCCAGGAGGTTAAGTTGTCGGGATTTATCAACTGTCGTGAAGACTCGCAGGATGCCCTGACCGCAGAAAAGCCTGGCTATGAGACGGGATCTTCGGCCAGACTGTCCTTCGCCAAGAAAAATTCGAGTGCCTTGAATGTCTGGAAGATAAGCGGCGATGATGAGGAACTAATCGATGAGGAGGAGCTGCTAGATGAGGAGGACAAACAAAAGCCAGACCCGGCTGGTCTGCGCGTCTGCAGCACCACTGGAAAGCGCAAGGCCTGCAAGAACTGCTCCTGCGGTTTGGCCGAGGAACTGGAGACTGAAAAACAGAGTCAGAAGGCCACTGAGAACGCAAAGTCCAGTTGCGGAAATGTAAGATCATATAGTAATTTCCAGTCTTTCATATTATCATATTTTTCTTAAATTTAGTGCTATCTGGGCGATGCTTTCCGCTGCTCCACTTGCCCCTACCTGGGCATGCCCGCCTTTAAACCTGGCGAGAAGGTGCAACTGGGTGGCAACCTACTGAAATCCGACATATAGCTTAGGCTCACCATGATACACCCAAGCAATCAATCACATTTCAAATAGTTTATTAAGCTGACTTACTAACAAACAATAATGTCATAATGTAAATACAAAAATGCACCGCGTCATAAACACAGCATGTAGATTCAAATATCCAACTGCTCACATTTCGCATGGTGTACCCTTGATGAGATCGCGGTTCTGGCCCATCAAAATACGATAGTTGACGGCCGAGGGGTCGAGTTCCTTGTACAAATACGACGGCATCTTGTCGGACAGCACCCAAACTGTACCCTCGTTGTCGATCTTCATGTCATTAGGGAAGACCAGGGTGTGCGAATCGGAATCGATCAGTCCCTGGGTGTCCGGAGTGTAGGGGCGTTTGATGTTCCAGCAAGCAATGGCGTCTTTGTTTACCTGCGTATAGAATATGACGCCGGTCTCGGGATCAAAGACCTCGGCGGTGGACTGACCATTCATGCCACGATCACCAACATATTTAAAATCATAGTACGAATCTCCGCCGGTCACGTGAGTTTCATTTTGCAGTACACGGTTGGAGACCTTGAACTCCTTTGTACTTGCCAAAGCATGGAAATAGATGTCCTTGGAATGATCTGGATTCATGGGACCAACAGCTAGGCCAAAGACACCGTCAGTCCACTGGAAGTTTACGCCACCGACATTGAAATCACCCTGCAGCGGATCAAAGTGGAAGAAGTTGTGCTTGACGCGATAGGATTTGTCGTTCCTCAAGGAGTACACGATCACACCGTAGGCTCCCAGATCCGGAATGTAAGCGAAAGCATCCTGGCACTCCGAGCGATCGGCGTCCACGACCTTAAATATAGGTGTTATTAGATTGGATTTCCAAAAAATGATTTTATGTTTACTTACAATATTCGCAAAGAACGAATCTTCCTTGGTCTGATCAGCGGGAATGGTGAAGCGACGGATTAATTTATCCGTTTTCAGGTCAAAGACCAGGATCGAATTGGGAGTTATCTGCTTGGGATTGCCAAGAATATCAGCCAAACCAGTATCCAAAACCCACAGACGATCGCATACATCGACCTGAATTCGGAAGGTGGATATAATAGTTGAGTTATCCGTCAGCTGAATTCCGGCATCTTGAGCCTTGTCAGCATCCAGTCGTCCGCCCGATGGAGTCTTTTGATCCTGCGGCTGCACATCGATGGGCAGCTTGTTGGCCTCCCAACTGGGATACGGATGCAGTTTTGGCGACTTCTCGGTTGAACTGAGATCAATGTAGTTTAGAGTGGCAGCAACGCCAGCCTTCCATCTAAGATTAATAGATAATTTAATAATAAGAACTAATTTTTAAGACATTTTTACGACTACTTTGACCTCAAGTTATTTCTAATCCTAAGGGATTGGCGAGCATTCTTAAATTAACCGGTTTTTAGATTAAATACTTCTGCAATTGTTGAGACCGATTGAACTTTGCCTAATAGTAAAACCGCAATGTGTAATTGAAGGCTTAGCTCTAAAACTAACTAACTTAACTTAACAGTTAAGTCGTGATTTTTTATTTGTATTAATTGTTGTGCTAGTTTAATTGCCGGACCTCTTATAGATTTCTTGGAAAACTTGACTGGTCAAATATATAAATAACTTTTATATTCATTTTCTTAAGTTAAAGAAGTTAAAATCTATATAGCAAATACTTCATTTCTTGTTTACCCCTTTTATTAACTTAAGTCAATAATTGGTTATATTTTAATCAATATTATATATTCTCATATCATATTATTGTAAAACTCAATTTAAATTTAGGTTGACCATGCGTAACAGATATGATTTGTTTGTTATTTTAAATAATTTGGTTACTCATACATATCTCCCGAAAAATGTTTTCGGGTCTTTTCGGCCAATTAAGCGCATCTTGGGTAAATCCCGAAAAGAGATGACGTCACACATTGATATTGTTTACTAGTTTTTAAAATGTTCTGCTTTAATTGGATCAATTATTTTCCATGGAGTTTTCCGGTCATGTGTTTTCTCTTATTAAATTCTAATTAAATTCATATCTTCATTTGCATTTAGAAACCACAATTTGAAATGCAAAATAGACTTACACAAAGGAAAAAAATGATAAAGTTAACTAGCCAACAAGTAAACCGGTTTCCCCTCTTTGACGCTCGATGATTTTGCAAGTCTAGCTTGACATTTAATTACAAACAAGCCAACAAAAAAAAAAAAGGTAAATAATAATAATACAAAAAAAATAAGAAAAGTTAACTAGAGGCAATTACGGATTTTCGGTTATGAATATGGTGACTTACCTTGGCACAGTGACAAAGATTCTGTTTTGCCAGCGCTCTACGCCCAGTGGCAGGTTGTTCTCCTCGATGTAGTGGCCATTCGCTTTGGCCTCCGCCTCGGCCTCTGGAGTGGGCCAATCGAAGGCCAGCTGCTTCCACGAGAACTTCTCTTCCAGCTTGGCCGATGCACCCCGGCTAAAGCCGCCGATCAGGCACAAGATCAGGCCAAGACTCACCATTCCTAGTGGGTTCATATTGGAATTTCTGTTTTGAAGATCTTAATTTGTTAGGCTTCTTGCTGTTTTTTTTGGACCTCCGTTCGATTCGAGTTGAGTGCGCTAACTGCAAGAGCGTGGCTCGGAGTCGGGCTTAATATGTTGGCTCGGTTTTAAATTGACCAAAGCTTAAAGCTCAACACTCAGAGATCGAGTCTCCCCTTAAGTGTTATAATCTGTTATATAAAATTCCGAGCTGAGTGTTAAATGGCTACTGCTGTGGGTTGAGGGTTAAAATTAGCAACATAACCGGAAGGAAGATGTGGATTTTATTTGGTAATACTTTAAAAATATCTTTATTCCCACTTAAAAGCCCCATCTGGATCATAATCAATCGAACAGTGAACCTGAAAATTCAGTTGGCAACTCATGATTTTGGATAAAACATAACATAATAATCGATAAAAATAAGGATTAGAAGTATATCCCATTAAAAAACTTAACTGCACACTGCAAACTCATTTTTTATCACAAACCATTTTAAGGAATTTGTAAAATAATTATTAATTAAATTGCATAAACAATTCAACCGTTGATTTAATGAATAAAGGTTATTGATACCCTCATTAAGAATGCAGCACGAGTGGGGTGCAAAATAAAATGTTTGCTTTTAAGAACGATTTGCATTTTAAGAAACAAATTTTGTGGACGGTGTCAAATTATTAAGTCTGATTATTGAAAATCAATGAACTTGTAATTTAAACATGTTACCTTTAACATTAGCTTTAAAATTTAAATGACTTAAGTAGCAGAAAAATGGAAAATATTTGAAGACCATTCAAAGTTGTTATTTGGTTCTTTGCTACTGTACAGTACTTCTTTTTTTTATTTATATTGGATACAAAAAACTAAAAAAAAAAAAAGTTTAGACTTGATAAGCTACTCAAAAAGAAGCATCTTTATCTTTGCGGTTATATTTTTGTATATTATTATATATATATATATATATATAAATATATCTCTGCGGTCTAATGCTTGTGAACAAAAGTTTGACCCAAATATGTTTATTTAAATAGTAGAAGAGGTTAAAAATGTTTTAGTTCTGTACTAATCTTTAACAAAATGAAATCACACCTTGTGCTATTTTTATCTATTTTGATTTTTAAAGAAAATAAAATAACTCTAGGCCAGAGCTCAAACACCTGTCCTAGTGGCAGTCCAAATGGAGTTCACCAAATGAGCCTGCCAGGAGAAGAAACATTCCAAGTGACACAATGCAAGTCTTCAGCACCAGATTGGACAATCATTCAAAGGCGTCTTGATGGAAGCGTTAGTTTCAATAGATCTTGGATTGAATACAAGGATGGTTTTGGAAATAATCAAGGAGAGTTCTTTATCGGCCTGAAGAAACTTTATCTGATGACTAAAGAACAACCTCATGATCTTTTCATTCAACTAAAGCATATCAATGGCGATACAGTGTATGCCCATTATGATGACTTTAAAGTGGGCAGTGAAAAAGAAAAATATAAGTTGGAAAGGGTGGGGCAATATTCGGGAACAGCTGGGGACTCCCTTAAATATCATATAGGCAAGCAGTTTTCCACTTTTGATCATGATAATGACGAATCTAGAAGAAATTGTGCAGCCGAGCATGGAGGTGGTTGGTGGTTTCACTCTTGTTTGTCAAGGTAAACTTGTGGAATTATAAATTTTCTTATGTGAAGTTTCTTAAACGAAACAGTTCTAATATTACAGCTCGCTGAATGGTTTGTACTTCAAAGAAGGAGAAACTCTCACGCTAGATGGAATTCATTGGGGTATATGGAAATATTACTCTTTTACCTTTGTACAAATGTTGATAAGACCGAAGTTGTTTTGATTAAATTTGAGTAAAAATTATATAAACAAATCCCACGAGTAAAAAAACTAAATTTTTTGTTCAATTCTGTTTTGTGTTTTTTATTCAGTAAAATTCTCATTTATTCCGTTTTATTAAACTTTAAATTAATTCGTTAATGTTACATTCATAAGAACATACCGAGTGTTTTTTCATTACTTTGACCATTTCTTTTCCTGCATATTGCTACCATTTGTTGTGGTTTATATTTATTTTGTCACTAACAGTAGAATTTCACTTTCTTGTGATTTCATTTGAAATAAATCTGGATTTATTTTACGTTTGCTTTTTTCTATTTACTCGTATTTATACAACAATTAGCTTGGCTAAACTGTGTCTTACTTGACTAAAAGTTCATCTTTCGGCTGTGATTTGAGGACAAAAAGCAAATAATTGATTCGGATTCGAAAATAAATGTCGATTAATTGTTTTGCAATTGTAGATTTGGTTGCTGTTGTCGCTATAATTTTCTATTTTTCTGAGTTTAGGAGGCGCAGCTAAATGCTCTATATACAATATACATGATCTCGAGTTACACGTCTACCCTAACAGCGTTCCCTATAAGTATGTATACGAAATACAATCCAATTAAACTACAAATTCCAACGATCCTTAACAAATATCAATGTACTAGAGATGTTCTTTGCCATGTGTAAATTTCATATATATATATATATGTATATATATATATATTTTAATATTTATATATAATCATTGTTTATCGTGTGTATAGTATTCATTTCTTTTGCTTGGTTTTCCATTTTTTATTTAACGGCTTAGATTTTAAAGTCTTTCATTTCGTAGGAATTTGATGTTGTCTATGTATGTTTCTTATAGCACTTTTCGTGATGGATTTTTAATTATTTTTTTTGTTGTTTTTAAACCGGATGTGAGTGTGATTTGAATTGAAAAGGTTCGATTTCGTTGAGGGGTGAGTTAGTGGGTGATAGTATATTATATGCAAGTGAGTGAGAGTTAATTATTATTTTGTCAATTGGTTTTAGTTTTGTTTTAGTTTAAATAAAGTCAATTCCTATATAACGACGCCCTCAATTATGTTCGGTTTCTTCTCATTTCCTGTGTATAATATATATACTTTATAAATGCAATTTTAGAACTTACAGTAGGTTCAAAAATTTTCTCATTACCTTTTAATTTGTCTATGTATAACGGTACATAAAAATTAAAACGTTTCTTGAGCACTTAACCCACCCATATAATAATATAATATATATATTAACTTTTGATGCTACACTAGTCTAAGCTAAATGTATACATATCCTTTCATTATCTAAGATTTGCTAGACTTTTCATTCGATTTGTGCTATTTACGATTTGCTGAAATGTAAACTATTAAAACTTTTATCGAGTGCACACTTACAAGTCACGCACACACACACATTGATCTATACAAAGTGCCTAAAGCTAACTTAGCTAACATATTTGGGAATCATACCGGTTATCATCCACATCCTATCGACAAGGATATAGAGTTCCATGGTCTGATTCCCGGAGTCTAGGAGTTTGGTTTGTATTGCCGCGACCTGGTTCGGAAAAGACACCTAAAATCAAAACTAAGAATCAGGAGAAGGCCGCCATTTGGGGGGATTTTCATCTATGCAGATTAATTATATATATATAGAGCTCTAGGAGACAGCACTGAGCAACAAAGGTTCAAACAGAAAAACAGTACAGTATTCACTAAAAAAAAAAACAACAATTTGTTTTTCCTTTTTGCATTTAAAAATTACTAACTTTAACATGATCTTTGTTCTTAGGTTTTCCCTTGACTTACTAGATTTCTTTTGGTTTTTCCGTTTCAACTTTAAAGCCTAACAATTCGCTTAGTTCAGATGCTAATGTCGATTTTTGTTTTGTTTTTTGTTTTCTTTAAGTTAAAAGTATTTCGTTTTCAATATTAATGCTAAACACGTTTAAGGTACAATACATATTTCATTATTCTACAAAATTGCTGCTACCAATTCACTTATTTAGCTCAGCTTAAAGTTGATACAAAGTTTATTAAGTACGTGTTTTTATTTATTAAATCCATTCTCCGTTAGCATCATTATTTGCATTCATTATTTTCTGTATAATTCACCTATCACGCAAAGGAAATTGACAAGTTTTTTCATGTACGATGCTCATGAGTATCTGGAAAATAAATATATTAAGAATTAGTATATATTTTATATATTTTTAGAGATAGTGTGTTTTGCGTCTTTGGAAATGTGATACAAATAGTGACTCTTTAGAGGGAAGAAGATGTGTAATAAACAGTAGCAAGATCATGTTTAGTGCGAAAATTTAAAAATTGAAATATTTATCAAGTTCACAAGATTAGGAGACGTGCTGACAGTGAATTTTTATAGCATTAACATAAAACAAATAACCTTTGAACTCCATATATACTGTTGTTCCTAATCAATTGTGTCAATGCCGACGAATATAGCTAAAATTTCTAATTGAAATTGAGAACAATAACCGATTATGAACGTCAAGCTAAACCAACGATGCTAATATCAAAGTACCACATGCAACTGGCTAAGGGTTATATTAGGTTTATTTTGGATGAATGGTTCCACCATTTGCTCACCTTGTGTGATTGCGAGTGTGGCTGCAGGCGTGGCGTGTGCGGATGAGTTGATGAGGGAAGCGGGCTGCGAAGTGGTTGCGACGGCGGCAGAAGCGGCACCTGTTGCACCATTCAGTTCTGTGCCCTTGGCGTCGCCCCTCTCCACAAGCCGCTGTCGCAGGACTCGTATCTTTTCCTCTTTCTGTAAACGAAAAAATATAGATAAGAAATGTTTTATATAAATGTAGTATGTGATACGAAAAGTCCAAACTCACCTGTGTTATTAATCGTTGCAATTCCTCGTTTTCGGTAACAAGTTTCTGATAGCGTTCTTCATCCTCCTTTGATATGGCCGAATCGGGATTGTATTTCGATTCGGCCTTATCCTTGGGATGACGTATGACCTCAATGACCTAAACGTAAAGTGAACTTAGATTATGCAATCTTTATACAACTGCAGTAGAGTCTAACCTTTGGCACAAATATCAGCAGCATGCTTAGGAAACAACAGAATATCACAGCTAGAGCAACGAAGGCAAAGGACGCGTCCTGTTGCGATGCAATGACCATGCCCACCGGAGCTGTTATCAGGCAGAGGACCACCACATTATAGATGCTCATGCCCACATAACGCGAATCGTTGATCTGTTTCACTTTAATGGATCGTGTCTCGTAGGCCAAAAACAGGCCAAACACCAAGATTAGCCCCTTGAAGCCATACACAAGACCTATAGATGATAAATTTAAGTATTATAATAGTTCGGAAAGATATTTAAGAAGTAGTTTTGAGACATACCTAACCACATAGAGTTGCGTTGACTTTCACAATGCTCAAGCTCTGGACGTATTTTAATATCATCAGTAGTAGATACTGGATCTTCGAGTGGGAATGTTTCGAGATAACGCTGCAGCGGATCAAAGATCTGCCATGAGAGTAATATCACTAAATCTATTGATAAGAGGCCCGAAACCATGGTGTATAGCTTCCAAGGTTCCACTTTTTTCTGTAATTAAAAGGTATATTAAATATAAGCTTATAAATATTGATATTATATTCTAACCTTCGGGTCAGTTTTTGCTTTTGTTGTAAATCGGTGCACACGCCAGACCTTGCTGAACATAGCACCGTATGCTAATGTAAAACCGGTGGATAGTAACCAAGCTCGAGCTTGACATATCTAATGGAAAAAACATTTGAAAGCAATTAGTCATATAATGTAAAGACTACTTAAGCTAAGAACTCCTACCTTTGGATATTCCTCGGGACTGACAAAGCGACCGTCGATACCCAGTAGGATGACAGATATTAGACAGATGATAACACCAAATAACATGATCGTATTGCAAACGGGATGCGAGGATTGTATTACTCTGAAATATTAAGAACTAAGTTAATAACGGAAAGGATAAAATATCTAAAAATGATCTACCTTCTATGCTTATTCCATATATTAAAGATGATCAAGGCGAAGGCAACAAAGATGCCGCAACTGGAGATGGTGCACATACACACAAATAATGGCAAGGACACTGTGCGTAGGACATGCGTGACAATTGTGCGATCTTGAGGAACCTTGAGTGAAAGATTTAACGATATGTTGTTAAAGAAGATTTATTTAAAGATTTAATCATATATGTTTATTACAATAAATCATGATGTCTGAGTACTCTTTCCACCCTTTCTCTATTATTTTCTGTAGCTAATAACACATAGAACGCGACTTGGCCATACCCCTGCTGATTATGAATGATATTACGGGCCCACATTTTGCAATTAACGTTAACACGTTCGTTTGGCCTTAGATTTTTGATTTTAAGAGCCACTATACGATTGAGATCATTTGGTCCGAAAAATAATCTTTTACCCTCAGCGCCGATATGTTCAATTTTTTCTGTAATATCTGTGTATTCGGTTCTGATCGCTGGTTCCGGATGGAATTCAATTTTAATATTTTTTTGATCCTTTGTTTGGCAAGTAATCCAAGTACGATTCTGGCGATCTTCTTCTGATTTAGTTTTGTTTAAAAGACTCTTTAAAGCTGTAAAATCTTCTTCATCAATCTTTGCATTAATGAGATCATCGGAATCTGTGTATGGCTCCGTTTTGAAGCCAATTAAACGATTTACTTTAAGGAAAACACATGGCTCCCCGCTTGGATATCCAAACTGGTCCCCAGCAGTACAAGATCCAAACCGTGCGTTATGACCAGAGTCGCCATATTTTTCAAGCAAAGCCATTATTGCTGCGTACTTTTCCATGATTTCGGCATCATTCTTAGGATCGTATGATATAGCGTGGGGATTTGTTCGAGGTCCGACAGGAGAAAAAGTCAAATATGGTTGGAACATTTTGGCTAGAGGGGCTCTTCTGGAAATATCACATGTGACATAATCGAACCAGGCCAAGGAAAAAATCATGACAAATATAATATATAATATGGCAAAGATCAGGGTATAGATCAATTGACTTGGCTTTCGTAATTCATATTTTCCATTGGTGTTACTGTAGAAAAGTCGGCGCCAACCGGTTCTGCCAGGAAAGTGATATTCATAGCCTTTGTAATAGGTTCGTCCTTCCTCTTTTGTAGGTATCTTATACGGCCCATTATCTAGTGGTGGATCCACAATTAGTCTATTTAATTTCTTCCTGTCCGACTTGATGGGCTTCATAAAGATAACTTTAGTTCCGTCGTCAACGGGCTTGAAAGGTCTCTCTGTGTTGGATCCAACGTCCCTCGATTGACCACCTTTATGAATTACCATTTCAGATATATGTGAAGGTCTTCCTTTTGGTAGGATCTTAGTATTAACACCAATTTCTCTTGTTTGGTCATTAGAGGGTCCGATGTCTATGGGGTTATCGTCTGGTTCAATTTTATACTTATATTTCTTTGCAGGCTTGATTATTTTATCAGTGTTTTGGCCAATATCTCGAAGTCTTCCATCATCATGATAAATCCCCAAATCCAGTTTTGTGCTGATTACTGTTTTATTGGGTCTTCTGCTTATATCCGTATTGATACCTATAATTCTAATTTTCTTATTCCTTTTTCCCACTTTAACCTTTTGGTTTTCCTTCAGGGACTGTTCTTCTCCAGGGATATCCGAAAATGTCTCTGTAATGGGGAAACCTCGCTGTTTTTTTTGCAACCAATTCGATTTGTGGTTCTGGAGAAGTTTTCTGTTCATCATTAAATTCTTTTTTTGTTGGTTCTACTTTTGTATCTTTGGATTCATCATCATCTTTAGGATCTTCATCTTTCTTTTCTTCGTATCGTTGAGCAACCCCAAAGATTTTTGTGATGGTGCCTCTGTGCTTTACTACATGAGTATTATCTTCATCAGTTAAAGAATCGTATGGGTTAACTTCTTCCACATGATGTTGGCTGGTACCTGTAGTTTTGGGCCCTTTTATCTCATCGATGGTATAAACTCTACGTTGCTTAAGATAAGCTTTATTTGAATCCTGTTGGTCCTTCAGCTCCTGTAACTTTCCCATATTAACTATTTCAGCTAGAATAATTCGTTCGTCATCTCTTCGTGAACGATAGCTACCTCTCATTGTCGAAGATCCAAATGAATAGACATCATCCTCCTCACTTGGAATACTAGAAGTAGAATTAATATCATGCTTGCTTGGAATACGACGTCTAAGTGTACTTTCTGCTTCCTTTCTTTGATCCTTTTCAGGCCTAGTCGTTGGCCAATCTTCTGATGAACGATCATAATCTATCAAATCGGATAAGTACTGTTCCTTATCAAATGAATCAAATGGTTCTCGTGCTCGTCTTGTTATCGGTGCATTATAATCTGGATTCCGGGTTGATTTTTGTGGCTTTTTTCTTTCCGAAGCATCAAGCGACTTTCTTGGTGTGTAATTCTCTGCAGCCTGGCCCAAAGGTTCTTTTTTAAAGGGTTTAGATGGGCCTGGCTTTTCATTAGATACTTTATGAGATATTTTGTCATATTCTTGAGGACTTGATGGACCTATTTGCTTTTTAGGTTTTGGCGACACTTTAGGTCCTTCTTTCAGACTTTCTGAAGAAGATTTTATTACTTTCGCATCGTCATTTTTCCCTGACTAGCGGTAACTTCGGTTCTTCTATCATCTATTGAAAGCTTTTTTTTTTGTTCGGTATTAGTTGGACTCTTTTCAGTAGTTCCTTGTTTTGTTTCTTTGTCAGACATTTGGATATTACTAAAGACTTGAATGATATTCCAAAGATTACTATTACCAAGCTTACCTTGCCACCAATCCACTGTTCAGTATTTAACCAGGATAGGTTATCCAACTGGGTATCGTAGTAGCCCAACTTCTCGTATTTCCCATTCACCATCTGCTCGATCTGAGTAAGTGCAATACGATCGCCCTGAGAACTGAATGCCACAACACCCTGGAAGAGTATTTAATATTAGATTTCTTATTATTATTTTCAAACTAAATTTACAAACTTACCGAGACACCCAGAAACTGTGTAGAGTTCATGGCAGCGTAGATTTCATCGGCAATTTCCTTGTCCGTATAGGTGAAGTCCCTCAGCGATTTCTTACCGCTTGTCAATCGTTCCATAGTCTTGTTGAAAGCTAATGCCACACTCCAAACTGCATCGTAGGCGAGGGGCGCCTCCTGATAGCCCTCTGGATACCGATCGTGATTGATGTCGTAACCCTCTTCGATTAACGCCTGATTCAGTCGATGTCTGTCCAAAATTTGTATTGTATTGTTATTAGCAAATTTCAATATTTTCTTAGAAAATACTTACCGAAATTCCTCTGCAGTCATTCCAGATATAGTTGTCTGATTGTTCTGATTCCACATGAGAGCTTCTGTCGTCAGATGCCCCTCGGCAGCTATTCGCATTTGCTCTACGGTGCATGTGATGCCCTCTGCTTTAAGGTTGACCTCATACCAATTGTCTTCGTACCAGCCTAAGTAATAATGTGAAATATGAAAAATGTGTTAGAATATCCCGTAGCCGACTAGTTTGACGCTTTTATCCGCGAAAAGTTTTGACAGTTGAGTGTTACCAAGTCAAATTTATAATAAAATGCAATATATAAACACAATGTGAACTATTTTCAAGCTATAAATTAAATCAATGTCATGGTTTTATCATTTTCACGGGTTCCATCTTCGTTTTATATCCCTCACTTAACTTACCAATAAAGAACCATACATGGGCTCGACCATATAACTGCTGTTTGTACATCTCGCAGAGAACCCGTCTGGCGGCCACAACGTAGAAGAGTCCCACTATGATGCGTGCATCCTGGCGTCGCAAATTGCGTACGGCGTCTGTTGGATCGGAAAGAAATGATTGTCTAGTTACGATTTCAACGCCAGCCTCCATGCATCGATTCTCGAGATCCTCCACGGTCTGTTAAATAGGCAATCCAATTAGTATTAGAAACAAAGTAGCAAAACTGAATAGCTTACCGATATAAAGACTTCCTCGGCCTGTTGGAGTATAGCCACCCGCGACCACCCAAACTTCTTCATCAGCTTGATGCGTGTGGGATTGTGCACCGTAGCTGAGGGATGGGTGCGGAATAGAGTGGGAAACCGCTTGCGATCCGAAAGAGCCGGACTCGATGCCCCATAGCAGAGCTGTGGATGGATGAAAAGTGGGTGGTGTACATTGGAATTTGGAATTTCGCAAATACAAACGATGATATTAATGCCAGCGTTATGCAAGTGCCACTTACCACAATTAGATTCCACATTTTGGCAGCCTCGGCCACAGTGGTGCAGACCGTGCTGCATCCAGCCAGCAGCATCAGTTTTTGCGGTCTGTTATAGAGCAGATTGTACATCACGCTGGCGCCCAAACCGGGCTCACACTGTTGATGGGAATGGGATGGGAAATTGAATTAGCCACTTGCCAAGAAAATTATATTATCCGTCACTCTTCAATGAATATTCATATACAAGTGTATATATATAGAGATGTTTCGCTTGATGGCCTTCGGAAAGTATTGATTATGTTTATGCTAAGCAACGACCCTTAAGGAGTTATTAATAGCGAATTTCCTGTAATTTATGTGTCTGTCTTCATTCGAAGATAATTATTGAAATGATTAATTTGCTTTGTGATTCATGTGCGGCATTTGAGGCGTTGGTGTGGCCATTCAATTGAACTTTATCCCCGAAAAGGACCCGTATCCTGTTTAGGTAATTAATTATTGTAGTTCCTAATAAAATAGTTTATGGACCTTGATGATTGTAGATTGCAGTTTTCAACACCATTTGTCTTTAGATTAATTTAAAAAAAAACCAAAATCACGCAAGTTTTAACAAAAAAAAAATGGAAAATTGCGCGGGCAGCAAAAATTTAAATTGAAGTTTGTTTAATAATTAATTAAAAATAATAATATTTGATATACATTATTCCTACATTGTATCGAATTAAAAACGATTAAGGCCCGTTCTGCCTGAATTATTATATGCATTTTTATTAATTGACCTTGTTAAATTTCCATACTCAATCCCTTTGCTAATTTATATCTCCACCTGGATGATATTTTTCCATTTTTCTTTTTATTAATCCCCTTGCCATGGCATTTATCAATTAAACAAGATTCATTCATGACAATGAATAATTCAAGAAGGCGTGCCCCTTCCTCTCTTCCTTTTTCTCTCATGTGGGGGCTAAAGTTGTGATATATATATACACACATACGTGTATCCACGTTGACCATATAAATGATTCATTCATTCAGTTATTCATTCTCCCATTCATTCATTTACATGGCAAACTCGTTTTCGCTGTTTGTCGTTTCCTTTACTTTTTCCCAAAAACCCCCTTGTCTTCCTGATTGTGACGACAATTTTCATATTTCTTACTTGGTTTGCGTGTAAACAACCATTCTAATTGTTTTTTTTCTGTACTCTCCTTTTCATGTCCAGTCCCTGTTTATGCATAAGTATTATCCTGTTCATACTCCCCCATCTACTCAGATTTTGGTGTGGGTTCTGGTGCTCGGGGCATGCCACGATATAAGCGCTCGTTCTAGTTTAATAGTTTCTCTTCTCATTTTTCCCTGGCAGAAGGTATGCTAAATTTTAAGTCTAAGTTAGGCCCCATTAAAAATCTCAAACAGTTTGAGAAATTTATTATAAATTAAAAATTTACTGGTTCAGCTCAGTTAGTTTTTCCTTTGGGAAAGGTCAAGTTGACATTGGTAATTGCACATTTTTGATTTCCTTTTTCATTTTACAAAAATAACTAGTTAACTAGTAATAACATCTGCTCCTGGTCAAATACACATATGGACAGAATATTAAAAAAAAACATTTATTTGCCACTGTAATATTTAAGCTTTAATTAAAGAAAAACAAAAACCTTTTTGGAGCTTACACCCATTCCAACTAACTTCCTAGTTATAGTTAAAGTTTTGACAGCTGTTTGAAACCATTTCCGCGGTAGCGTTTAAAGCACTTATCCGGAAATAAACTGGCAGCTTTCCAGGTGAAATAATTACATTTTTAAGCACTTAGGTGGTGATAACAGACACAAAGTAAGGACTGTTACTCTCTGAGAATTGTATCGTTGAATTAACCGGAAGGGTGTTGGATGTTTCGGTTACCGCAGGATAACCATAGTGTCTTGTTTATAATTTTTTTGTCTGCTTCTCTGTGCTTTTGTGTGCAGGCTTCTTTGGGACATTTCACACATCAAAGTAGGTCAAGCAAAAGGCAGCGGCAAAGGCAAACATTGCGTGCGACCTTTGCCCCTTGTCGCTTGCCAAGTGACGTGAATGTGGATGTGGAAGTAGTGGTGGCGGTGGTGCCCAAGGAGGTGGAGGCGGCTATGGGACCTGGAGATGGCAACTAATTATGCAGCATTTAACGGAAGCTGTTTGCCTAAGCCACAAACATAACGCGCCCGGCTAAGTCCAGCGAAGCGAACTGAGCTGAACTAACCAGACCAGACCAGACCATGCCAAAGACCAGATACAGATACAGATATGAACAGGGACAGGACTCGGTTTACCTCTCCGGTCCTCTGTGTTCTTATCTATATGTCCGTATCTGGCCCGTAAATGGGTGTGTGTATATGTACATAGATATATATATGTATATATATGGCCTAGGATATAGTAGAAAGTCTGTCCCTCCTGGCAGCCTTGAATAAAAATAACTCAAATGATGAGCTACGGCTGGGCTGGGGCAAAGTGACCTCATTCAAAACTCAAAACAAGTAGTTAAGCTTTCGCTCACTTAAAACTAATGAGGTTCGCGCTTATAAATAGGCAGGGCCAAACAGCCGCCGAAACCTAAACCAAAAAACCGAAGTAGTCAAAACCGCAACAACTGTACCACAGACCCTTAAAATGGAAAACCCACAAAAATCCAAAAAATATATGTGCAAAATATGAAAATGAATAAAAATAGTTTTATATACGCGCTAAGGGGCATTGATAGCGCAAGTTTAGTTTGGGAACTGAGAACCGGAAAACGGAAACTACGTCGGTTACTGGCCATTTATTATGATACATGGCTTTTTGGATGGCGGGTATTTGTTTAATAGCCTCTTCTCTATTAGCTAACAAAGGTTACAAAACCGACAGAAATTGATACTGTTTTGAAGTTGATTCATTGCTGGATGTTTCAGTTACATCTGTTCAGCTTCCTTTTTCGTTTTTTTTTTCATTTTTTAGCGAACAAACATTTACTGCTAGATGGTAGAAAAGGAACCCTTGTACTATTTGTTCTTCAACTTAACTACAGAAGTAAGTCAATGTTGACAAAAGACAGAGAAAATACAATTTTCTTTTAAAGTTTGCCGAGGTTTTAATCGGATTGACCCGAAAAATAAATAATATTTTTGTATCAGTTTAGCTTAGAATTAAATTTTAAGCTTAATAATAAAACGTTTTGTAAGAAGAACTAAAACTTTTTAATTAGTAATCTCATAGAAAATTTTTTAAGAAAAAAACGGAATCGTACGCAAACAATTATTTTCCGATTTAATAAGCATTAAGCGACATTTATTGGCTGTACTTGCCCGAAGTATATACACATTTTTCTTAATGATAAATACCTTTTATCAATTACAAATCACGCACATAAAATCCCGATTAACCGAACTCTACCAATATAATTGCTGTTGGCAACGTATCGAACGTGCTCCAGTCAAACCTCAATTACAATTTATGTGCGGTCATTAAGCCAAGGCATCGCCAAATATTGTTGGACAACGGCGAATTGTGCGGAGAATTCAATTTGTGGAACACATGCGTAGCAATACCCTTTAATGCGGCATAATAAAACTGTTTGTCCTTTGTTAACAGACCCCAACCCATGATCCCCTGGAGAAATATGCTAATGAATGCCAGTGCTCAGCCAGCACTTCAGTCATCAGTGAACAGAAACAAAAACGAAACAAAATAAGTGGCACCCAAGGGTATGTGACAGGACACCAGAGGAGACTGCCGTGCTGCATATAAGTAGGGCTTATCGCGTTTCAACTTGCTACTGCACCGAAAATAATAAGATGGTGCTCAAAATAGAGCCATAACTAGTGTCAATTTTACACAACACAAAAAAATTGATATAAAGTTTGTATAACATCAAGTATTAGCTTACTATTTGATTTCCTATTAATAATTGTTATATTGTATATGTTAATGGTTTCAAAATTATATCGGTTTCTTTCAGTGTGGTTACTTATTACTTGGTAGTCACTACTCACCTCACTGTCATTGCTATGCAGGATGAGCTTGAAGCCCGGCAGCAGATTCGGCTGCTTGTTGACATCATCCAACGCCAGTCTTGCGGCAGGCATGCACGCCTGCCCGCCCTGCCATCCTCCTTTGCCGGCTATCGGAAAGATGCCTCCGATGTGCAGCTCATCGGGCTTCCCGGCCACGCCCCCTTTCAGGTGCGGCGAGGCGATTAAACAAAGCAAAAATATCCAAAACGTAACAGCACCATCACTTGTCATATCCTGCAAGAAAAGGATCCACACAAACAGAAACGAGAATCAGAATCAGATTCAGAATCATAATCGAGGACGAAAGGGGGGACATCGAATAAAATGCTTGAAATGTGATTACCGAATTGGCGAGCGTACAAAATACAAATCGGGGAATACAAATACAAATAGGAATACAAATAGAAATAGAAATATAAGAAGGACGCCGGCAAAAAACAAGCCCACCAGCGATGGCGAAACAGTAAGAGGCGAAATGAAACCAAACCAAACCTAAACCAAAACCAAAAGCGGGCGTCAAGCTTCGTTTTATGTGCCAAAGCAATTTTTATGACTACATGGGCAAACGTAAGCAATTTATACACTTCGTTGTGTCCCTACAGATGGGGTATATAAGATATAACGCGGAATTGGCTAATAATAATATTATGAAATATATTTCGAGATATTATATGAATGGGGAATCTGATTACGAAGCTTTAAGGGTTTAGATTTCATCACACAAAATATTTTGTAAATTATGATTATAGTAAGCTCCAGATCTGTTTGATAAGTAATTGAGAAATAATAAAAATGTATCTTAAAATAATTACCTTCGTTCTCATACAAAACTTATTATATCATAACTAGAATAATTGTATAATTCCCACTACAAACAATATAAATAATAAAAATGAAATAAGTATTTTATTTGATGAATTTAAAGAAGATTACCAAATGCAATGGTGTTCTTAACAATAAATCTTTCCAAATAACGTTGAATGAACATTTCCATCTATATAATCCACTTCATAAAGCGTGCATATTTAAATTATATTTTTGTTGCAAACTTTTGGGATATGTTTTCGGTTATAGCTTAAAGCAGGATTAGGCCTTATTTGTTCATATATATGTATGCGTATAACGTTTTAAAGGTTTAAGAGCTTGAGCAAAAGCATGTTTTTGTGTTCGTCTTAATGTATGCAAACATTTCTAAAGAAGAAAAGATAATTTAAAACCAAAAAAACTTGCAGTCCAGCAAATCCAATTATAAAATTGAAACGAGTTTCATGCATCTTTAAAAACTTTATTTTCATTATACTTTTGAATTAATCTGAGGTACTGATTTATTTTTGTGAAACATAATCAAATGTTTACTTTAATAAGATTTGGTTTCGAACAATAATACTTCAATAAGAGTATTGACATAACATTTTCCTTCCTGTCAAATGTAAATGTAATTTGGCTCGAAAAGTATATCTGCATTAGCTTAGGTCAGTTTTGATTCGACCTTGCTGACAAATCAATCGGTATAAAACATAAAAACGAATCCCAAAGCTTTTTATGTATCCCCTCCACCTTAATACCAAGCCAACCAACAAAAAACGAATTCAATTTTCCCAAAACATTTAAATGCAGATAAAGAATTTCATTTTAATTAACCGAATCTCATTAGGAAGCAAACTGCGGACAGAGCTGTGAAGCAGATCCTATACTAATCCCAGAAAATAATTATCGCAATCCACATATCCACATGAAGCCAAATCAAATCTGCAACAAATTCAATTGTTTGCTGACCGAATTGAACTTGGATTTAATAGTAATTGTCTCTTTGTCTCGCGCTCTATCGTTTTTGGTTTTATTCGTCTGACTGTCTGTGCTCGGTGTGGTTTCTATTTAAGTTTTGATTTCAAAGCTTTTAAGCTTTGTTTCAATTGAGATTTGTCGAAACAAATAAATAAATAAGCAGTTTCTATTTATTTGCTGTTGTTTTCTGTCTTTTTTTTGTCGATTGTCCTGAGTTTGTTGTTGGCTTCTACATTCTATTTTTTTTACTGAGCAAGGGCATTTTGCGCTTCGGCGCCTGAGTTTTATGGCTTTTACTTGGTTACACCCCCGCTCCTCCTATCCGCAGCCCCTTTGGCAATGTTCTAAACTCCTGCCACCAATTTTTTTTCTATAAAAAACAGAAAGAACTTTTATGTAGGGGAAGCCTCTTTATCTTTCTGTATGTCCTGCGTGTGCGAGGTGGTACATACATGCGTACTTACACACAGAAACGTAAAAATATAAAGGGGCAACAAAAAATAATTTAAAGTATAAGTAACATATATTTTATCGTCAGCACGTTTTATAATTTATTATGGCTCTTAAATATTTAATACTAGCGTAGTTCTTCGCCAGTTTTAAGCGAAATTTCTGGTTAAATAAAGGTCCTGATTGATATCAGCTTAAATGGAAATGGAAAACGTTGACGTTACGTACTGTAAAACCTTATTCAAAATATATAAGCTTGTTTAATTGGTAGGTTTATTACTTTTATAAGCAATAGATATCTGATACAAAAAAAACTTCATAGAAAAAGCCATATTATTCAAACATTCCATTAATTTCGAACCATTAAATGATTGTTGACCGTTATAAAATAAAAACACAATCCAACTTTCACACTTTCTTTAAATACCTTTACATTTTTTATACATTTTATGTAATTAGGTTATTAATTAAATAACCAAACACTACGTAAACGTTATTTTTGCGGCTGAATGAATGAGTTTAAATGGATGATGAATGAGATGCAAGTCAAAAATCAAATAAAGTTTTTATGTTTAAGGATATAAAAAATACAAGGCCTTGTTTCCTTAGCACAACCGCTTGTTTGTGTACGTTGGATGATGAATGACAGTTTTTCATGCACAAATACGGTGTATTTTTTACGAAAAGGCCTTTTTTCAGTGTTTGCATACGAGAGAGAGCCGTGGGTTATTGAATGGAAATGCTGTCGACATAGCACAAACATACACGACCGCCAACCACTCCAAATTTGTTTGCCAGTTAATCGCACCGTGGCGCGTTAATCATGGCGGTGTGTTAAGGATGGCAAAGAAGGTGATGCGATGAGTGGTTCAGTGGGTTGTCCTTATGGGGTGGGTTACTTAACTAAGGTGTGGTTGCAGATTTGGCGAGTTGACACCTTTGACGTAGAGTTTGCCGCTGAAGAGGAACTGAAGTGGGGATGGGCGCTAAGGGGCTAACTTCCTAGTGACCTAGTTTACAAACGCTCGCACTCACACACACACACATGTACACAAACTCAAAACATTAATTACGCCGAGAATTCTGCACAAAATGCGACAAATGCTTCACTTCACTTGGCTGCCTCACCTTAACTGCTACTCTCCGCTACACAGAGCAAAAAAAAATAATAGATTCACTGATGATGATAAGCCTGTCCTAATTAACTGTATTATAGGCTGCATCGAATAAAATAACCATATGGGTGGGTATCAACTATTTATGAATATCCATAGGCTTTTGAAAGAGGTTTTAGAGTTACTACAGCCTGCCTTGAAACCGTAACGAATTTTGGTTACAAACAATGTGTTTTAAAGATAAATTTTAGTAAAATCTTAAAACATTTTCCTCAGGTGAGACAACAATGGAAAATATAATTCTACCTCTCTACTCCACCCCTCTATCAAAGGAACAAAACATCTCCACTTCTCTTTCACCTCACACCATTGGAAATAGATACTAGTATTTTGCTGAGTGTAATCCGTACTCCTCTTCGCGGTACTCTACACCTTTCTATTGCCATCTCGCTCACTTTACACTTCACTTACTTTGCGTATTGCCGTTTAAAAATGCGATGTTGTTGTGGTTTTTGTTGTTGTCTCCTTTGCTGCTGCTGGTTCTGGTGCTGCTTCTTCTCCTTCTCGGTCTCCGCTTTATCCTTTCCCGTTGTTTTTGCCTTTGTCTTTGTCTGCTCCTTTGCTCCTTTGGCCGGTGCTTCAATTGTTTCATAAGACGCTTCTTCTTTTTCGCTGCTCCTTTTGCGTGGGCAGGGGCGCAGGGAATGTCGAATATAGCGGTTTGCCCAAAAGGGGGTCAGGGGCCAAATCAGTGTTTGTTGTTGATTCTGTTGCTGTTGTTGTTGTTGTTGCTATTATCGCTGTTGCGGCGGCGTTGTTCAAACATAATTTGATGACTGCGCATTACAATCGATAATCCCATGCACAAATGCAGCTCAGCACATCGGCATTGGCTTAAATCCATTTTAATGAGAAGGGATCCCGATAATTCCGTAATCCCCAAATGATGGCAATTCCTTTGCAGGTCCCTGCAGCTATTGCTTTTTTGTATCCTCTCTCCTCTCCCGTTTTTTTTATATATGTTTGTTGCACTTTCACAAATAATACGAGAAAAAACTGAGACGTGAGGGGCGTGAGCTTTTTTGTCAACTTTGTTTGAGTTTCGATTTGCGGTTTATCCTACTCTATATGATATATATAATTATCTATATATATATATACATATATTCTTTTGTACAATATATATATGTATTCTATGAGAATTTCGTTAGATTTCTTATCAAACTAATAAGCTTCTGGCTTTCAGGGGGCCTTGAATTATTAATGTATTCGTTTGATTCACGTAAATTTTTAGCTTTAACACACTTTACATTATCAATTCCCGCACCGTTATTCCATTTAACACGTATTTTTTGCAGGTTTTCAACTACGTTTTTCAGTTTACGCTATTAAGGAGTATTATTTTATGCACAGAGTGGCGTTTTCTTCCCTTTCTTTTTAGGGTCTATTTTTTGTACAGACTTTTTCGCATTGTATTCGGGGGATGAGACGCGAGAGGCTTCTTCTGTGTTCGTTGTGTTCCACATGTATCCGACGACTGGAACTCCATGACTGACATTTACATTTTCGCCTCGCCAGGACGAAAGCTTATCGCACTGAAGCTTTTTGGCCAAAGCTCGTGCTTCCGCTTTTCCAGTTGCCAAGTCGGGTTTTTGAAGTTTCGGTTTTTCAGTTTGGTGGCCAAGTCTAAAGTCGCGAAACTCTCCGGGCAATTACAGTTATTAGGGTGGGTGGAGAGGGCGGAGTAGGTTGGCAAGGACGAGGGCGGGTTTAAGGACACCGGTTTTATAGAGTTGTCAAATGGCCCCAGGAATGGCCAGTCAAAACATCAAAATTCACTCGCAATTGGCCAAGGGCAATGCAAAAACAACAACTAAGAACTAGGAAGCCAGGAAACAGGAAAGTAGTGGCGGGGGCATTGTTTTGAAAGCGAAAGGCCATAATGGTTGCACGCTACAATCCAGAGCCACATTCAAAGCCAAAGTTGAGTTTCATTTTTGGGGTCGGGTCGCCTCATCGAGTCAAACATGCAAACACGCACGGCCCAAAGAAAGCAAGGTGAGGTCCTTGTCATTTAACTCACTTGTCGAGTTGACCTTTGTTTGGCTGGCTGGTTCGTTGGTTGTCGTGTGCCAGTGTACAACACCTAATGCCCAACAGCCACGCCTTGAGCTTGATCCATAGCAACTTGTACTTTTGTGTCCCCTAAATCCCCGACTTCCCCTTCCACCAAAAAAATAGAAAAGGAAACCCTGAAAAACCCCGCCTCTCACTTAGCTCTAAAAACAAACTTACCCCCTCAGGATGGCCATGTGCATGTTTGATGAGCTTATCAAGGCTCTGGGATTATTGAATATTTTCAAATCGATATAACCCTGCCACACCGTTAGTTGCCACCTTAATTGGCAACTAAATAATACATTGACAATTGTGCAATTAGTTTGACAACCTCAACTGTCCGTTCAAGTCGAAGGATTCTGCGGTCCAAAAAATGAACTATTTTCATTGCCCAAAAGTATGCAAGCCAAGGAATTTGAAGTTCCACCATGGTCGACCAGGGAAATCAATTACTCAAATATTTATATGTGCATGTGGAATGTGGCCATGCTGAAATGCACTTGTCTTGAAATCTGTCAGAGAATGAATGCTAAACGAAACTGTTGAGCGGATTAAATAACATTCACAATGTGTGAATATAAGGGCATGGGTTATGGAATTTATTTATTCTGTCGCAATGGTTATGAAATGCATTCCTTGTTTAATTTTTGAATTGATTTCAAAGTCAATTCGAGCAGAAACTGCACTAATGAAAGCAAATCCTTTCCAGGAATAAATTGGTAAGCACAGGTTGTCAAATAATGAAAATTAACATTGTACAATTTTAATTGACTAATTGGACGGCTTATAAATTGCTTTATTTGAATTTTGGACAAAGTTCAAAATTCAGTACGGACGAATCTTATGAATTATGAGTAAATTAATTAAGGAATTTGGTAACCTTTACATTTTTAAGACTATTAAAAAATAAAAAATGTAGCTAGAGCTTGAGCTTTAATTTTACCTCTTGCAAAATGTTGGAGTTGTTAGAAATATTCACAGAAATATATTTAAAGAAAAAATAAACTAAATGAAATATTACTGTAGTAGATACTTCTAATTACTTAGAAATTCATATTGACATGACGTTTTTATTCAAAGAATATGTATAGAATATTATTGCAAAAAACCTTGCCAAAGTATAGAATGAAATGTAATTACTGAGCCAACATTCGACCTTAAGTTGGCCAAGAAGCTCGTCGTCTGCTGTGGTGCACAAACGCATCCAACCGAGCCAAGAGTAACTACCACGGATGAATGTGGCAACACTCGGGCATTGAGGAGCAGAGTTCAAGTTTCTCTTTGGCCAGAAAAGAACCACAAAAGATTACCAAGCGATGAGCTGCAGCTCATCATCTTCACATCCTTTCAATGGGCGCCGCTAAGTCCTTGGGCATATATGTATGCTATGCACAAATATGTGTGGAACGTTTCATTTTATTTTTTGCATTTTCTTTTTTTTTAATTTTTTTCTTTTTTTTTACATCTTTTCTTCTTTTGGTCTTGCTTTACCTTCTTTTTTGGTTTTGTGTTAAATTGTTGCGTTAACCAAGCCAACCAGCTCCGGGGGCAATCCTTGTAAAAAGTTTAGCATAGCAGAAGGCGCACGCAGACATGCTTGCAGCCATTCACACAGAGCCACCAATACTGTCGTATGTTTGGCATGCGTTTTTCACATTGTTTCATGCGGTTGAATAAACACAAGCCGCACACATATCCACATACATACATATACGTATACATATACCGTGAAAAGGCATGCATACATATACATATATGCATTTTATGATCTGCAGAGAAAGGACCAAAAGATACTGAGAGAGGAGAGAGAAGCATAGACACTTATTCGCTCGCTTGCCTCGACAGGCTTACAAAACAAACATTGCGGCATGTTTTCTGTTTGTACACACTGCGTATACGTACTGTGGGGGGTCCTTACATTTCCTACCTGCGTTTTGTCAGTGCCCAGCAGGACCAACACACTGACACAGTCCCTTCCACACGAGCACATTGCAGTCACGTATGCACATTACTCAACACAACGTGGCCAACAATTGTGCCACAGTCCTTAACCCTTGCTCTACTTGCAGATTTTAACATCCAGATTTCATCAAGAAAATCCTACGATCAGCAGTGCATCAAGAATGTACTTTGCCTGAACGCAAGAATTCTACAATTTTAGAATAAATGTATTATAAAATTATATAAACTATAGAATCAGTATGCTAAATTTCAACTTTCTACCTCTTTTAGTTCTCAAGATCTCAGCGTTCATACGGACAGACGGCTTGGCCTAATTTTACCCTTCATCCTAGGAGTAAGAAATAATTTAATTAAATTTTAGAAATCCAATAAAATCCAGTATTTGTATTGAGGCTATCAGACTTATAATTTCAGTCGCATCAAAGCTTAAAATGTTAATTCGCTGCACGGGGGTGGGATATCTGCCAGTTAGCAATGTTTGGGTTAAAAGTGAACTAATTTACATAGACCGCATGGTACAATGCGCAGGCGGCCGCATGGAGAAGGTAACAAAAAGATTCATTAGGGCCAATCAGTGCAAAGCGAGTCGTGGCGAAGGACATGCGGAGAGGACCTGGCCAAAAGCGTTGGGTTGATGCCTGGGTGGCTGCGGTGCTTTAAGATGGTTTGAGTTGGTTGAGGGCAAGCCGTGTGTGTAAACGTAAACAGCTCGGGCAGCCCTGGCTCTGTTGTTTGCCTTATAAATACGCACGCTCTACTTTAAACAAAAGCGGGGCAGCCCCAACCATCCCGCAACTCTCCTCCTTAATCCCCAGTCCCACCCACGTACACGTGCCTCAGCCTTCGCTGTTGTTGTGCTTCAGTATGTGCAAAACAAATTTAAACTTTACACCCAAAGTTGATTTTTATGAGCAAAACTTTAAATAATGAAATTATCTGACAAAAAGTTGGTAAGAGAGAGAAAAGCGGCCATGGGAAGCCCAAGAAAAGATGGCCAAAGTGTTGGGCCCCAAGCGATAATGAAAGGAAGAGCTAACTGATTGGCTCAATATAAAGTTTGCAGTCGCTTCGAAACCAATCAATGGCGTAATTTATGCCGTTATTTTCTCCTGACCCCGCTTATTCCATCCCAACTTAACCACCCAACCAAAACCGAACCAGGCCACCCATACTTTCGACCCGTTATCAAATATTTATTTACACTTCAGCTACAATAATTCATTGATGCATCGAGCGAGCGCCTGGCACGACGACACGCTTTCTCCTCGCTTTCGACTGGTTGGGGTCGCTCCAGAGCACAGAACTGAACAGGTTGGGTCGCTGGCAGGCACGACCCGGCAACGTAAACGTCAGGACTAACCTTTGCCCGATGTCCTTCAAAGGCGCCGTCGCTGTGAAAGCAACAGCTGTGCGCTCTCTCCTGCTAACGAGCTTCGTCCTCAAGAGCTTTATTCAAAATCTCACTTCCAGTTTCGAACTCGGCCAAAGCCTTCTTATCAAAGCTTTCGGTAAAGACGGTTCGAAAGGCGGTTTAAGCGAGGGTTATTTAAAAAATTTTGAAATAAGTATATGATAAAATGTTTGATATTTTTATTTTGATTATAAAATTAACAGCAGCAAGTCGTTTTAGAAAATTGTTTAATGTTTAAAACACAAATTGTTTTAAATTGGTTGTGTAAATATGTTAGGAACAAAATAGATATAAGCCGGGCTGTGAGAACACAAATATTGGTCCAAAATATTACAAATTTGATTATTTCTATACAAGGCTCATATGGTAACTATGAAATGAATTAATATACAATTTTCATATAAAAAACAAGGTTGAAAAATTGTCTTTGAAATTTTCTAGTTTATTCTCCTAAAATTATTATAAGTTTTACTTTTTTTACTTCAAAAATATAAAGTTCCTCAACCACAGAACTGAATAAAAACCAGGAGTTTGTGTTAAATAAAAAAGGAAAAATTATTTGGCCTCGAATGGTAAAAACTTAAAATTCACTAGTGTATATATTTGCTGTTTAATTTTGTATTTAAATTAACATAAACAATTCAAGTTTTTTGATAACTAAAATTAGACTTGTATTACGCATATTAATTTGAAACTATGAACACAAACAAACGCACCTTTAATATTATAAAATTCGATTAAAAGCTAAACGTTTCAGTATCTGGATAATCTGTTCATGGTTTGAGTATACTTTTTAGAATTTTGTTGGATTGATATAGAAAAATAACCTATAACGCGCTAGTTTTTGGCAAAAATCAGTCATCAAACTCAAACAATGGCTTGCCATTGGTATCCCAGGTGTTTTTGCATTTCTTGAAGGCACAAACCAAATAAAGAGCTGAAAGATATCACACATAAGTAAAGAAATTTGTAATATAATTTTGTATAAACTCACTTGCTGCTTCCCACTCTGATTTGGAGAGGGTTCCCACCGTCCGGCCGCGCTGTGATCCCGGGATGTTTCGCACATGGGCAAACTTTTCATCATTTTCACAACGTTGTGTCTGTACCGACTGTAAGCCGGACATTCGTTGTAGAAGATGTCGACCATGGTGCAGACTCTCCTTGTAGTAATCCGAAAATGTGGACCGTTTTAATAGTTGAAGACCGTATTTCCTACCCAGTTTGACCAGTGTAGGGAAATGCACTAGAAACTCGGGACAATCGACGACGCCCTCCAAGTGGAACTGATACTTGGCTCCGAAAAGGGGCAATGGATCCGTTTCGCAGTCGAACTCTATGCTGTATACATCGTTTCCGAATCGCCGGGCATCTGGACCAGCTTCCCTTAGTCTGCGGATGATCTCGTAGGCATCTGGCATGGTGGCTATAAAGAAGCCGCCTGGTTTCAGACACTCTGCTGCATTTCGCATCATGCAATCCGCCTGCGCCATCGACTCAAAACAATAGTGAAAGGCAAACTGGCAAGAAACGAGGTTAAGCTGAAGCGAGGGATCCTTATAACGTTCTCGTAAGCGAACCAGCGTGGAATCGCAGGCAAAAAACTCAGCGGTGAACTTATTGGCAAACTTCGACTTCTCTGCTCGCTGAAGGATATCCTGATACCGACGCTGGCACTGCTCGACGGACACCTCCGCGATGTCCGTGCAAATGAGATGAGAAATGGACGCCTTCTCCCACTTAAGAAGGTCCCCGCCCTTGCCGCAGCACATGTCTAGGACTCTAAGAGCATCGCCCATGCGTTTTTGCTGCTTAATTTGTGACATGTACTCGTTGATCAGCTGGCTTTTAATCCAGTTGTTGAAGTTGCGCATGAAGTAAATCTTGGATTGCTGTCGATCCTTACGACCTGCCTCCTTCAGCTCATTGTAATGGAGAGCTACTACATGTGTGTTGGCCGCTCCTCCCGCAGTTTCCGATTCCTTTTCCTCCTGATCGTCTTCCCCGCTTCCTTCACCTTTCCCACCCGGCTCCTCGTAAAACTCCCGTGGTCGTTTACTAACAGGTGGACCGTGTTCTCGGGAGGATGTGGATTCCCCAGGGCCCTCGCTCTCTTCGTCGTCCGACAGACTAACTTCTTTGTGTGCCCGGGCAAATTGCTCATCTGCCGCATTTTGCTCGTAATTCACACTCATAATTTCACTAACTCTGTTTGCCTCGACTAAAGCTGTTTATCGATGTTATCGGGTCAGTTAGGGATGATTATGTTATTTTAATGCGATAGTTAACGTCTGTTATTTGATAACAGCAATCAGCTGTTTATAAATCATGCTTTTGTTAACATAAAGAAAGTTTTAAATGCGGTTTCTCGGAACTTTGAGCAATTTTAGCAAATTATTGAATCATTCCTTTGCCCGGAATATCCCCAAACGCAGAATGGCCTGCAGCAGATTCGAGTACGTCAAATCCTTTGAGCAGGACGACAGCATTTTGCCCAATGTGTGGATAGTAATACGAATCGATGGTAAAAAGTTCCACAAGTTTTCCAAGACACACGATTTTGAGAAGCCCAACGATGAGAATGGTAGTTAAATAAATATTATTTTAAATTAAAAAATTTGTTTTAAAAATCTCTCTATTTAGCTCTCAATGTTATGAATGCAGCCGCCACGGCAGTGTTGCAGGAGTTCCGGGATATTGTTATTGCCTACGGCCAGAGTGATGAGTACTCTTTTGTTTTTCGTAAGGAGACGGCTGCCTTTAAGCGACGATCCGCCAAACTACTCACCTATGTCACCAGTTTGTTCTCCACGAGCTATGTGATGCAGTGGTCCAAGTGGATGAATATGCCATTGGCCTATGCTCCCTGTTTCGACGGTCGGGTTGTCTTGTATCCTTCAGAGCAGAACTTAAAAGATTATCTCAGCTGGCGGCAGGCGGATGTGCATGTCAACAACCTCTACAACACAGCATTTTGGAAACTAGTTTTGGAAAAGGGTTTAACGAACCAGGAGGCGGAGGCGAAGCTGCGAGGTACCTTCTCCGCGGACAAGAACGAGTTGCTCTTCCAAGAATTCGGCATAAACTACAATAATCTACCGGCCATGTACAGGAAAGGAACGATTCTGCTCAGGAAACGCGTTGTTATAGGTGACAAAAGCAGACAGGCAGTAGTGCCGCTGCACGAGGATCTAATTTCTTCACAATTTTGGAAGCAACACACGGAGATATTGGGCAAATATGTGCCTGGGACTTATAATGCTCCAGAGCCTCTACCTAGATTGATTGATTTACAACTGAATGCCAAGCATGTCGACGAGGATGAGGAAGAGCCACAGAATCTGGCTGGAATTAGCTGATAGTTAAACTTATGGCAATATATTTTAAGATTAAAATTACGAAACAACCCAAAACACATCTTTAGCGGGTAAAAAAGTGAAGAATAAAATTTCGAAGAACTAGGAGTTCTTGGGTTCTTGGTACTTCCCAAGTGGCTCTTACATGAAAGGATCTAAGAGCTGAAAGTTCAACTTATGGCATATATTTTAAGATTAAAACTACATTAAGCTCATAGAAAGACACACTTTTCTACTAGTAATCGTCGTCGTCTTCATCTTCGTCATCCTCACTGGGCTTGCTGGCAACGGAGCCGTCGGCCAGTGGCTGGCGCTGTACCATTGCAGCCGCCTGCATACTCATCCACTGTTGCTGCTCCTCGCGCGCCTGTTCTTCCCGTGCCTTGGCAAATAATTCCTGTTGCTGACGCAGAAGCTCCTCCTCCGGAATTCCCAGGTTCTCCAGGCGCGTGCTCTGTCGTCTTCGTTTGGCGGCCACCTCTTTGCAATCGTGCAGGACGGTCTCCGCCTCCTGTTTGTAGTCATGGAAGCCCAAGCGTTCTAGCGCCTCTAGGACGTGCTCCGCATTGATTGTCTTCTTGTTGCGCATGTTACAGACCTCATTGGCCTCCGAGCTGATCAAATGGATGAACTCGGAGCAGCAGTTTAGGATCAGCTCCCGACTATCGTTCGCCACCCGAACCGTGGGTACCAGCTCCTTGATGATCTTGTTGATGCTGGCCCGCGGCAGAGTCAGCTCGTCATCCTCGGCGCTGGGCGGCAGTAGTTCCTCCTGCGGATTTGACATGGCGTTGTTGATATTAGAGAACGTAAACAAAGATGAACAGTTGTTTTCCTAGTGACTTCGCGGTGGTATCCAGTAAGCGTGGGAGTTAAGGTGACCGTTTTGCTCAAACAGAAAAATCTATAAATAACAAAAATGAATTTTTCGCTTTGAAAAGAATAACAATAACTGCTTTGTCTACATTAATAGAAATTTAAACACTTAGTAACTGATTACTAAATAAATTAAATTAAATGGTAAGTGTGTTAAAAAATCAATAATTACCATCTTAAGATACATATTTTTTTGAACATGGCTGTACTTGCGGAACATTCCGAAATAACCATATTTTCTGAAAGATTTCTTTAGCGGCTTGGAAACGGTCACTTTAACGAAAAGAAAACAAAATTATCTTTAGTTTAAGCTAAGTCATTGAATTATAGTAATAAAATGGGGGATTACGACTCAGATGATGAAAAATCCCAGGTGGAGAAGCTGCGGTACGCGAAAGTGCCGCGCGGAATGTTTGTAAGTGGCTGGGATGACGATGCCGACGAACTAATCGAGGAGGACAAGAATCCACAATGTAGGTACATTAATTTACTGGAATAGTTTTACATAAAAGGAAATGTGTTTTGCCATTTAGCCAGCATTGAACGCATGATCCTCTGGGCGGTGAATGAAAATCGCCTCAGCGAAGTGCGCGAGATCCTTCGGCTGGATGCGGATGCTGTGAACTCAAAAGACAACGATGGATATACGCCGCTGCACCGTGCTGCCTACAACAATTTTGTAGACATGGCTAAGTTACTGCTCCAACATCGGGCCGATCCCAATGCTCGCACAGAACTAGGATGGACACCCCTGCACTCCGCATGCAAGTGGAACAACGCGGATTGTGTACATTTGCTGCTGCAATTTGGCGCTGATGTGAACGCGGAATCGGAAGGCAAACAGACGCCTCTCCACATAACCGCCACAGTATCCAACTGCCGCAATACGGCCACAGTTCTGCTGTTGAATCGGAATATAAAGCCTCGCAAGGAAAATAACTCTGAGGAACTGGCCTCTGTGATCGCCCGGCGCACTGGCATGAGTTTCCCCATTTTTGAGAGTGGAGAAGAAGCCTACGATTGTGAGACGGGTCTAATAGATTAACTAATGAACAGCCAAACAATGTGCATAATTGTAGAATAACTAATATATGTTTATTTCATAAATAATCTTTCGTAACGGGCTGGTTCCGGTATTCACTTTATGGAATTGGGAGATATCTAAGATATGTCAGCATTTTAACCTGTGAGGAAATATAGAAGGATAATCTCAATAAATAATACGTAGATTCAAGAATATTGCACTTGAGTTAAAGCTAAGTTGTTCTTTAATCTCACTAAAAGAGTTAAAATTGTTAAACATTTGATTGTACCTATTACTTTCAGCTAGCCGGTGCTGGTGTTCGTACGAAATGCTCGTAGAATGACTTTGTGTAGTTGATCATCTCCTCCTGCATGGCGGCGGGTACAAAGTATGGATTTCCCTGACCACCCTCAATGGTTCCTTTCGCTGTGTAGCGCATGTAGCTGGATACAGTTGTTTCTGGAGGTAGTACAGCTCCATCCTCAATCACACAGCAGTCTTTTAGCACACAACGACGGCCCTGGAAAGTGGAAAAGTCATGGCATTAGTACATATGCAAGATATATTTAGTTTGTGAACCTTACAATGATGGCATTCTTGCCGATGTAAACACAAGATCCAATGGTGGCCGCCGAAACGACTGCTCCTTCGCCCACGAAAACATGATCCCCAATATGCATGGGGAAAAAAGCGATTCCTTTGCTGAATTGTTTGTACGGAGGTCGAATCACAGAATCTTTGCCAATTACACAGAACCTCCCAGTTCGTACGTTGGCCAAATCTCCGCGGATTATGGCACCGCTTTGGACAATTACTTTTCCATTTAGCACGATATTCTGAGATCCACATAGTACTGTGTGCCTACTTACTTTATTCCCGGACGCCTGTAAACAAATTTTTTTTGGGCATGATGAGGTCATCCAAAGTTTCGGTTATACCAAGTTCGGAAATCACTATAAAAACTTACTGTCTCCACGTATTCATCTTTACTGTAGTATGTATCCGCAATTTCCATGGTTAAACTGTTGCTTTTTTAACTCTTTTCACTAAATAATAAAATTGCAATTTGCTTATGTTTTGCCTGCTGAACGGTGTGACCAGAACACAACTAATGTGAAAACAATATTAGGTTGATAAGGTTTCTGTCTCAGCTATGTGCATTGCCAGGTAATCAGTGTGACCAAAATGTGACACAATCTATAATTGAACTACAAATGTTTGAGTCTCAGTTAATATCTGAGACTTTAACCTGTGCAGTTCAATCAAAAAACGCGCAAAATTCAAATTTGAATATGTTCCATGGTAAATCATATTTAATTTCCAGTGTAATGCATTTTCATTACATCTTATTAATAATTAGACGCACGCGAGGTCTTACAAATTACATACTGCCTTCGAGAGTGCATGGAAAACGCAGGTGTTTAACCCATAATGACCCTGAACTTTTACGTTATATACTACTCGTACGTTAATTCAGTAATCACGATGCAGATTAGACAGCTGCTCTTCACAGAGATTTCCAACTGTTGGTAGAATAAATGAAAAAAGTATATAATTGGGTTCACAGCTGGTGGGCTTTAAAACGCAGCCAATATGAACCCCCTCCCATCGACGGAATGACCTCCGGGATTTGAAACTTCCCGCTGTCCAACGCTCCAATGATGTTCCAATTAATGCTCTTTAATAATCGCAACCCAGCCCCGTGGGCTTAACCTTCATGGGGCACGCTCGAATGCCCCCTCACGAGGCGGCGGTGGTGGTGTTGGCGGCAACTCTGGCTAATCATAGTAGCATTTTAATTTGTTTATGTTTGCTTATATTTGTCTTGCTATTTTCTTCGTTTGGTTCTTCACCTTTTGCAGAAGGTACCGAGCCATTGCATATGGTAAACCATTATGTTTTCCCAATTTAAGATTGCAGTGTGCTGCTAGAATGTAAATTAATTGGTACACTCAAAAAAATAAGTTACTGTGATGGCAAGTATTTCTAAAAATTATATACCGCTTCTAAATTATATATTTTTATTTTACTAGAAAAATTCAAAACAAATTTGTTTAATTAAATTAATTTTTTTCACACCTGACCTTCAACGCTTGAACTATCTGAACTTTGGCATTAATGCTTTTCTATGCCAATTATTGCTAACAATTGTGGCAGCCTTTGAAGAATCCGCCAAAAGCAAAGAACAGAAATCGTTTAGCCTTCAGCATGAAAAACCGCATCGAAATCTATTAATCTGTTTGCTGTTTGCACTTTTGAACTTAAGGTTAATAAACTTGAACTTGAATAATGTTTGGAAATTAATTGAGTTGTGTGCACATACACAGCTCTCGAATCGGTTGATCAAACAAATGAATTTCAATTTGTTTAATTTTGTTTCTTTAAATTGTGTCTATTGTTGAGTGTGATTTTCAGCAAAGAGATGTTGGTTATTAATTAAGACCTATACTTAAAGTTTATGCTTTAAATTATCATAAAGAGTTTTATAGTTATCAGGGATCTTAGGCAATATCTATCGAGATATATTTTTCAAAAAACTTCTTACTTCTGCCGTTAAATAATGGTTATTTTTACACAAGCTTGTAAGTTAAGAACCCACGGAAAAATGCGGCTTTATAGTAACCTTCAGATTTTTGTTTTTTTTCCTATTCTGTTCAATTTTTGTGACTTTCTCTACCATTAATTAGAAGTCCAAGGGCGCAAAGGTCTTGACTTCATAGAACGTGTAGTAAAGTGTTTGCCTTACACTAATCCAACAGCGCTCGATGAAACTCTTCTGCCACAGTTCGACCTTGACGGGCCATAAAGGAGGGGGCCGCAAGCTATGTATGTAAATATTTACAATAGCCAACTCATCCGCGACCTTGATAATTGGTTATTGTTGTATGAAGTGGCTTTTGTTGGAAATTCATTATTAAATGGCTAATCAAGATCAAGAAACACGCACTCCAAGATATCCGCCTCAGCCCTTTTCCACCTCCTCCCGAAACGAGGCTCACGATCTTGGATTGATCTTGATGCTTTTATGGCTTTAACATTTTTTAATTGCTTTCCGCGAGTGAAAACCGGCGGCACTGGATCACATAATTAATAAATGGAAATTAATCTGAATCTGAAACAATGCCAGTGCTATCCAGTTCGAGTCGAAGCCATGTCATGTTTAATTGAATAATTGCAAATAGTTTTACATGCATATATCTATAAATATATATATAGGTGGTATATGGCCAAGAACAGCTGAGTTATAATAATGCAACAATGAAGGAGAAACGACAAATGAAATTAATTGCAATTAGCAAAATTGAGAAAATATTTACTGAGTTTATTGTGCACAAGGTGAGGCGGAGACAGAGAATGTTGCATAATATTTTCACTTTTTGCATGGCGACTCCAAGTTGACCGACAAAAAACAAAACAAGTTTTTTGTTCAAGTCTTTTGTTTCAATCGATAAAATGTCTCTGTAATTGACAATTCGTAGACAAATGCCTATGTTTGTGTGTGGTTTGTTGCATATGTATGTGTTGATGTTCGGTTTGACAGAACAAAGGTGCCTATCAGAATCTCGGAATGTGAGCATTATACCTAGAATTCAAGGATCTTTGGAATAGTCAAGTTTTTGTCCATAAATGGCCAACAAAGCCTAGCTAAACTTCTCTGGAAAATGTATAAATTCAGTATAAAAAGATGATTACTTTTTCTGTTTTAATATAATATAAAACTCTTTATAAATCATGGAATAATTTATAAGTAATATTCAATTATTTGCACCTTGAATAGTATAGCATAGGAATTCCCCAACGACTGTGAGCTAAACATATTATTTCCCAGAACTACTGGTTAATGTGTAAAAATTAAATTAAATTTCTAAAAAGTTTTTGTTTGAAATATTACGGTTGGACTTTAGAACAATTAACCATGTTCGGCGTGGCTGGTTCTCCCTCGACCAAACACTTTTCAGTTTTTCGACTAATTACAGTCATTACAATACTATATGGCGACCAAATGGCTTCCTCATGTCAAGATCCCAGCACAAAATGAGTAGCTCGCGATTAGCTATGAAGTTGGAGAACTCAGTTCAAAAGCCGAGTTCAAGAACTAACTAACGATTTTCTGACAATGACAGTAGCTGAGAGCCATAGTGGGGGAGGGGGTTTTCTTAACTTGGCCAAAGTTGCCAATGTTTGAGTTAAACGCCAGCAAACAAATAGCAATGAAAAAATTGTGTGAATCGGGCAAATGAATGCGCTTTTGATGTGGCGAATATTTATAATACAAATTATATGTACTTATTTTGCTACCACCCACCGCACTATCCCTTGTGATATGCTTGGATGGGCGTGGCATGGCTGCAATTTTTTGTTGCTGTGCCCACGAAAGCGACCTCAGATTGGCCAAGTTGTGCTAATTAAAACATTAACTCCAGCCCGAGGCTGAATTCGCATTAAATAACGATTGTCCATGTTTTTGTTGCTGTTTTTCGTAGCTTTTTTTTGTTGTTGCCAAAATCGATCAAATTCAAATTTCAAGTGGCCCCCGTTTGGTACACGAAAAAATAAAAACCAGTAGAGAGTTAACTGTCAAAAACAGCAACGCACGACAACGACAGCAACAACATTGCTGACAACAGCAACTACAGTGTGGTACATAGTCGTAAATCACATTGTTAAGCTAATAGCACTTGGTTTAAACATGAAAACAGATTTTTGAGAAGTTTAACTGGGAAATGATGATCAAGAAAATAATAAAACGATCAAATAAGTTTTTAATATAAAGAATTTCTCACACAGGAATTCTACGATTTTTAAGGTTTTAAGTTCTGTGATATAAAATTAATGCAAATCAGGTACATATATTATATATAAATAAATTGCATAAAATTTATAATAATAAATAAGAATAATATTCTATAATAAATATTTAAGTATATTTAAAATACTTATTCCATGCTGTACTTTTCAAAAACTTTATTTGTTTTACGCTTTTGCATTGTTCCAATTTTGATTGCTCTATTGGGCTACGTTTTTTATTTTTCAATTTTTTTTTTGCATGCGGGCGCTAATAGTTTTGAACCTGAGGAGAGACCTGAGAGACCTAAAAAATAAGCCAAAATCAATTTTCGACTTTGTATGCCATGGGCAAGGCTAACCTCGAGACACGAGCCACGATTTAGATTCAGTCTCGTATTTGGATCGGGTTGGATTTTTGGGGTATTAAACTTATATATAGTTTGATTCAATTTTGATTTTATTTTGTTGTGACTTGTCTTGTTTCCACTTCCTTTATGCCTTTCAGCGGGTTTGATAAAATATGATAGCCGATCGATATCGTTTTATAAGCCCTCCAACCTACTTGGCAGAAAACAGGTGATTAAGTCTCTTGTGTCTGTCAGTTGATTGAACTTTAAAGGTTTTCCACCTGGCCACTCGAAGACTCAGTGTCATATTTTGGTTTTTGGTTTCTTACTGGGTGGCCCCTGTTCGGTGGCTGATTGACAATGATTGACAATCAAAACTCCAGTTTGTCCAATATGTGAAGTATATATACATATATATTTCCATATAGGTAGCTGGGCTTATTATTATAGCCAAGGCTTCCACCACGAAGTGTGCCTCGGAAGTTGTTAGTGGGTGGAAGTAATTAAATTTGATTTTAAACATTCGATAACAATGAGTGTGGCGGTCAATGGGTGCTATGTAATTAATTTGTTGAGGTTCTGTGAACTAGTAGCAAGGGTATCGCCACGAGGCCAATAGGTATTGGTATTTAGAAACGCTAAAGAAATCATATTCATTTAAATCGAAATATTTTGGTTTGATATTTTAAGGGTTTCATTTGAATCCCATCAAAATATTACCCCATCAACCAATACTGAAATTAAACCTCAATTAATATCAAAAAAACTTAAAAACGAATGAGAACATGATAAGTAATCAACACACTGTTTTTAATTATAACCAAATCTTTCACTTGGCAACTCCATCAAGGTCGTACATGTGGCGCCTTAACACCTTTTAAGTGCCCCTTTCCATCAACTGCCACAATTAGCCTCCAGAACCACCCAAGTTGTGTGTGCCGCCTGTCACATCATCAACGCGCTCGTCAAAAGGCAAAAAACACAGAAAAAAAAATCCACAGAAAAAATTATATTAAAAATTAATTAAACAAAAAGCCGCGACTAATGTGAAAAACAATATAAAACACATTTGGCGCGTGCACTTGACCTTCCTCATTCCGAGCGGTCAAACCAACAAAAAAAAGGGGGAATTCGGGGGCTGAAAGGCGGTATGCATGCCGCGTAATACGTTGGCCACTGTTTCAGCTGGAATTTCAGATTTTGAACTTCATGAATTTAATTTGTGCGTAACGTATGTTTTTTTTTTGGTTTGTTGCGCTGTCGCTTGTTTATAGTTTGTTGGTTTGAAATCAAGGCGAGTGAATCGACTGAATTCAATTTCGGTGACTGTGGCCGGCTTACATGGCGTATGCGCAACTCGATTAATATATTACTATGCGTTTGGCGGAGTGCGTGTGTAATTGTAATTGACATTCGAGTTGATTACTTCCTTATTTGGTTTTAAGTGAGTTTTAGTGACGCATAGTTTGCTTAGCATGGGAAAACCTTTTTGGAGCATGAAAGCAAATCGGAATTTTGTTTTTTACACAACGTTTTTAGGGAAATGTAGGAAGTATATAATTAATTTAAAGATTTTATGTTAATGATGGATAAATTTTATATAAGAAAGGTTTCAAAATCATAAAAAAATGATAAAAGGCAACTGTGTATAACTTAATTATCTTGCTAAAATAGTAATATTCAAATCGTGTAATAGTTTAGTATAAAAAGACATTATAAATATACATCTTACCTTAATTAGCTGGAGACCAGCAGGTTATTAAAAATCATAGCTTATTCATAAGTCCTATATATCTTCTGAATAAATTAAGAAAAGCGATACCCATACCCATTTGTTATAGCAGGCATTGAATCTTCCATTAATATCATACTACAATTACCATTCCATCGGCGGACAACAATCTCCCATCGCATCGCATTTAATGCACTCTCATCGCCCTGAACGGCAAAATAAACCGACCTTGAACTTGGGTCTTGGCGATTGCTAAGTAAGTACGAGAGCATCAGCAAATCGCTTTATTTCCATTATAATTTTCCATCACATTACATTGCCCTTTCCCTTTTTGCCGGCGGTCTCAACCGCTGCCGCTGACAGCTGGCAGTTGAGTTATGAATGCTTTTAGCGGAGGTTCACAGAAACTGAGTCAGTCGAGCACAAGTTCCAAAAAAACGGCAATAAAAAAGAGAATACGAAAAATACAAAATAAATCCAACTGAAAGTGACCGCCGCGTGGCTTGCATTCCTGATATGGGACACGTACTTTAGTAGTAGTTTTTCGGTCCATATTGTCAGTGGTTCTTTTGGCTCTTTTGGCCCAGGGACCAACGACCGTCCTCGATCTAGGCATTCCAACCTAAAACTTTAAGACGGCGACATATCCGTATTTAATTTTTCTTTGGGTGAGCAATACCATTTATGAACGGTAGCTGCTTTTTGCGTAGCTCAGAAGTTACCTTTCCTTGTCGAGTGATTAATTTTAATTTTTTCGTTGTTGTTCGCTTTTATTGCTGTATAATTTTTATTAACTGCTTGCAATCAAACAAATCAGCGCGAACAAGAATTGTTGGTTGTTCGAAAAAGGGCATTTCATGTTGGCCAATTCCCGAGCAGCTGCAGTCGTTGACCGCTTCGTTCTGACCTTGCTTTGCGAATTTTCGTTAAATTAAGTTTTGTGGCTAACCACTGGTTCGGGATGCTGTCGCTAGAGTTTGTTTTTCAATTTTTCAGATTTTTCTGGTTTTTATCGCCCATCAAGGTGATAGGTTTGCATATAAATGCCGCTAGAACAAAAGACTTTGGCGACGAACTCGCGGTGACTAAACGTGTGTGTCCGAATTTATTGTGAGAACAGTTAAGAGAGTTGGTTTTGCCGCAAGATATTCATTTCGATGGTTATGAATCACTGGATTGCATAGCGGAAGTTGATTCGATTTTAGGTTTTTGGCAAGGGGGAATTGGGAATAAAATTCCGTTTACTTAAAGAAGATTTAAAGAGAATTCTTAATTCATTCAAATTTTGCATTGAAGGCAAAAAGATAAACATTCTACTATTCATTTAAAAGGTGTAAAGCCTTGTGCTTTAACCTAGAACTTAATTATTTTATGAAGCGTATAATTACGTAATTAATATTTTTAGTATGGCTATAATAAATTTATTGACAATAAAAATTATATAAATTTCCTTTGTAATATTGAATTTATATACCATTTAATTAAAAATTGTTACGGCTTTGCTATCAATGAATAATATAGTTTGTAAAGTATTAGTCATGATTTTTTTGATTAAATTGAAATAAAAATTAATCTGCAAATTTGTTATGTAATTGTCCAGAGTTCTAAGTAGGATTCTAACGTTTCATTTATTACCGAACTTACATCAATATTTGCTTTTTTCGTTTGTGAGTTTTATGGCTAATTTGGCACATCATAAAAGATTCACTTCCAAAAAGAAAAATAAACAAAATTTATCATAGTGCATGTTGCAGAGAAGTGGTTTTAGTGTTGACCAGCCAAATTTGCAACTGTCAAGATGCACGAGATGAGATCGCCGCCGGAATGGATTGGCGGGACATAAACAGAGAGATCACGGAGGCTAACTTGGCGATTTGGCTTGGCGTTGGTGCGTGGCACGGTAGTCGCTAGTAAAAATTCAATTAGCAAATTAAATAATAATTACCAGACGGGTCTTTATGCTAATTCAATTAGCAGTTCAACAACTGGTCAGCTGCAAATAATTAAGAAAAATTAATAATGCTGCGGGGGTTTTAAAGCCGGATTGGTTTGGATTGAATCTTTGTTTGGGAATTTCATTCAAATCGGAAAAAAATCAAATTAAAATCTGCAGTTTAAGCTATAAAACTTTTATCTTCTTATACGTATTTACCTGTACTATTATCAACAATGTGTTGTTATTAGAAATGCTTATTACTAGCGCATTATAGTTGGGATAATTTTCAGAGTAGTCATAATAGGTTATTATTATAATATAATAATTTAATATTATTATCATATTTTTGAAATCATTGCAAATACTAATATAAATTAGATCACAGCTGTATAGACTTGTGGCCGCATGACAGGTGCATTTTGTTAGTCTCACGTGGCTGATTAAAGTGTATAATGTGTTTGTTATATACGCGAATAATATAGTGTGAGGCCAGGCCCAAGATGAACCAGTTTGCCGCTCGAAAGTGTGGCAGTCTAGAGTCGGACAAGGTCCCGGATCAGGAATAGCCCTGGCCATAAAGCCCAAGTTCCCTGTCGGATTTTCTGAATTTCTGACTTTCCGACTTGACTGCTTCATAAATTCACACTCACTTAAGCCTGCAATTAGCGGTCGACCAAAAAAGCTCCCGTCGTTTTCGAGCTTTGGCTCTCTTCTTAGCTCTCTGGGGAGGTTTTGTTATGCGCTCAGCGCTCTCAGGCAATCAGTTGATCGACGACAAGCTCTCGAAACGGACGCAGATTTTGTAAGTCGCCGTCGCGCATGCGCAAACTTAAATAACAAAAAAAAGAAAAAAATTAACGAACAGCAGCGAAGACGAAATCGAATTGTGTTTTCATTTGTTTGCTTTTGTTTTGTTTGTGTGTGTTATGCCATGCACAAAAACCCCATGCTCGTAAAAGTTGGAGAAAAATCAAAAATTCGGAATCGAAAATTCAAAACCTAAAATAAGTTTGCCAAAACAAAAAGAAACCGCAAAAGCCGCGTTATAATAACACAAAATAACGGTATAAAGTTTGGAAGCTCATCTAGTTATTTGTACTTATGCTTTGCTCGCCTCGTGGTTTTCTGCATAAATAATAATAAAATATAAAAAGCAAACAACAAAGTGTCGAAAAAAACCCAACCAATTTGCGGGCATATAAAATATAATTAAAGCCAGCAAATTTTTGCCATAAACATAAAAAAAGTAAATCAACTTGGCCGCTATTAAGTGTTGCAATTTTATTTAAATACAGCAGAAGTGTGAAATATTCAGTGCGTTACAAGCCTTTCAAATAATTAAAATAAATAAGTTTCTCTGAAGCAATATATATAAAGGTTTCGCTATCAGTTTGGATAAAAAATATAAAAGAAATTAAATAAAATAATTACATCTTTCGGTTTTTGAAACAGAAAAGTCACTTAAAAGCTGCCTAAAAACAAAAGTAAAAAAACTTGACTTGAAATTAATCATTAATTCTTGATATTCATCACAGCAAAAATAGAATGCTTAACAATGGGATCATAAATAATTTATTTTCTTGGCCAACCATAAGTGTCAGAAATCCATCAAATGGTTGCCGAAACTTAAAATAAACCAAAATCTAAAAATAAAAAACAAATCAACAAAAAGAACTTTCAAACTTCTGAATAGAGCCGCCATTACATAAGTGTTTGTGTGAGAGATTATGAGTGTGTAGGTGGAGGCGGGAAAATCGTGTTGGTAATTTCTAATGAATAGTTTTCCCTTTGGGATTACTCAACACATTGATTTTCGAACCCTAACAGAACGTATTTTAAATTTGTCAAGAAGCTTGAAACGTAAATAGTTTCTTAAAAAAAGTTCGATTTATAGAGCTAGAAAGAATAGAAGAAAGAATAATAGAAATAGTGATTCTATATCGCAAAGTTGTCATTATTTCAATCGCTTCATACAGGAGTATAATTTTTTAATTTTTATTTTAGAATGCTACCAAAATTCTACACCTGTAACTTATTTTGCCTGTGAAAGACCCACCATCTTAAGGGTATATCAAATTTGGCTATTTAATTTTCTTCCCGATTTCCCCTCTCTGTATTTTACTGCCTTCCCTTTTGGTTGTCATCGCATTTGTATGATGTTTGTGCATCAGGTTGATTTTAGTGATGCGTTTTGACTCTGTAATTTCCATGGCGGGTTGCTGGGATTACTTCATCTGCCGTTTCATTTCCTATATGGCCAGATGATTCAACGCCAAACTGACCAGCGCAAAAATAAAAACACAAACTACAGCTGAAAAAACGTAAGAAAAAAACGAAAAAAATTGCACGAAAAAGCCGGTTGAAGGCAACTCTTACATATTTACACGCACCAGCGCTCATTGAACACACGCCGCCAGCAGCAACAACAAAACTAAACAGAAAAAAATAGAGAACACAGTTAGATACTTAAAATTATTTATATGTTGGATATGTTGGATCTATTATTTGATATTTAAATATTTAATGAAAATAAAGAAGAATAATAAGTATATATTATAATAGACAAATATATCACTAAATCATGTAATTTTTCCTTTCTCTGCATTACAACAAATCCGAACGAAAGCAAAAGCAAACAGGCGACACAGAAACCTGTTGTTGTACCTCTTGGTGGCTTTATTGCTATCTCTGTCTCGTCAAAAGACATTTGCAGAGTTTCCAGCTGCGTGTTGATTATGTCAATTTCATGTTTGCTTCATTTCCTCAACACACCGGTAAAGGTGAGAGCGAGAGATGTAGTGAGCGGAAAGGGGAGCGGCAATTTCACTTTCGTTGGACTTGAAAAAAAGCTGCAGTTTATCAGAGAGTGAGAGAGAAGTAGCAATAGTAATATAGGAGCAAGAGAGAAAAAGGCTAAGAGAGAGCAAGTGAGAGTGAGAGTACGCATAGCAAGTGGGCTGCATACGGTGCTTTGATGCTGCTGCTGCTGCGTCACTTGCTTTGTGGGGCGTTGCTGCACAGTGGGTCTCAATAATAAAATTGTCACTGATTTTAATTCTAGATAATAAAGTTATAAGATTAAAAATCAAAGTCATTTTATTATTTAAAAAATCGGTTTAATAGTCGTATGAGTAATCTCTACTAAAGTTATTGGGCCTTGGATTACTTAAGACAGAAGGGTTATTTTGGTTTTTAAATAAATATATAAACAAATACCAATTTTTGAGACTTCCTTAATCATCAAAATCTAAGTAACTGCCACACTGTGCGCGGGCATCTTTTGTGTGCTGCTTCGCCGCATATTTTCCGTTTCGTTTTGTAACTGTAATGTCTGTTTTTCCCATTGTCCGATTGTTGTTGCCTGTCGTTTTGCCATTGTTGTTGTCGCCTTTGTTTTCGCTTGTAACGTAATAACGTAATGTGCTTGAAGATTTCCACATGCAATGCGTCGCGCCTTACGTTTTGGTGCCAAGTCCATCGTCGACGTCGACTTTTATTGTTTTTGCAGGCAATTGAGCTAATAAACCGACGCGAATCATAGCGACTTACAAATTCCTGTCCGAAAAATATGCGAAGGTCAACCAGCAGCAGCAGCAGCAACAACATGAACATCGAACATATAACAAAAAAGGCCGAGAACACCCCCAATTCGATTTTCATATATGTATGCACATATTCGCACCTTTTCCAGCAAGCTGGCTTGGATTTTACGGGCTGTCAGCTTGGCGAAAAATTCTAATTATAAATGAAACAATTTATTACCGGGTTTTTAAAATAAAATGCAATTTATGTGCAAAGTCTGGCGGCGGCGGACTTGACTAGTTAAACCGGTTGACTGCCAGCAGCAGCAGCGGCAGCCGCAGCAGCAGCAAAAACAAACTCAATGGGGGTGCAAAGCGGCAAGTCGGCAACAGTAAAATGCAATTGCTAGGAAAAACATTTTTCGGTCGTTTAAAGAATTGCTGCAAATATTTTAAAACTATTAAGAAAATATTAAACAAAAGACATTTGCCTAATGAATTACCATGTCTATTGAATAAAAGGTTAAGAAACATATTTATGACTTAAGTAGATATAAATTAATAATAAGAATAGTTAGTGTGGTATTTTTAGGTAAAGTAAATATAATTTAGGGATATACTTTTTAATGGTATAATATAAATATAAAAATAAACATACCTAAAAATAAATAATCAAATTAAGTCAAATAAATCAAAGAAAATAATAAAATCTCACAATAATCATCATTAATAACTTAAAAATATATTTGAAATAAATCAAACCGTTTAAAGTCAAATTATTAAATACTTGTTCGCAGCTGTGAAAACAAGAATATTTTTTCGGCAAAATAATTCAACGAGTGTAAGTGTAAAATTTGTGCCTGGCTTTATTATTTTATTCATTAATCATAAATGCAAATTTTCTTGATTGTTTAGATTTGGCTTAACGGCTAACTCGAAGCTATAAATTGGACATCAAAATTGGATTATACAAAAAATAAAGATAAATAAAAAAAAAAAAAAAATACAACAAAGTGAACACGAAAAGTTAATAACAATTATTTTGTATGCCGGTTTCTTCTTGACAAGTTTGGTAAGTGAACTTTAAGACTTGATGAATGGGACTGAATGATAAAACGAATGTTAGATGATTTGTTGCCGTAATATACGCCAGCTAATGAAGAAATAATGGTTTAGCAAACAAATTTAAAAATAGGAACAATAAAATCATTGCGGAACTGGCCAACTTTATAGCCTTAAGGCACCGATCTTCGTATAATTCTCTTTCTGATTCCACATGCTCGCTTGCCCTCGGGCCACTCAACTTTCACAACTCAGAACTCGTGCTCAGTGGGAAAACCCAAGTTAAAAGTATATTCTGAGGCTAAGCTACACATGTCTGTATAAGAAACTTACATCCGCGTGCCTCTGCACGTAACACGTTGCGTATGCGCAATTCCCATACCCCTTTCATTAAGAGATATGATGAGGGTACTATTAAATTCAAAGCCATTGATGATTATTTACCAAAGATGATGATATATTAACGACTTTGATAATGCAGGAGATTAGGGGATATACCTATAATAGCTTAAGGCAAAAGTTTAAGACTTTCCTTGGTAAAAATAATAAAAAAAAATAAATGATATAAATATGTTGCATAAATCGAGTCTATCTTAGATTTCAAATTGAATGTTGTTTTAATCTATATTTCCTACCCAGTTATCGGAGACTCTGTGATACAATTATATTGTCATTAGCATTTGTATATCACCTTTTGCTAGGGTATTTACAAAATCGCTATGATCGCGTTGCCATTGTGTTAAAGTCATTCAATTTTATCGACACTTAATTATAACTTTTGCCTACGTCATTGCTTCAGAAGCAGAAGTCAGCAGTCGGAGCTGATGATGGTTTCTCGTCGGTTTCAGTTGCTGTTTTGGTTTCTTAATTGTTCAAGCCCCCACATGGAATCTTAAGATTTCGACGTAGCTTTTTATTGTTAATTTGTTTGCCTTTAGATCCGGTTCTAGGTCTCATTTCTGGTTTGTTAACTTTTTTGAGCTTCAAACATAACAATTTTTTAGAGCGACTAAAATGAAATTCCTTTGTTTCAGATTTGTTTTCTAGAAGAACGTAATGCTGTCTTTCGTTATTTTGATTTTTACATTTCCGGGTTGTTATGTATATACTTGAAAGAGAGATGCAGCCAATGCACTTAAAGAAATATTTGCATATTTTTGTTGTTGTTGTTTAGCAAACTAATTTTGCATTGAGCTGCCTGTCACTTGAAGCTAAAGTATCTGCTACCTAAAAGCTTAGTCACGAATTGCAGATACATGGTATCTTTAAGATGCGAGATGAGATCAGTTGAGCCGAGTTTCGCATGATTTTGCAATGCAAATCTTTTTAATTGAGTGCTCTTGCAAAATATCCACGCAGATATATTCATCAAATTAATTTTTTTGGCGTTTTTCGCAGTATTATTTATGATATTATGATTTCTGATTTTTTATTTTTATTTTTGAATAGATCCCACAACCCGACATCAGCAACAGCGACCAGCATGAAAGGCTGGTTCGACGCGTTTCGAGACGATGGGGGACCAACGCTATATTCCTTTTCAAATCGAACACCCGTCACTGGAGACGTCTCTATAGTAGCCGTCTCTGTGCTCTTTGCCACATTTTATGTGGCATTTTTAGTCATCTTTCCAGGGTGTAAGAAAACAGGTGAGTGAAAAGGTCCTTAAAGGACTTCAAAAAGTGCCTTCAAAATCTATTTTATTATTTCTAAGTTAATTTAAACATAGTTTTCTTTGAGGTACATCCAATAAATGTCAAGAAAGCTCGTTAGTTCAAGATAATAAATATATTTTACTATCTATATGCTAAGTTATTGTCTATTTATTACAGTATCATAACACAAGTCCAACTGGAATCAGTTTTCTCACGCTGTTGCCAGCTGGTCTGTTTAATTGAATTGTGCCAACTGCCTGGCATGGCCGTAATCGTCGGCACGTTTCCAACAGAAGTCAGATAAATCTTATAGCCAATGTACATATAATACCTCTAATGAGAGACCCAAAGGCAAACCCGTTTTCCTATAGGCGCGCCCTTTTTTCTTGTCTATTGGTTTCTATCGAGTTGTTGGCTTTATTAGAGCATTGCAAACATTGAATGTTATTCGATTTTGATTTTTATTCAATTTAAAACTAAATCAAAATTTATATATCTTCTCGTTCACAGAAGTTCACAACGTTTTCGACAGTCACACTGAGCCTTTTCGTGGGTCTAGTCATACTAAGTGAGTAGAATGACCTTCAATTATCACAATATTATATATTTGATTTGCATCGAAAATCAACAACAACAACAATACTTAAAACCTGGGAAACGTTAACGTTTCACGTCTTTATCCAACAGTCACCCGCCTGGGATCCGCGTGGCATGTGGCACATGCAACCATCATCGCGCCATACAAAGCCTTCTCACGCGAGAAGCTCCCAGCGCGCATCGGCACCCACATTGGCCTCATGCATGTCAATGTGACGCTGACGGGTAAGTTTGCCAATCCAATCCCCATTCTCCATACCCCATACCCCATACCCCATACCATCGCATCCAATCCAATCCGATACGATCCGATCCAATCCGCCAACAAGTAGGCACTTCTGCCATGGGTGAATGGGTTGTCATATTTGATTATATCGAAGTCACCGATGCGGTTCTCGTGAGCGGCAGTGGAGGTTTTTAAGTTGAAGTTGAAGATTAAGGCAATTTTTTATTGGAATTTATATATAGATTTCTGAAAAGTATTTCTTAAAAATTCGTAGAAAATAACTTAAGAAATAGTTTAACATTTTTCCCACCCTTTCTCTTACTCGCTGATTGAATAGCTTTTGTGTTTCTTGCTTATTTTTTAAATATTTTTTCATGTCCAACTGAGTTTTTATATTCGTTAAGCCAAATAATACCCAATCGTCTTAGTTTTATTTGTTGATTTTTTAGTTTTTAAGGCAGGTAACGTGCACGCCCCCGTTTTTCGAGGCAAACCCCGATGGGAGAGATAAAAACAACGAACGTCAACGAAAACAATTGAGCAATTTTCATTTCAGATTTTAATAAGAAAAACTGAATGGCTGCATGTACGAGTATATATAAATTTTAAATTAAAATTGCTACTTTTTTGGGTAGTCAGTTGCATTTGAGGGCTCGACTTGAGTTAAGCTACTGGCTAATTGATTTCAAAACTCTGGCGTAGATCTTTTTGCGATAGTTTTCAGTGCCTTTCGTTGCCGTTGTTGTTGGTGTTGTTGTTTGACTATCAAACGCCGTGTGGGCGGTGACGTCAGCTGCGGTTTTTGCTGCCGCTTTGTTTGTTGGCTCCTGCCAAGTGCCAAGTCAAGTTGCATGTCACGATTCTTGGCAACAATAGCGACCAACAGCAATAGCAACAACAAATTGAAATGCCACTCGACTCGCGCTCAGCTCGACACCTGCGGAAATATTCGATTCCGAATAGCAAACGCTCTTCGAGGAGGCCTCTATGCACACACCACATACTATGTATATCATCAATTCAAACATATGTATATTCGCCGGCTTGTTTGATTGTTTGCTCGTTTCACTCACTCACTCACTCGCTTGGCTCATCGAAAAGGTGAAATGCTTTTGTGTTCGAGCCGTGGCTACCTTAGACCCCAGCTGATTCAATTGGAATGCCAGTTTGAAGTCAACTCGAGCACGAATAATCCGGAGCCATCCAATCCTATCAAATGCTATTCTCCATTCCCCACTTACCAAAAATCCGGTCACCATCAACTGTGCCCGTAAAAGCTGTGAAGCCAAGCCGTTGGGGGGTAATATTTGGCCCAGTAGCAATATTTTTTTTTTTTTTTTTGTATTTGCAATATTTGGGAAATCTAAATATTTGGTGTGCAAGTGGCTTGTGGCTTTGGGAGTAGGCTAATTGGACCCATTAAGTGTTTGGTCTTTCGAATAATGTCTTCCAGTTTTAGTCTTTTACGTTTGCTAACGATTTAAAATGTTTGAAGAAAGATTGATTTCTGGAATATTTTAATGCATTTCTGATTTGACAAAAAGTTATTTTCCATTTTGCAATAATGAGTATGGATTTTCCTGATAACCTTTTCAGCAACTTAACTTCCCTAAAATCCTGATATTTTGTATGCAATTAAGTTTTTGGCTTTCTAATAATTGGATTTATGCAGTGTTATATACTTTTTAAATCATCATTCATATCTTTAAGATAAAACTTGTAAGTTCCTAGAATGGTTAAAATAAGAACTTTCAGGTTAATTGCAAAATAATAGCTAAAAATGATTTTATAACATTATTGTAAATTTCCAATTTAATCAATAAAAAGTTTATTATACATTTATCTCAGTGCAAAGCCCACTATGAGCTGTGTACAGAAGTACACATATGTATATACATTAATATATATATTTGCCCTGTTTGCCTCTTCAAGTGTTGGCTATGGGCATTATGTCGGTTGCCATATTGGTTTTGACTAATACAGATTTGTGGAATATACATACCTGCCTGCCCCTTTCCCTAGGGCTTGCGAGTGTTTTTCGGTAGCATTTTCCCCGCCCTAGCCTCCCTCCCGGAGAACTCATTGAATGACGTTTGGCAAAAGTGCTTCACGTGTTTTCATTCTCTATTGTTGCTGGTTCAGATATTCAGTGGGCGGTTGATGTTTCGTCGTTTTTCGTTTCGGTTTTCTGTCTTTTGATAGCAAAAGGGCAAATGTTGCTTCAAGTTGACAGCTGCTGCTTTACGAGTATTTCTTGCTTGGCAAACGCTTTTCCTGGTATGAATTTCGATTTTGATTTTGAATATGATAATTGCGCATGTCAATTGGTGAGTGGTAGTTGGATATGTGTACGGCTTAGTCTATTTGCCTGACAACTTAATTGTTGCACTCGTTATGAGTATGGCTTAAAGTTACTTTTCATGTAGCTGGCTTGGTTGGTTTTTCAATTGTGATTTGAAGCATTTTCCATTGCCAAATCAAAGTCAGGCAAATGTCAAATTCGGGTGTTAAAATTTGAGTGCCAGTGGTTTTGGTTTATTCAGACCAATCATGATGATCTTTTTATAATGATGATTACTTTATTTTTGTTAAAGCCTTCTTTTTGTTTTTTTTTCTCTGTACTTTTTGGGCCAATCTGCGGTGACTTTTGTGCACTTAATTATATATCATTATGACTTTTGTGCACTTCCATTAGTGTTGCATTTTTTTTTATTTTTTTCCGATGCGGTCTGGCATTTATTGGAGTCTTCAATAGGTTATATAATATATATATATAGATCCATCATTTCTGCCGATTGTGGGTGTGTGCTGTAAGCTCAATTAACTGCTGCATTTAGCCAACTTGCTTGCGGGCTTAGACACCAATTGAAGTGCTGGATTAAGGGTACCAGGTGTTGCAGTTAATTGTGATTGGCATCGTTATATGCGGTTTTATTTCAATTCATTATAAACCCCTTGAAATACGATATGTCATGCATTTCAAAATGTACTATCAAGAAGAATTTTTCCTTAAAAATTTAATAACAAAAATGTATTTGACCCTTAAGTGTCACTCTTTAATGAATGCTAAGCTCACAATCTACTAAATTAGAAATAATTCTATTTATACAATAGTTAATTTCTTCGCGAACTGCCTTGCCATATGGGTTTCAGACATTTCTTGTTGCTTCTTAATGGAGATGGACATGGGCTACTCACTCTAACAACGCTCTTCGCAGAGCAAATGACAGAAATGGAACATTCATTTATTTTTGCAGACACATGACGACTGCTGGATGTTGATGATGGGGTTTTGAGGAGTAGTAAACAAATTAGAGGAAAAATACGTTTCAGCTCATTCATTGTCTATCTTTTGGGGTATTTTTGTGTGTGTCGTGTGCCTTTGTCTATTGTAAAGTCATGATTAATTTAGGTTTTTTTTTGTCTTTATGCTGCCGCTACTGCTGCTGCTGCCAAATTGTTAAAAAAAAACTCCTTCTCTGTTTCTGCTCTTTGGCCAAAAGTAAACACGAAAATCAGCATAATCATCACTTAAAATTATGAAAAGGCATAAAAATGCTTAAAATTTATTTATCTTTTTCTGTTGCTGCTGCGGCTGTCCATACTTAAGCGCGAGCTACCCAACATCATCGTCATCCATCTCAAGTATCACGTAGGGAAACATCAATTTCGTATACCAGAGATATGGTAATTTTTTCATATAATGTTGCTATTGTTGTTTTAACAACTTTTGGCTCTTTTTCGAAGAAGTTATAAGTTTGCGGAAGTTTATTTCTGTTCTGGGCGCTAGCAACAATAGAGCATTGTAAGTTGTTAATGAACCAAGTGGTTTAATGATACTACACCAAATTATCATTAAATTTTAAGGAGTTTGGCTGGAAAAGATTTTCCTAGTCATTAATAAGGCTGAGCTGGCATTTTTTTTTATTATTAACAAATTAAAGTTAATTTATCTTTATTTTAGCTCAATTATTTGTCAGATTTATCTTGGTTGCTCAGTGATTTTATATAGCCAGCCAGCCCCTTTACCTAATCTAGCATTTTATTGCTTGTACATTTTAAAAGAGACCAACTCTTACTTCCACCTTTGCTAGATCTGTATCACTGCTAGCCATAAACCAAGTTTAAAATCAAAAGAGCTTAGCAATTACCAATTCAAATGGTCAAAGTGAATTGAACCGGTTCAACTTGCAGCATTTCCACGTCCGATAGAAACAAGTCAGTCCGGTCAACTACCACCAACTGGGAAATCATAACGATTGTCGTCAGTTTAATGACTCCCAACACCATCGATCCACAATGTGCGTAGACGGTGCGTAGACTTGTGTGTTGACTTATAGACTTGGCTTAGGTCGGGGTTGCCATTTTCGGTGCAGTTTTTAGTCTCAGCGGAAAAGAGGGGGGAAACCGGAGGCCAGGCCAAAACCTTGTCCCGAGTCGAAGGCCAAACCTCAAAGCATATATAACGTATATATATTATATGACAACTTTTGACGATTTATGTAATTTATTTACATTTTTTTGTGTGCGGCGCTGAGTTTGTAATTTGTAAGCTTACTTCGACTGTAGGTAGCCAATTTTGGGTATAAATTCAGACCGCTTGCCGGGTTACGTTTCTCTAATGAGTCATGAGGTTCATTGAGGTCTTTGAATAGTATAGAGCGTGGGAATATTTATGGAAGTATTAAGTTGCGAGTTTTTTGTCAGATAATAAATAAATACCAAAAAGTCAGTTAAGGAAGTAATGGAAAAATTCATTTTATTTTTAATTTTTCAAGTCATCTAAAAACCAAAACTGAGAGTCGAAATCGATTACTTATTTTGCTTTTGTTTATCTTTCAGAGATTCATTTTGAAGCTTTTAATTAAAAATTCTCGAGCTGCTTTTAAATCCACTCTGAGCTTAAAATTATATTATCACTCGGTGCCAGACACTATGGCAACGTGATCAATTCCATGCCAAACCAATCATATATCATTTAAGAATTTCTTGCCGATGAAGACCCCTTTTAGGTTTGAAAGATTAATGATTTTTGCATAAAAATATTTAAAAAGCTTTTAGAATTAAAAGTCGCCAATTTCGCGGATTATTGTGGGCAGAAACATTAATTTGCATTGTGTTCCTTTTATTGTTTTATTTTTTATTTTTGGGAAAGGAAAAAACATTTGAGTTTCTCTTCCATTCACAAAATACGCCATTAGTCAAATTTCGTTTCTAATATTCAACATGCGTCACATGATTCTGCATCTTATGGTAAATTTTTGTTTGTTGTCTTTTATAATGGAATTAACCAATGCGGAATCACATGGCTAAGTTGTTTGGCCGCTCGAGAGGTGTGCAAAGTTGTCTATAAATTATGCAAATGAGTTTGTTTATTCGTTGAGCATTTTTCTTTCCGCTCACTCTCTTTTCAAACGTTGAAGTAGTGGGCAAAATAAATACAAACAAATTGCAAAAAAAACGGGCCAAAAGCGCGTGCGGCGTAAACCGGAAAATTTTTTGACAAATTTTTATAAAATATGCAAACAGCAAAAAAAAAATATCGGAAAAATAGTACTTGTTGCACATTGATTATGCGATTGGGTTGTTGTAGTTGGTGTTGCACTTTTCAAGCCGCTCACTTGAGTCTGCTTGTGTTAGGTTAGCTCGTTTAAGCCATTGACAATGAATTGCCAGCCAAGTGAGAGGAGCGGCCTGAAAAATCAACATATTACGCATACGCAGCGTGGCGTAGTGAGCTTAGGCGCAACTGCAACCAAACATTTCCGCCTGCAACAGGAAATGAACATTTGATTTTTTTTTTTTTTTTTTTTTGTGCCTGTAATTGCTGTGAAGGTTATGTGATCGAGTGCAATTTGAAGGTGTTGGCAGTTGGCATTTGTCAGTTAGCAATAAAAGGTTCTGGCTGTCAAATGGTTGGGGCATGTCATGATTTTAGCCACATTTACATGGTCTAGTTGGAAGTGAAGTGAGCTTGTCTGAGGGGTTTTGAATGAATGCAGTTTTTGGGTGATTTACGGATGTTTTATTTGCTTTTCAAATTCTGAAAATGTAAATTGTAAAGCTGTTAATTCAATTTTTTTCTATATTTTAACAGCCATTCCCATTGGAAACTGGACACCACCTGATATTGACTACAATGAGCGCTTCACCTGGGAGGGAGCCAATGACATGAGTGCCAACTATCGCCATGCCCTACAGCGCGGACTACCTTTTCCCATATTAACCGTGGCCGAATACTTTAGTCTTGGCCGCGAGGGATTCTCGTGGGGTGGACAGTATCGGGCCGCTGGATATTTTGCGAGCATAATGCTCTGGGCCTCGCTAGCCTCGTGGCTGCTGATGAACCTGCTGCTGATAGCCGTTCCTCGATATGGAGCCTATATGAAGGCCCTGACCGGAGCTCTGTTGGTCTGCACCACGGTGGGCTATCATTGCCTACTGCCAAAGCGACCATTATGCATCTACCTTGAGGGCGGACGCCTGGAGTTCCATTTTGGCTGGTGCTATTGGCTGGTTTTGGTGGCAGGTGAGTAAATGGCTGTCATATTTATAGTCAATCAATTTGAGTTAATAAAATTTTAAAATATATTAAATTATATATTACTTTTAAGGCATTCTCTGCTTCATTGCGGGTGTTCTGATCTCCATAATTGACTTGGTTTGGCCGCACACCTTCTCCACGGTGCTGGAAGTATACTATGGCACTCCCTATGATCGACACGTGATCCTGGAGGAGTCCAGTGATGTGCGGTATCGCAAGCCTCGCAACAGTCGCAGCTTGGAGGATCCACCTGGTTTGGGGTCTCGCATCCTGCGCCGCCTTAGCTCAAAAGCCCGTGACTTGCAACCGGGCACAGCACCACGGCGAGATAGTCCTGCCGGAGTGTCTGGCAGTGGAGGAGTGGAGAACAAAGGATTCCAGTCGGATGCCCCGAAGAGTCCTTGGAGATATCCCTTCCGAAGGTCGCAACAATTGGCGCAGCAGCAGCAGCACTCGCATCCGCTGCATCAGCATCCGTTGCAGCAGCAGCATCATCAGCACCACCACCAGCAGCAACTGCAGTTTGTGGGCGGACCTGTGGTGCAACATCCCATGCATCATATGCAGCGCACCATGTCGCAGGACTCGGGATCCAGCATTGCCTCAGCAGCCGTGCAAATATCCCCGCTGCACAAACATGCTTTGGCGCGAATGTTGCCGTAAGTTCACAGTTTTACATAAAGTCACGTTCCTATTATTAGGTAGTAAATATGGTACCTAAAAGAACTAAATTTGAAATGTAAAAAAATATTTAAGAGCTCTCATGATTTCATTTTCTCATTACAGAAATCCCCCAGTGGAGCGTATTCGGGACATGGATCACTGGTGATTGCCATTGGACAAACCATAAAAATCGACTATTTTTATTGGGCTTAATTCTTAATCTTGACTAATTGGAAATAATTTAAAATCAAACAAAACTTAAAAAACAAAAACCATTTGTGATAATTTCTTAATTTAAACAAGACCAATAGGATGGAAAATATTTAATAATTGACAAGATTACATACTTTTACTTTGATAAACATACATTTATAACGAAAACGATGTTAAATTTAAATATAACTTTAATTAAATTATTTTAAATGTTAAGGCTAACCTTGTAATAACGAACGATGGATCAAATTTAGCTATAAACGTGTTTTAGTGATGTTCATTTGTGATAAGACAGTCCTGCCACACACGTTAATAAGTACGAAGAACACAGGAGGAGATTGGAGTTATGACAAAAAAAAAAATAACAGATGTTTATGTTTAATTAGTAATTTATTATTTGTAATTTGAATTCAATGCCAGTGTCTATAAAGAATAAGTTAAAAAAATGTGTAAAATCCGTTTAAGTTTAATGTTTAAGCTTGACAATGTTTAAAAACGATAAGATTCGAGATCATATACGATGAACTAAAACCCTTTCTAGTTTTAATTTGGGATATAAAATTTTTATGGAAAGCGAGAATGCAGAAATCTCTTTAATGTTTTTCTGTGATCTTTTAAACCATAAATCCTCTGTTTTTGGTGTGCTTTCTTAGACTGCCTAACAAGATTTTATTCTCACTTACTCCAGTCAAATAAATCAATTATCTCAGCTGAGTATCCTTGTTAGAGGAGTGGTTAAAGGAGGGCAGGACAAAGCATTGCAAACGAGTGCAAATAAATAAAAACAAATAAAATGTACTTCATATGCAAGGCGAGCATAAATAGACAGTTATTTTGCTGCCACCCGCTATACACCAACCACCCACCTCTATCACCCATTTCCCATTTCTTCCAGCGGGAGCAAGCGAGAAGGGCAGAGCGATGTCCTGTGTCGCTATCGCACGCTTTTCGGTTTAGAGTTCAAGGAATCAAGATTTATGACATTTTTATTACAAAAACGAGCGCAGTAAGTTGTGGGCGGACTGGCTTTCCTGCCCCATCCCTTTCTGACTCACACATTCTGCATCTACGCTGACTTCAAAAATATGCAGCCAGGCGCGTCAAGCCATTATTTGGACTTGGGCCTTGGAAACGGCAAGAGCTACACTGAAAAAATTATGAAATATATATATATATATATATTCATTTTATATATAAAGTTTCTGGTAAGTTTGAAGCATGTATAATAGTAAATTTATTGAATTTATGGTAAGCGCATAATACATTCCCCGAAATGTAGACTACATTTTTTTAAGTAGATCTAAAAAAATAAAATTGAATTCTTAATAGTAAATTTTGTCCATTTTTGTTAAAATGTATTTTATAAACTTCTTTAATGAATCATTAATTGTTCCCAGTGCATTAGCCTACGCTTGGGCTCGGACTGGGAAATGCCGCCGCATGCAACGGAAGGCGCATAATTCACAAAACAGCAGGCGATACTGCAGCGCAACGGAGGAGCCAAGGGATGGAACCAGTTGCCAGAGCCAAATGCAATAGGAATCCTGGGCTCAGGATACAAGAACACCACCTTAGGATGCTTTTTGACTCTCAATTTTAATATAAACAAATTGCAAACGTTCTTATTTATGACATTTTTTCCTCCTACCTCTTAGGCATCTTTCTGTATTTCTTCTCAATTTTTTCTTTAAGCTTTAAGGAAAAAGACATGAGAAAGGTCAAATTTTTTGTGTATGCTTGGTTATGTGTATAAATTTGTAGCATAAATCTGTTTAAATAAGAAGTTCGGATATAGCTGATGTTACAAAGATTTTTAGATGAAAATGGTTTATTGCTAGGAAACATACTGAACTTTTTATTTTGAGTGACATCTTTAAGGGCAAGTTTAAGCACACCCATCAAAACTAGTCAAGTCCCTTTAACCTCAACTGGCTTTTCCATTTTCAATCTAACCAATGTCAAAATCCCTAGAGATTTCAGTGACATACGGCTTAATGAGTGCCTGACCTTAACCATTCTTCCTATCCGTTCACTTGCCTCCCAAATTGTGCTGCATACTTTTGCGCATGGAAGAAATTCCATTAACAATACGCATCAATTTGCATCGATCATTGTGGGGCTAACAATACGTCCAATATGCCAAACAGAAACAATGGGGGCACAAATAAAATAAAATCGAGTTGCATTCGTGGGAGTAAGATAAATTCTCTTGGCAGCTGTGCTAACGAGCAGCCCCGGGGAATGCAGGGATGAGAAGGAGTTGAGGACTTATAAGAGGGGGTTATAGACTTTTAGTCAAGGCAGCAACAGCAGCAGCAGAAGCAGCACTGCAAACAAGTATTTGCTGAGTAATGCCAACGCTTTTATTTCGCGCTGGTGGAAAATTCTTATAGGATGGCAGTGGAAATAGAGATTCCCTGGCAAGTTGGCCATGTCCTTTGCCTTTTGCTTAATACAAATGAAAATGGATGAGCTACTAAGCGTTGCCTTCTGAGCTGCACTTGCTGTTGCTGTTGTTGCATTCGAATGTTGCATTGCATTGACTGAACTGAATAAAATGAAATGAAAATGTTGCAACAAGCTAACAACAAGCCACTCCCCTACCCACATTGCCACCCAATTTTCTTCCTGGGAATGCACTTTGTTTCTATGACACGCCGTTGTCCTCTACTCCTCGATTCACTTTCTTGCTGCGCATGTGTTTTGTCTTTGTTTTTATGCCATTTATTTATTTAAGTCAATTTCGTAGAGTGTGTTTGAGCATTTTGCTGCAATTCATTTTCGGGTTTCATTTGCTGTCTGCCTTTTTCGCTTCCCATTTTTTACGCGTCTTGTATGAGTTTTGTGCGCGCAGCTTGATGACAATTTTTACTTTGAGTGATTGCAGTTGAAGGGGCAAGGGAAGGTGGAAGTGAAGATTGTTAAAAAGTGGGTGCAACGATTGAGTCAAGGATGCCTTCGGGGGATGTGTTAAATCTGAAGTTAATTAGTTGACAGTCGGTAGCTTTGATTGGGTTTGCTCTGTAATTGGGGGAAGACGGTAAACAATAAAACGACTTTAAAATTTAATTGGACTATTGTTAAGTTAAGTAAAGTTAAGTTTCTGAAACTTAAATCTACTTCAATCTTACGTAAAAAAATTCAATATAAATATTTTTTTAATTTTTAAAAATGTCTAATTAAATAATTTGATTATCTTTTTCTTTAATCTAATATCTTCAAAATCTTTAAAAAGTGTTTAGCTTGCAATAAAAATGAAAAATAATTTTACGTGACACACTTACACAATGGCTTGAAACTCTACTAAGCCAAGACATTAACCACTTGTATAACAATATTGGGAAGTATAAGACATTTGCTTTAAGAGTAGTCAAGCCCCAATTTGCACACTTAAGAGCTTAACCTTCTCTTAGCTATTTTTGAATTTGTGTTTCGAATTCAGCGTTTTCATTAAATTCTCATTGCTTTCTGGCCAGGTATTCTCTATTTTCACATAGCCGATCAAGTAATAAGCGAGTGATAAAATGCATGTAATTATTAGATTAATAATAAAGTTATTCTAGTATAAAATACTTAATCACTTAAAATTTAAATAATTTATGATTTCTACTAGAGATAGAAAATGTATTCTAAACTTCGAAGGAACTGAAAGATTGTAAACTAATAGGGTGTAGGATGAGAAAAATCATTAAAAATAAAGTACAAGGGATCCAATGTAACACCAGAAATAAACGATTGATTTAAATACAAAGTTCATAAGTTTTGAATTTTATTAAATATTTTAAACTAAACTATTTTTTTTTATAATACTTAGATTTTCAAATTTTATAGTAGCTTTGTTATCACAGAGAGCCGTTAGGTACAACCGCTCTCTTAACTCAGCAGTTTTAGAGATACTCGTGAGTTTGCCGCTCGTGTTATCCTTAGAAATGCTCGGCTCTTATCCTGTCGCTCGGCTTCGAGTCGTTTTGGAGCTTCGGCAGCCGATGGATAGCACTTCGGCCCGTCGACTTCCGGCGGGGAACAGTGGGGCTTGTGGCTTGTGGGGCTCTGAGCTGGCCAGGCCGATTCAGTTGAAGCTCAGCCGTCGGACTGTTTCGAACGTGTTTGCAGGGATGCTGACGCTCGCTGCGGCAGCCATCGAATTAGCGAAGTTATCGGGTCTCGTCCTGCAAACTCACACATACACAGTCGGTTGTTCGTTGTGTCGCGAATAAATTTATCAAATCTCATACCGCCAAAAAGAACCAATTATCGAAATCAATAAGAGCTAATTAGAATATTGCCTAACTTGGCTGGAAGGGCGAACTGCATGTTGCGTGTTTTTTGGTTAGGAAATAGTTAGGAAAAATCATGCGACTCACTGATATTGTTGCACACACAAAACGCTCGACTTCGGCGACTCCTTTTAGGCGATTTAATTGCCCCGTTCTCGTTTGGGGCATACATTAAAACCAAGCCACTAAGTATTTGCAAGTGCCACAGTGTCTTCGTAGCGCGCGCGTGTATGTGTGTGTTTTCTGTATGCCACGGTGTGTGTGTGCTCTCGTTACCGTGTGTTTGTTTGTGTTTTGATGGTCACGTGGTCAGTTCAAAGTTGGCTTGGCCCACTGCCTTCTTGTGCGTGACAAAAGTCCAGCAACAGTAGCAACAATATAAAGCAACAGTAGCAACAAAATATAGCAGCAGCAGCAGCACAAATACTAACAACAACAGCTACAGTAACAACTGCGATAAAGGATTATCCTGCGTGGGACAAATTTAAATTGTTCGCCAGCAGGTAAGTTGGTCGACCTCACTTTTTGCTCTTTAAGAGTGACTTTTTGCTGGAAAAAGTTTCTCAGCCAAAGTTGAAATTGCCACCCGCCCTCGTAGTTGTTGCAGTTAGAGAAAAAAAGCTCGGCTTAATCAAGTTTCCAGTAACTTTACAGGAATTAATTAATTAAGTTTGCTATTTTATTTCATTCTCTTTGTGAGCTTAGTGCAAGTGGCACAAGCATAATTAAATGGAAAATTTAAAAAGCATTTGGGTTGTTTGCTTGGTTCCTTTGTTGTGCGTTTTCTGAATATTTTAGAAAGGTAATTTAAGTTAAAAGAGCTGAAAGTTTTATTTTTTATTATGTATATGTATATTCATTCATATTAGTTTACGTTTTTACAATTCGAACAGACCTAAGATCTTAGATAAGCAAGTTTTTAAATATTAAACATAATGGTCCTTTTAAGGTTTTCCCCAACCTTTTTAATTTCCAAGGTGATCTTAACTTTAAATAATTTTTCTTAGTGTGAAAGTTGTGAAATTCGCGGTTTTAAGCTCTTGTCTCGATGCGCCAGTTTTTCACTTTTGCCGCCCCTTCACTTTGCTCCCGTCTCTGGCAACTTGTATTCCCCTGCGATATCTTCCCCCCGTTTTCCACTTTTCTGCGACGCTACTGTGCCACGCCGATTGCCGTAACTTAAAATGCGCCAACTGACTGCCAAAAAGTTGCCAAAAACTTTTGCCTAAAGTTTATTTACTTGTTTTTTTTTCG